GGACATGGGGAGCTCTTAGAGCGTTTTAAGCAGGATCTGGTTTTAATAGTTCATGGCAGCTTTTGGGTCAAGAATAAAGCAAGATTTAAAGATTCTTAAAGAGACTAAATAGCTATAGAAGAGACCATATGTTAGTTTTATAATCAGGAAAGAAATTAAACATATATTTTTTTGAGAAAGCGTGAGTGCAGGGTTGAGAGGAGGGAGAGTGAGAATCTCAAGCAGAGTCCATGCCCAGCACGGAGCCCCACATGGGACTTGATCTCACAACCCTACGTGACTGAGCTGAAATCAAGAGTTGGGCACTTGACCGACTGAGCCACCCACGCTCCCCCCAGAAATTAAATATTAAAAAACTATTTTTGGCACCTCAAATACCATCAGCTTCTTCCGTTGTCATTTTTTTTTTTTTAAAGATTTATTTATTTATTTGAGAGAGAGAGAGAGAGTACATGAGTGGGGGAGGGTCAGAGGGAGAAGCAGGCTCCTCGCTGAGCAGGGAGCCCGATGCGGGACTCGATCCCAGGACTCCGGGATCATGACCTGAGCTGAAGGCAGTCGCTTAACCAACTGAGCCACCCAGGCACCCTCGTTGTCATTTCTTATGAAAAATCAGCTGAGTTTGATCTACAAAATAGGTGTATTGGTACTTAGGATTGAGGGAAAACTAAAGGATTGAAGGCTGGCCAAAATGAATAGGTAATCAGAGCAGGATCTAACTGGCTGTGCTGGTCTCTCCAAATGATTTCTGATTAACTCAGAATGGAGTAGAGAAGTAATCATTATATAAGGTCGACTTTAGGCATATAATTAGGAGTACAACGTAAAGGGAATGTAGAGAATACCCTGTCTGACTATTAATATGAAACAATCTCTGACTCTGGGGGTATTTCAGTTATCTTCTCAACAATCTCAAAACTAAGTGACTCCAAGCAGTAATGACTTAGAGGTTGGTGGGGCTCAGTTGTGTGGCAGTTCTTCTCTGTGTGGTGAAGCTGAGGTCACCCCTGCAGCTTCATTCAGCTTGGAGCTTGATTGGGGCTGTAATAGTCAAGACCGCCTCTCATTCTCTGGCTTTTCAAGAGCACAAGTGCTCCTCAAGGCTCTGCTTGCATCATGCTTCCTGATGGCCAAGGCCAGAGTCCGTGTGCGAGGGAACTAAACGAGGGCATGACTCCAGGATGCATCATTCCCTGGGGCCACCAGTGTGATAGCCTGCCACTTGGAGTCACAGGCTTTTGAAATTTTAAGACACTTAGACTCTGGCCTTTAAGACTGCAGTATAACGGAATCTTCTATAACTCCTTTTTTACATTTTCAGTGCCTAGTTTTTACATCTTCTGTTTTGTTCTGAGGTCTTCCTGCCTATACATACTCTCTATAAACTGCTATTCTTTAGATAGATTCAGTGATCATCATATTGCTATTTTGTCCTCTTTATGTCCCTTAAACATATGGTCAGCATAGTAATGGACACTCTATGTCCCTTCTCTTTTCACCACAGGTTTATTATTTCCTTTAAATTATGATCTGGATGACTGAGATGCCCTCCATTCATTGGTATTAATCCAGTACCTACTACGTCTCTTTGGGTAGCAGGGTAACAGGCCTTTGTTTTAAAGGAGCTCACATTAGGGTAGGGAGTTAGTAAGAACAAAACCATTTCAGCTAGTGATAAATAAAAGAGGCGAGAAAATAAAACAGGATGATGTGATGGTGAGTGGGGCGGAGGTGGGGAGCTACTTTAGTTCACCCAGCAGATCCGGTCTTTCTAAGGAAGGACATCGGAGCTGAGACCTGAATGATAAGCAGCCATCCATCCTGACGGATAAGGTGACCAACCATCCCAGTTTACCTGGGGCTGAGATTTCTCCGGTCATGGGACTCTTGGTGCTACAACCAGGACAGGCCTGGGCAAACTGGAATAGTTGTTTAATCCAGGAAGAGGGAACAGCAAGTCACAAGGCCTGGAGTTAGGAGGAAGCTTGGCATTTTGGAGGTGTGACAGAAGGCCAGCGCGGCCTAACACATAGTGAGAAGGGGTGAACAGAAGCCGGTGAGGCTGGGAAGTCCATGGAGGATGGACCGTGTGGGCCTTAACAGTAGTTTGGGTTTAAGTGTCTTGGAAAGCCACTGCAGGGTTCTGAGACCAGAGGGACATGGTTTTGTTTATGTTAGTGAATGATCATTGGCTGGTGTGCAGAGAGGAGAGCATGAGGCTGTCAGGGTAGAAACAGGAGGCCAGTTAACAGGCTGGTTCAGTGCTCAGGCTTAAGATGATGGTGTCCTGTGCCGGGAGGCAGCCAGGAGGGAAGCTTCTTGGCACTAACTCGCTGCTGCTTACTCCTCTTAGGCTCTTTCCCTCCTTTCTAGATCAGTCGCTTTTCCATCCTGAAGAGCTGCTCTGCCAAGTAGAGGTTCCCAGATTTACCACTCTGTGCACCAAACCGCAGCCCTCTTAGCCACCCGCCCCCCCGTGCTGTATCAGCTGCTTGGTGTTTTCACAGTACTGGTTTTTTTTAAGGTCTCCATTGATTGTTCTCATGGGGCTGGATTGGGTAATGCTTTGAATGCTGAGCTTAGAGTGATTGATTTTTATCTTGGATGGCTTTGAAGGGTTCTTCCTAGAGTTGTGGGACATAAATAGAGCTATGCTTGGTAAAGGTTGCTCTAGCCTGAGGGTGGGGGGGGGGGGAGAACGATGTGGATGTGTTACATTTTAGGCGATAGTAGGCTATTCGAGAGGAAATGCCGGGGAGTGGGAGGCAGTCAGAGAGGGTGGGATTGGATCTCAGTAGCAAGGATGGGTCTGTTTATAGGAACGTGGGAGTCACACCATGAAGAGGTGGGATTAGATTTAAGTGAGGACGATGGTTTGTTTATTCAGCAAGGCATCAAGTATTTATTGCTGTCCCTTGAGTGCTGAGGATGTTATGGTGAATGAGGCAGGCAGAGTCCTTGTTTTCCGGGAGCTAGCATTCCTTCCGGGTGGGGGAGGTAGAAGAGCAAACAGTAAATGAATTAATGAATAAGATAACTTGAGAGAACAGTAAGCGCTGTGTGGGTAACAGAACAGGGTGATGTACTCTGGCTTGGGGAGGGGTGGAGGAGATTCTTTAGATTGGTAATCAGGAAGGTCTCTTTGAGAAGGTGATATTCTACCTGAGACCTGAATGATCGGAAAGAGCCAGCCATGGGAAGATCTACGGACAGATTGTTCCAGGCAGAGGTCTTAGACACCAGAGGCTGGGTCTAATCCTAGGCAAGCTTCTGTTTAAGTAAGTGGAGATGTGGAACCAAAAAATATGAGAGCAAGGAGGACAGGGACTGTGTTGGTTCTGCTCTCTAGCAGAGTACCTTACACGGAAGTAAGGGTTCGTATTAAAAAGACATAAACTAGGATTGTGTTCTACCAAAACTGAGGAAAGAGAACCCCAAGAAGGCTGGCAACCATGGCAGAGCCCATGTGGAAGATAAGGAAGAGGTAGATGGTTTTGGTTTCAGGTTATGCGTAGACCATCAAGGATGTCCACTTGTTAGAGGGGGTGGAGTTAAGTGCCTCTAACGGGGGAAGAAATAGGGGCAAGGAAATAGAAATAGCATTTTTGGGCTCCCCAAGAAATCCTTTCTCGTATCACTTGTGAATGCGTCATAAAAGTCTCCCCAACTATGTGCAGCCCTCTCTGGGACCTTTCCTGGCTGTGCTTCTGAATTTGCTTGCTTTTTCTTCTCTGTGACCAACCTTTCACATTGGACTCCTTTGCTTTTTATTTGCTTCTGTTAAGCCTTGCCTCTCTGCACTCGTATTCCCTCTTGTCTCTGTACCTCACAGCAGCAGGCCAGTCCCACTTGCCTTTGCTGGTGGCACCAGTTTCTGAGGCTCTAGCCAGTCCAGGAACTTGGGTCTAGGAGGGGGCAGGGAGATGCAGAAGCTGCATGAGACGTAATTTGAGGCCTTTTGCCAGCAAATGGAAGTGGAGAAAAGGGAGGGTGCTTCCTTGGGCCACCAAGGTCTTGTTGAAGGTCTGTGTATACTTGAAACCAGCAAGAAGGAAGACATAAGGGAGACTGACGGTAACGGGGCAGAAAGGAGTTAATTAAGGGAGCAGTTAGGAGGCAGAAGCGGAAGAGTTAACCTTAAACTGCAGGACGTAAATGCATTTCTTCCTCTGAATTAAGAGGAAAGGAAGGATAAATGAGGCTGAACACAAAGATACTTGAGTTGGAGGAGAGAGGAGTGGGAGCAGCTTCCAGTAAGAAGAGGTCTGGATCTTTTTAGCAAGAAAGACCCGCTAGGTGCTCTGCTTAAAGTCAAGCTCGAAATTGAAGGAATTTTGGAATCCCCACTGCAGAGATTCTGCTGGGGAATCAAGTGTTGAAGGAAGAACTGCCGAGCACCAGCAAGGATCCAGCTGATGTTGGCATGTATTTTTAGCAGACAAAGTCTGCCTTTCTCCAGGATTGCTGTTCCAGTGCCCAAGCAGCTGGGGCTAATGTTAACTGCTGTCAATACAGAATTTGGATTTTAGCTACTAATTATAATTCAAGAAGACGACATCTTCCTAGTTGTACTTAATAAGTAAGTCAAAAACGGATTGATTTGTTTTCCTCTCATCTTACTTGTACCTGTCAGAAGCTTGTGATTAGTGAGAGCTGCCTGTGGAATTCAATATAAGGAATTTTAATCAACAACCTTTTGTAGAACCTATTAAACTTGGCTCGCTAAAAGAAACAAAAATTAAAAAATAAAAAATAAAACTTGGCTCGCTGCTTTTAGAATCTATGCTGTTAGGAAAAATGAAAGCTCAAACTTGCCTTTCTTTTGTTCTCAGTAGTTTCTGTAGAACACTTAAGTTTTGAGGTGTACATCTACTCAGGTGCAATTTTTGGAAATGCTTTTAAGCAACCAGATCACAATGATACAATTTTTGACTAGAAATCTGCTGACTTGGTAGAAACCAGTATCACTGAAGGACGACCTGTTTTTCTTTAAATGCTAGGTTGAAAATGGTGTATTTGTAGCCAATCCACTTCAGGAACGCACAATTCTAATGAGGAAAGAGGGCGAATCTGCAAAAAGCATTAATGAGATGCTTCTGAGCAGACTTTCCCGCTACAGAGCTTCCCCGTCCGCCACGCTGGCCGCCCTTACTGGCTCTACTATCTCCAACACCCTGAAAGAGGACCAAGCAGGTATGCTGCCCTTCGCTCACTCTGTCGGTTTACCTTGTGTACTCCGTTCAGCTACGTATATATTTTTTAAGACTTTCTTTTTTTGGAGCAGTTTTAGGTTCATAGCAAAATTGAGAGGAAGGCAGAGAAATTTCCCGTAAACCTCCTGCCCCCAACGCATGCACAGCTCTCCCCATTATCCAGAGGTGGTACATTTGTTGCAACTGGTGAACCTACAATGCTATAACATTATCACCCGAAGTCCAGAGTTTACTCTTGGTGGTGTGCATTCTGCGGGTTTGGACAAATACATGATGACAGGTCTTCATCATTATGGTATCGTACAGAGTAGTTTTACTGCCCTAGAAATCCTTCGTGCTCTAGCTATTTATCCCTCCTTCCCCCAGTCCCTGGCCACCACTGATCTTTTTATTGTCCTCCTAGTGTTGCCTCTTCCAGAATGCCCTATAGTTGGGAATCATTTGTAGCCTGAAAAGATTGGCTTCTCTCACTTAGTAATCTGCATTTAAGTTTCCTCCATGTCTGTTCATGGCTTGATACATTCAGTTTGTGGTTAGTGAGACCTGCCTCTGGAATTTGGGCAGTACTTTTTTTTTTAAGTTTATTTATCTTTAGTAATCTCTACACCCAAGGTGGGGCTTGAACGCACAACTCCAAGACCAAGAGCACGTGCTCCTCTGACTGAGCCAGGCAGGTGCCCCTCAGGCAGTACTTTTTATTGAGTGCTTATATGGTGTGCCATACAAAGCACGTGCCTTTATACATAGTTCACCTTTTTCTCTCCTTCTGGTCATCCTTTTTTTTTTTTTTTTTAATTCCAAACCAATACATGTTGGCTATAGACATGAACTGGCATGAATCTATAATAATTCAAAATAGCTCTGTCTTTAACTGTAAATACCGTATCATTATTGTTAATGTAAATTGATTTCATGTTTAGCATATGCTTCATAAATGTAAAAAATTCACGCTTAGCATTGTCTTCACTAAATACAATCTTGGCCAAGCAAATGAGAGGCAAACCTTACACAACGGAGGTTGCTTTTTCTAGAATTTATCATTTAGTATTTGCACTTTAATATTTTAAAATAGATAATGCATTTACAGAGTTTGAAAGTAGAAACAATGTAAAAAAGTACTCTCACATCCTGGCATATTATTCATTTTGCCCCCACACTGCCTCCTATAGGTAATTATATTTATTAGTTTTTATTTAACCTTACAGAATTTCTTTATGCAAACACAAAGACAAATTTATGTGTTCTTATTTTCCTTCTTTTTAAAATAAAAGGTAGCCTACCAAACATGCTGTTCTGTCCTTTGAAAGCAAGAGTTCTCAACTGAGATAAACCCTTAAGAGGCTCATGAACATACTCCCCAAAGCTTTATACATCTTAAGTGTATCCATCCTGATTTTCACCAAACTTTCAAGGCCACCTATGACCAAAAAAAGGTTAAGAACCATTATTCTTGATGAGTTTGCGGATTACACCAACTATGTGACTCTATAACAAATCATGAACTGTAGTAAAAGATAAGGCTAGAAAATATGCCATATAGAAAAATGCATCTGAATTAATAGATGTTTAACGAATTTAATGCAGTTTTATGCTTTAATCCTTTCATATACTGAAATGTTGGGAAGAGAAAATATTTGTGATTAATTTGTTGTGAGGCTATCAAAATACTTATTAGTTCATATTAGAACTTAAGGATAGAATTTTATTTTTATGGGTCCCTATTATATCAAATATAAGTGAGGAAATTATTAATAATTGTGCTAACTTGGGTATATGGATAATTTGAATGGTAGAAATACTTTGTAGAGGATGGTCCTTTTACGAAAATAAACAGCTTCCTGACAAGCTGAAGGCTTGATCTGGGTTTATCCTTTGGAAGAAAACTAAATCCTACCCTGAACAATAGAAGTACTAAAGGAATCTTTGTTGGAGAAGGAAATATGGGTGAAATCAGAAAGAGAGCTCAAAAGGCAAGGGTATATTTAGAACTCTGTGAAAACTGATACTGTATTCGAAACATGTGAGCTCATACTTTTATATACATTCTCTGCACATTCAGTAACATGATGTTGCTACATAAAAATTCACCAGTTATTAGACTAAGTGACTTTTGACGATTCAGCGTTCAAAGGGTCTAGAATGTTTTCCAGGATAAACTAATACCTGTTACCATGTTAATATGATGTCTATTAAAACATCTTGTTGAAAATGTTATGCTCACAAAGTTGCTGATTTTCCAGTCATTGCCCCTTTTGGGTTTCTTACCTGTGGAAATGTATGCCCCTGAATTTACGTCCTGAATGAAGAATATACTTGTTGAGGATGTGGAGTTTTAAATGGAGCTGTTTAGAAGCACAGGCATTCAAAACAAATATCAGACAGATTAGATTTCACTTTTCTCATTTTTCTAATCTAAACCATCTAAAGACAATTTTACATCTATCTGGGCAGTTCTGTTTTATACCCTGACAGCTTCCTAGTTTGTAAAGCATTCCGACTGACTTTCTGTTGCCATTATCAATCCTCACTAGAGTAATATGTAGGAAATCCTTAATTTTGCATTTTCAGATCTGCCAGTGAGGAAGAGAGATTAGAGTGCATTTTATACCTCTTGATTAGAATTAATAATTATTTAATGATAGTTTATGTCACTGACCCTAAATATATGTATTATATATTTTATATAAATTATATATATTATAAATATATAACATATAAGGGGTTATCATAAATCATGCAGGTGTAGAATTCTGTTATATTGTGAAAGCTTTTGTTTTCATTAATTAGTTATAGGTTGAAATTTCTGGCTGATTTTGTGTTCAGAGCTGTTTGTAATGAATGTAATAAGCCAAACCTGTTAAGAATTTATTCTGTATAAAATGAAAAGATGCCTGTTGGAGTACAGTTTTGGGAAACACAAACTGTAGGAATCTTCTTTCATTCAGAAATCTAGTCCATGTGAGGATTCATTCTTTTGAGAGAAGTTTTGAGATATAAAGGAATATTGAGTATTGGGAACATCTTTAAGAAATGTTCAGCTCATGAAACGGGGGGCTTGGGGCCAGGCTACTTATTTCTCCTTAGTTTACCAATTCTTGCTGTGTGTTCTGAATCTGGGCATATCCTTGTTTGAATAGGGGCCCCTTCACTATACTGTAATCTGTTTTGGCAATCAAAGTAATCTGGTGTCAAATACTTATCACCATTTTCATCCCTTTCACCAGCAAATACTAGCTGTGGGCTACCTCTGAAAATGCTTCGGAAGACGCCCATCTATACCTGTGGCACGTACTTGGTGATGCTGGTCCCACCTCCAGGGGGATCAGGCAGCTCTGCCACTCGTTCTCTTTTTGGTGGAACAAGTGGTTTGTCGTCTCTAAAAAGTAAGTGTATTTTATTTGTAGCACTTTGCCCAATTTGTTTCTAACTTTGCAATTTAAGGCTTTTCTATTAATGATGTTAAATTTCCTCTGTTAAAGTTGTTTGCAGTAGCTCGTTGAAAACAAAACTTAGCAATATATTTATAGGTTAGGAGGAATTAAAACTATAATTTTTGTAGATAATATAGTAGTACACTTCTGAAAACCATCATCCTGTAAAAATTACTAGAAATAATGAGTTCAAGACAATTTTAGGAAATAAAATACTCTATTGCCACATTATTTACTGATGACACAGCAAGAGTTCGACCCACTATGAATAGAATTCCAGAGCTATTAAATAAGTATGTGAAATGCCTCCATTTTAGGACACATAAAATGTGAAGCCAAAAAGGTCTAATTTGGAAATAAATGCTGTTAATTAAGTATACATATGTTTTTATAAAAGAGGGAGGCATATTATAATAATTAAAGCATTGTGATTTTGGCTTCAGAGTAGACAAATAATTAAATGGAATAAAACGTAGAGTCAAAATCAAGAGTCAAAAAAATGTTTCAGGGCATCTGGCTGGCTCAGTTGGTAGTGTATGTGACTCTTGGGTGTGTGTGAGTTTGAGCCCCACATTGGGTGTAGAGATTACTTAAAATCTTAAAAAAAAAAAAAAAAAATTGCCATTTTCTAGCCTTCTTACCTTAGGGACATCATTTGACCCCTCTGAGCCTCAGTTTACCCACCTGCTGCAAAGAATAAAAGGAAAATAGTATCTCACACTATTGTTTGGTGATCATATGCAATAAAGTTATGTTAGAGTATTTCTAAGAAATGGCAAAACCCGTTCCTTTCATGTATGGTAAACACTTTTTTGTGTTTTTCCTTGAAATTTGTTTAGACACACAAAATTAAAATGTTTTTAAAATCTTTGTTTTCATTCCCAATATTTTCATATTCTGTCCTTTCAAAATAATTTACAGTTATCCCATTAAAGGATTATATTTCACATGTAGCCTTTTAAATTTGTACTCTAAACCTGAAGATATAAATTTGACCTCAGTAGTTTATACAACATCATGTATCTAATATCAACCTTTAGGCCATTTCAAGTACATTCAACACATTGCATGTGTTTGGGATTTAGATATTCATAACAACTCAGTGCTCTGCCTTTAGAATCAAATTGGTTGGACTTTTTCTCAACAGCTTGTTTTCTCTAACAATTCACGTGACCAGGATGTCCCTTTAGCCCTTGAATAAATGATAAATTTACTATTAGTCTTTTTTAACAGTAGCTTTATTGAGATATAACTTACATACCATAAAATCCACACCTTTTAAGTCTACAGTTAGTGGTTTTTAGTATATTCAGAGTTGTGCAACCATCACCATTATCTAATTCTAGAACATTTTCCATCACTTCAAAAAGGAACCTCCCTTCCATATCCATTAGCAGTCACTCCCCCTTCTTCCCCCTCACCCTGGCCCCTGGCATCCACCCATCTACTTCTGTCTGTATGGGTTTATCCTTGGACTTTTCATATTTGTGGGATTACATATAATATATGTGCTTTTGTGACTGGCTTTTTTTTTTTAATGTTTTTAAGGTTCATCCATTTGGTTGCAGGAATCATTACTTCATTCCTTTTTATGGCTGAGTTATATTCCATTGCATGGATATACCCCATTTTGTTGACATTTGGGTTGTTTCTACTTTCTAGCTATTTTGAGTAATACTGCTATGAATATTCATGTACAAGTTTTTGTGTAGGCACGTGTTCACTTCTCTTGTGTATGTACGTAGTAGTAAAATTCTGATCATATGGTAGCTATATGTTTACCCTTTGGAGGGATTGCCCAACTGTTTTCCAAAGTGGCTGCACCATTTTACATTCTCAGCAGCAGCATAAAAGGGTTCCAATTTCTCTACATCCTCAGATTTATTTTCTGCTTTTTAAAATTATAGCCATCCTAGTGGGTATGAAGTGGTATTTCATTTGTGGTTTTGATTTGCATTTCCCTAATGACAAATGATGTTGAACGTCTTTTCTTGTGCTTATTGGCCATTTGTATGTCTCCTTTGGAAAAGTATCTATTCAAATCCTTTGTCCATTTTTAAATTGGGTTGTTTGTTTATTTACCATTAGTCTTATTAAGCTCTTTTTAGTCTCCTTGGCATGGCTTTGTCACTCAGTTGAAATTGGCCTTCACGGTGCTATTTTTTCATGAGGCTATAGCATACATAGTGATTCTATTTTAGGCCAACAAATCAGTAAATGCTTAAATTTCTTCTGTGTCCTGTTCCACATTGGTCGCTGTCAAGGCTACTCAGTAAGTGCAAGTGGTGCTTGCCTCGAGGATCTCCTAGTCTGGTTGGGAGAAATGTTGTCAGTGTGTGAAACAAGTAGAAAATAATGTGCAATGCTGTATCACCACCTGAACCGTGGGGAGCGGACGAAGTGCTGCAGAATCTGACAAAGGGTCATTGCAGAGGGGGGTAGAAAGGAGATCTATCCTGAGGTCTTGAGTTTAAGTCAGGAAAAACAGGTATTATGCATATACGTGGCCAAGTTGGGGAAAGACCATGCATGGCAAACACAATGAAAAAGAGATTTGGGAAGATCGCTTGTTGGTGGGCAGGTTGGCACAGTGGAAGGTAGAAAAGGACAGTTTTTTGTTTTTTTTTTAAAGATTTTATTTTATTTGTCGGAGAAAGAGCACAAGCAGGGTTAGCAGCAGGCAGAGGGAGAAGCAGGCTCCCCACTGAGCAGGGAGCCCAGTGCGGGACTCGATCCCAAGACCCTAGGATCATGATCTGAGCTGAAGGCAGACGCTTACCCGACTGAGCCACCCACGTGTCCCGAAAGTACAGTTTAGATGGTAGCTTGGATCAGGCCTGATGAGGACCTGGATTTCAAAGGGGATGGGAATAAGAAAAAGGAACTCTAGAGACAGTGCTAGAATTTTATGTTTGAACGTGGGGAAATAAAAATAGTATATATGTGCTGGTGCAGTTCCTGTAGAAATGTTTTAACTTAGTTAATCTTCACAATAACAATATAAGGTAGGTACTTCTATTATCTCCACTGTGTATGTGAGGAAACAGAGGTTCAGTACATTTTCCAGGGTCACACAAAAGTGGTAGAACTGGAATTCAACCCAGAAGCCTAGAGCCCATGCTTGTTATCACTGCACTACCTGTGTTAAGGGAAAAGGCCAAAGTGTCTCCCTAGTTTTAGAGTAGTGCTTTGAAGGACAGCAACCTAGCTGTGTTTGAGTGTCCATTAACCTTTATTGAACAGCAACTATATATAAAGTTTTCTTGTAAATGGTATTATGTAGTGATCTTAGTGATCATAATTCCTCTTGCAATGACCCTTTTGATAATCTATATTGAAAATATATGCAAAAGTTGCCATTTATTTATTTTTTTTAAAGATTTTATTTGTTTGAGAGAGTGAGTGCGGGGGGAGAGGTAGAGGGAGAGAATCTCAAGCAGACTGCTTGCTGAGCACAGAGCCTGACGCAGGGTTCAGTCTCACAACCCTGAGATAATGACCTGAGCTGAAATCAAGAGTCAGATGCTTAACTGACTGAGCCACTCAGGTACCCGGCAAAAGTTGACATTTTAAAAACATTTTGAAAAATAGGGCTCACTATTTAGGAGGACATTTGTGACTGTTTTCTTTTTTTAAGATTTATTTATTTATTTGAGAGACCGCGCAAGCAGGGGGGAAGGGCAGAGGCGGGGCGGGGGGAGAGAGAGAGAGAGAGAGAGAGAGTGAAAAGCAGATTGCCTGCTGAGAGTGGAACCTGACAGAGGACTTGATCCCACAACCCCGAGGTCACAACCCAAGTTGGGTGCTTAACTGATTAAGCCACCCATTTGCCCCCTTTTTTGGTGTTCTTATGTTTGTATTCTATCTCCTCATTGTTACCACCAACAGACAACAAAAAAGGTGTGATTTTTTATGGAAGTCTTGTTAAGAGCTTAAAGTTTAAAATTTGAAAAGTAGACTATCATTGTGAGGCTTATTAAACAGCTTAATATTTGTTTCCAAAGTCCTTGCCTCTAGCTTGGTGTATAATATTTCGGATGGTCAGTTCACAAGTCGTGCCGATCTCATAGATGCTGCTGGAAGCTCGTTGGGGCGTGGTGCTCTTGTACCAGGATTGGGTAAGAAATGCCCACTTTTCCTTAGAAAATTCAAACTTTTAGCAATTTCTCTCAAAAAATCTTGCCAATTCCTTTTTCTAGTAAGAAATAATTTTTTGATGCCACTGTTTAATTCTAAGGATCAACATAAGAAACGGCCATAGGTGACATTCCTCTGCATAAATTGCTACTGAAGATACTATCCATTAGGTTGTATGATGATGCCCGTAGCAAATTCTTCTCAAAGTTCATGCTGTGAAGAGGTTTATTTCCCATGAGGCATTGGCATGCTTCTTCTTGTTAGGAAATGAACATTATGTAATGTATTGGATTTTCTCTTTGCCTTGGCTCCTAGGAAGCTCATCTTTAAGTTTTGGGCTTGGTTACTAAGGCTTTTACTGTGTGTTAATGTGTTCACTACTCCTGTTAATACCTGGGTTTTGGGTTAAGCCACTTAAATCCTTTTGGGAATTAAAAGGGTCACAAATAAGTTAGTTACTAAGAACTGTCTATTCCATGAGACCTATTCCATTCTCACACAGGAGTTAAAGTAGAAATTGAGTCCTGCCTTCTTGCTGAGCCCCAATCTAATGCTTTGCCAGATAAATATATGGAGATAGGGATGTGGATTGTCAGCAGCAGAGAGAGTTGCCCTTCCGTTCTTTAGCTGTGCTTTGGAGGAATATGTATACAGACAGAGGATGACATGGCAGTTGGATGAAGTGTGCTCTTTCTGCAGGTGCCTGTTACGATACAGTGAACAACATGCTGTGGACGTGCTCGAATGATTATATTGATCAGTGGTGTAATCCAGGGAACCAGGCCTTCCATTATGTTTGTCAGAGACTTGGAGTCAGCCACATCATCACTGAGCCCAAAGGTGAGGTGCACTCATGGTCTTACAGGAATAGATTTTTCCGTCATGAAATATGAGAGAAAACACATAGCCCAAGCAACAAAATGTGTCAGCAGCTTTCCCTGAACTTGAAACCTAACATCCTTGTTGCCTGATTGGTTTGTTTGTTTGTTTGTTTTTAGATTTATTTACTTATTTAAGAGAGAGAGCATGATCAGGGGGAGGGGCAGAGGGAGAAGGAGGCTCCCCACTGGGCAGGGAGCCCAATGTGGGACTCAATCCCAGAATCCTGGGATCATGACCTGAGCCGAAGGCAGATGCTTAACCAACTGAGCCACCCAGGTGCCCCACCAGATTGTTTTATGATTAAATAAAGAAATATGTAAATAATAGAGGACTTGAGACTGAGAAAAAACTGTTATGTCACTCTGAAATTGTCAGAACTTTGGTGCAAAAGTTGATTATTTGTACTTGCCATGGGATCATTTGCCATGGTAATGTTTTGCATTGACAACTTATTTATATACAAATTTAAAATTAGAATCACCAATAAAGGATCTGTATTTCTTAATATTAAGTTACTGTTTTTTTTTTTTAAAGATTTTATTTGACAGAGACACAGCGAGAGAGGAAACACAAGCAGGGGGAGTGGGAGAGGGAGAAGCAGGCTTCCCGCCGAGCGGGGAGCCCGATGAGGGGCTCGATCCCAGGACCCCGGGATCACGACCCGAGCCGAAGGCAGATGCTTAACTGAGCCGCTCAGGTGCCCCTTAAGTTACTATTAAAATCTCGTGGCTTAAGGTCAGCTATGGTGGTATGGAGGAGCATAATCCTCTCCCCATAAAGCAATGATAAAATGGACATGATTACCAAAAACAACTATTTCTAGGCTCTGGAAACTGACCAAGGGCATACACCAAGTTGAATAATGAATATTCTTAAAAACCACTGAACTTTGGGTAAGAACAGTGGAAGTCTGTTGTACTCTTAGCTGGGGATGCTCATGTCTCCCACCTTAGGCTTGGTCAGTGCAATATTCTCACCAGGGTAGGGCAGATCCTGTAAACCAGCAGCTTTGCTTCCAGAGGGGGCTGACCTGATTTGAAGCAATACATGGAAAAAATTCCTGCCCAGCAACAATGTCAGTAACAGTACCAGTCTGAGTGGCAAACCAACAGAGAAGACTGGTGGCCTAGTTCGCCTGAGCTGCTCACCTGAGGCTGTGGTCGTGATTAGGGCGAGCAGAGGACCAGCAGACTAACCAGAGATTTACTCATGAGCTCCGGGTAGCGAGGAAGCTACAGAGGGATTTGGTTAGCTACCTGTCCATCTGTGTAGAAGAAGCTGAAGAGGGTCCAACCTAGGTGGTTCACACAGACCTGGCTGAGCAGGAGCCTACACATATGTGTGGAGATGTGAGGGGGTCTCACAAAGTAAAATCCAGGGCAGAGTTTAAAGCGTGTGACCCTTGGTGTGCTACCCCAAAACACACAGACCCAGCCAGAAGGCCATACTTACTTGGCTCAGGCTATTTGAGCACAGACTTTGACTCAAGACTAGATGATCCCTAGGAAACAGGCTTAAAAATAAAAAAATGAAAGTACACAGATGAAAGAAAGTAACAAAGTAGAAAGAAGAATTGAAAAAAACCCAAACCAAACAGAAGTCAGTAGCAGGCGAAACTCCGATGTAGATGAAAACTATAGCAGCCTTTATATATATATTGAAAGATCTAAAGGAAACTCCAGGGTGCCTGGGTGGCTCAGATGGTTAAGCGTCTGCCTTCGGCTCAGGTCATGATCTCAGGGTCCTGGGATCGAGTCCCCACATCGGGCTCCCTGCTCCTTGGGAGCCTGCTTCTCCCTCTGCCTCTCTCTCTCTCTGTCTCTCATGAATAAATAAAAAAAATAAATGAAACTCCATTGAAAAGATGCAAGTATGATGACTATGACTTAAAAAAAAAAAAAAAAAGAGAATTTCAACAAATAAATTTTTGAAAAAAGAACCAGTTAGAAATTCTGGATTTGAAAAGTTCGGTGACTGCAAAGAGCAGCTCAGCAGCAGATTTGACATGGTGGGAGAAATAAATCTGCAACATGGACGTAGATAGATAGAGTCATCCTCTTTGAAGAGCAGAAAAGGACACTCTTGGGGAGTACTGGTCAGGTATTTTGTAGAATGTCCTTCAGTTTGGGTTTATCTGATGTTTTCTCTTTTTTTTTTTTCTAGATTTATTTGAGAGAGAGAGAGCATGAGCAAGGGGTAGGGGCAGAGGGAGAAGCAGATCCCCCCCACTGAGCAGAGAGCCCGATGCGTGGCTTAATCCCAGGACCCCAGGATCATGACCTGAGTCAAAGGCTGATGTTTAACCAACTGAGCCAGTCAAGAGCCCCTGATGTTTTCTCATTTTGAACTGAGGTTTTAGATTTTAGGGAGGAATACCGCAGAGGTGAAGTGCTTTTCTCATTACATCCTATCACACGGCATGTGATATCAACATGATTTATTATTAAAATTGATCACTTGGTTTGGGGCACCTGGCTGGCTCAGTCGGTGGAGTGTACAACTCTTGGCATCGGGGTTGTGAGTTTGAGCCCCATCTTGGGTATAGAGATTACTTAAAAATAAAATCTTAAAAAAAAAAAAAAATTGATCACTTGGGTTAAATGCCAGCTTTCTTCAAAGTTACTATTTTTTCCCTTTCCAGCTAGAAGCTAGTCATTAAGCCCACGCTTATGGGAAAGGGAATTAAGCTCCACCTCCTGGAAGGAAAAGCGTCCCAGAACTTGTGGACATATGTTAATCACCACAGTAATTAATGTTTTGAGGGAGGTGATACTTTGAGGCTATGCAGTTACCAGATTTTTTTATTCTTGAGTTAGTTTGGTAATTTGTGTCTTTCTAGAAATTTGTCCATTTCATCTAAGTTTTCTTATTTGTTGGTATAAAGTTGCTCATACTATTATAATTTTTAAAAGGCCAGTGGTAGCTTCTCTACTTTCATTCCTGATTTTGGTATATGTGTAGATTTACTAAAAATCATTGAATTGTGCACTTAGAATGGGTGAATTTTATCTTAAATTCTATCTTGATAAGGCTGTTGGGGGATTAAGAAACAGCAGGGGCGCCTGGGTGGCTCAGTCAGTTAGATGTCTGACTCTTGGTTTCGGCTCAGGTCATGATCTCAGGGTCCCGAGATCGAGCCCCGTGTTGGACTCTGTGCTCAGCAGGGAGTCTGCCTGTCCTTCTGCTCCTTCCCCTGAGTGCTTTCTTTCTCATAAATAAACAAACAAATAAACTTTAAAAAAAGAAAAAGGTCAACTCTATATTAGTGCCTCCCTAATTATTCTCTCCAAGCTTCTTGCTTAATCTCTAGATTATATATTCACCTGTACTCGGATATCTAATAGGAATCTTCAACTTGTCAAAAAACAAAACTCCGTTTTTTCCCTTCTCCAAATCTCTACCTGCTGAATCCCCAGTATGCTAGTATAGGGATCACAGTTCCTTCATATGCTTAAGCCACAAAATTAGAGTTCTCTAGGAGTCTTTCTCTCACAGTTCTCATCCAAATGGACATCAGCCAATCCTGTCAGCTCCGATCCTCAAGATAGATCCCCAATCCAACCATTTCCCACTATGCTGCTACGACTCTCACCTAGGCATTGGCGGCTTCAGCAGTTGATCACGGTGGCCAACTCCCTGGTTTTCCTTCCTACTTCCTCCACAGTTGCCCTCCTCCGCCCCTGTACACTAATTTTCACACAGTCACCAGAGTCTTCTACAGTCTCTGTAGTCAGATCTGTCCCTCCTCTGCTCCGTCTCCTCCAGCGGCTTCCCATCTAACTCGAAATAAACCTCATTTATTTGGGTAGGTCCCAGAGACTAGCTTTCAGAAAGTGTTTGGTGAGGACGAATATACTAATCCAAATTATTGTAAAAGCAAGGACTCAAGGCACAGAAGAATGTGGAACCCAGCCTAGCCCTCCAGTTAACATACAATTGAAAAGTTCAGTTTTGGCCAAGTTTACCTTCTCTTTGGTTTTCCACGAGTCCTTTCCTCATAGCTTCTAGTGCCCACGATCCTTTTGCAACTCCCAAGTTCCCCCCACCCAGACCCGCCTCTCCCAGATCGCCTGCTTTCCTGTTCCTTTAAGGCAGTTCATTTCAGCTGGTTTAAGAGGAAAAGCAGGTTTTTGGGTTTCATTGTTGTTGTTTTTTGCATTTTGCATTTTGCCTATTTTCACCTCCATTCCGTGAATGCCCATGACCATCCATGGGGTGTTATTATGTAAGAGGATTCTCATGAACCCTCAAGGTTGAACTGATGGCTCTCTAGGTTATAGTGACTAAATGAGATAAAAATGGTGAGGTACTGTGGGAGGAGATATTTGTGGACCTGGGGTGGGGATGCAGTGGGGGTGGTGTTCTATCATAGAGAAGCCATAGAAGATAGATTTTAGTAGATTGGTTCCAGCATGGGCTGTGAGCGGACATGGACTGTATGCAAATCCCAGATCTACACTTAGTAGCTGTGTGACCCAGGGCGAGTTACTTAACCTCTTTGACATTGATTTACTCCTCTACAAAACGGGGCTAAAATAGTCTAAGTTTATAACAGGGTTGTAAGGTAATGCATGTAAAGCATTTAGCCCATTGTCTAGCATATAGAAAGGGCTCTCTCAGTGGTTACTTAAGCTCCTTAAAAATGGGAATTCCCTAGTGTGTTCATTTTCACCCCAGCACTTAGTAGCAGGGAAAAGGATTCTCCAGAATTAGTGGAAGAGATGAGGAACAAGATATTCTGTCCTAGTGCACGTGTACCTTTTGTAAACCAGAGTTCTTTTCCTTGGGGGGCCACGTGTGGAGATGTCTTTCCTCACTGCGTTGCTTTTTTCATTTTTTAGAAGAGGCTATAACCACAAATGAGGTTATAAACCAGTTATTGCACCACGTTGGTGCGATGTGCATACACCAGCTCAATCTTCTTGCCACCAACCCCAGTCTTCCAATCACAAGTGTCTTGGGCAAGCAGCATCCAATTGAAGCATACCATCTTAGCAGTATTTGTGACATTATGGAGAAGGCCATGGTTAACGGAGATACCTGTATCATACGCTGTATTCTCGTTGTCTTTCAGGTAAACGCACTTTTTTGACAGAGGTAAGATCAGAGAGAAAAAGAAACCCGAAACCTGGTTTCAGCCAGCTTATTTCCACCGGAAGAAAAGTTTAGTAATATTCCCCTCTTGTGTGTTAACCACATTCTAATCCTGTAATTAGAATTATAATTATATTCATTGCATTACAGTTAATGGAGTATTGCTGTAGGTAGCTCATTGCAATTAATATATATATATATAATATTTACTATAATTATACTATTACACAATAGAGGAGATTGTGGTTAAAAATCCACCCGGATGTCTGTTCATAAGAATATCTACTATGTGCTTTTTTCATAGGGATAATTTTATCCCTAGTAGAATTAGCATTTTTAGATCTACCCCTTATGTTTCCGTAGGTGGTATTTAAATTTTTCTTCAGCCCACAAACTGAAAGGAATCGAGACATCATTCGACGGTCTGGATTGCTGCTTTGGCAGTTGTTGATGGCCCCAAAAGATCAGATTTGCCCTGAAATTCAGAAGGAAGTGTGTCTTGCCATCAGGTAATCTGCAGATGATTTTCTTCATGGTTTTTGCAAAATGCTTCTCCTGTGCTGCATTGTAATCTTTCCTGAAGTTCAGTAGCATAGAAGTCTCTTACCCCGTCCCACAGTCAGGACCTCGTGCATAGGGAGTAATTTAACCAGAGGGGCTTGTGGCCCCAAGCCATGTGTGTAACTACGTTCCTTAGCTTGCCTTTTGGATTTTGAAAGAAAAATAAAAGCAAAACCGTTGAGAGGATTTTTTGATGGTTGCAAGTGGATGTTCCTGTCGTTTAGGGAGAGTATGTGGCAAGGTGGCAAAGAAGCAGGTTTGGACAGCCAGCAGACCTGGCTGGGTTCTAGTCTTTGCTCTGCCACTTACAAGCTCGGTTCATGGCTTCCATTTCCTCAGCTGTAAAGTGTACATAAAAATAACACCTACTTTAAGAGTTTGTGAGATTTTTAATAAGATAAACTCTGATATAAAGTGCTCAACAATATTAGCCTTTTAAATTCTATTTAAAACCTTGGTAGAAAAGATGGCAGAATTTGTGGGCCATTTTCTGTTTATTATCATTTAATTTTTTTTTTTTTTTTAGTGCAATGAACTTTTATCCAGGAATATAGCCTTAATGTGACCAAGTATAATTTAGTGACCAAGAGAGAACTGAATGCTTGGTCTGGAAGAACTGTCTGATGGGAGTGAGCAGAGAGGGAGGGTTTTTTTTTCCCCCCTTCCATAATCGATTATGCTTTGGGTCTCTTTCTGTATTAAGTATGAAGGCAGTAATTTAAATCTGGTGTCATGAGGAAACTTCTGAGGGTAATGGGTATGTTCACTGCCTTGATTGTGGTGATGGTTTCATGGGTCTATGCATAATGTCAAAACTTGTCATACTTACACTTGAAAAATGTGGACTTTATTGTATGTCAAACCTCATTTAAAAAAAAATAATAACAGTTCTGACACTACTTGCAGTACTTTTCATCTTGTCCTTTTGGAAAAGCTGAGATTTAGAAATTCCACTTCTCGAATGTGCTTTTGGCCACAATCTGGATATATACCTGGCTCAACTGCATTGACTTTTTTTTTTTTTAATTTATTTATTTGACAGACAGCGAGAGAGGGAACACAAGCAGGGGGAGTGGGAGAGTGAGAAGCAGGCTTCCCGCCGAGCAGGGAGCCCGATGCGGGGTTCGATCCCAGGACCCCAGGATCATGACCTGAGCCGAAGGCAGACGCTTAACGACTGAGCCACCCAGGCACCCCTACGTTGACTTTTTATAGCTCAGTTCTCTTTAACCAGTTCCATATCCAGCCTCAGACAAGATCTTATTTTGGTAACTCGTAGACACGAGAAGGAGTGCCTGTTTATCACAGAGGTGAATGGGCTATATCGTGACAGTGAATTTAGGTTCAGCCACTTTGTTAGTGATGAAGCTTCCCTCCGAGTTTTATGTAATCACACTGCCATTTTTTTTTTTTAAAGATTTTATTTATTTATTTGACAGAGAGAAAGCACAAGCAGGCAGAGAGGCAGGCAGAGAGAGAGGAGAAGCAGGCTCTCCACTGAGCAGGGAGCCCGATGCGGGACTCGATCCCGGGACTCCAGGATCATGACCTGAGCCGAAGGCAGTCGCTCAACCAACTGAGCCACCCAGGCGCCCCACATTGCCATCTTTAATATAAATACAAATTAAAATATTTAGAGTTTGGATTTTCTAGAACATTTGTTGAAAAGCTTTTTGACTTTTCTGTCCTTTCAGCTCTGGTTTAAATATCTTATACCCCGGTGAAACCGAAATCAATAACTTACTGAAGCTGGTCTTAACGGAAGGTGAGAATTATCCTTGAATTCTCCTTGAACAGTCATCCCTTTTTTTTTTGTCCCTAAGGAAACCACTGGCTATTAAGATAATAGATATTTCTTTTCTTCATACCTGTTAGCATTCCTCTTAAAATGTATCTGCACATATGCTAACGCTTCTACTGGGCCGAGAGCAGAAACTGTTCTATGTATCTTCAAGCTTTATAAACCTTTTTCTATCCACACCGCTTAGCAGAAGGTGCCTGACAGTAGATGTTTAATGCACGTTAAAGATAATGACCTCTTGGGGATTTTCTAAGTCAGTTTGTTTCCTCCAAAACCCAACTTTTAAAGTTAGACTAAATAAATGCAACAAAGTTCACCCTGTCAAAGACACTCTGCATTTAAAAGCAACATTAACTTAAGGAATTAGAGATCACGCTTTATGATGTATGAAGAGGTGACTTATGCTTAGGTCAGGATGTACTGGTTTTAAAAAGTCTGATTGGTTGTGATGTTTTTGCTGCTGCTGTTTGTGTGAGTACATGTGCCTGGAGCCCCTAGATTGTCACCAGTCTGTTCCTTTCAGAACTTGTTTTGATACCCTCAGTTTTCTAAGTGTAATCACCAGGGTCATTTATGGAGCTTTGTTCTGTGTCAGGAGAGAGAAACAGCGGCCTCTCCCAGCTGCGGGATGTGATTCTAACGAATTTAGCTGAACAGCTTCAAAACAACCGATTTGGCAGCGAGGAGGATGAGCATTACAGGTGACACCAGTTAATGCTGTTGACTGCTCGCCTTCTCTTTGTCTCTTTCCCAGTAATTAATTTACACTTAAATGTATTTGATCAATGTTAGTCTCCTGTAATATGATATGATAATTAGCATGTTAAGTCAAAATCACAGATAAATTGAAAGATAATAAATCCCACACTTGCCCTAAGAAGCGATGATAGCATTTTTCAGTTTTATCACCAGAGTACCTTAGGCCTGCAGAAAGGTTCTTAGTGGAAATAAGAGTTGGAGCTTATTTAAAAATCTTGGTGGAGGGTGCCATTCAAATCGCTGGGCTATGAGGGAGGGTAAGGGTGTGGTGAGAGCTAGGAAGGTGAGAAGGTGTTGGTTTTCTTTGCTGTTTATAAAATACTTGGACTGGGTGCTTGGGTACCATTTTGTTCCTGTAAGTTTGATTTAGATAATACACCTGGTTGTTAGCATCATTACTGAGTAAGATGATTTACTTACAGAACCAGTTAATTTTGTGTCTTCTATTTGTCATCTCGTACCAATTGTATACAATTTATCCTTTTATTATTAAACCATTGGTATCTTACTGTTACATTTTTCCTGCATTTTAAAGACTAAATGATGAACTTTTACACTACATTCTGAAGATTGTTGTGCGGGAATCCTGTATCTTAATCACCAAGTGCCAAACTGTCTCTAAAGAGGATTTTCAAAAACTCCTTTCAACTGTGCCTGTAAGTAAAAATGTGTTTAATGAAGGCAAAATTATGTGTCCCTGTTTTCACGTTACCGTATTGAGGTGTGTATGTACCCATGACCGTAACACACACACTCTCCAAGGCAGCCTTAGTTGATGAAAGTCAGTGGGTGACTGTTTCTCCTGGTAATACAGAACCGAACGAATCCACTTGGAATACTTTGTCTAAAGACTTTATTCCTCCTGCTTAAATGTCTTGATGCAGTAAATTGTTTAAGTTTGGATGTTTTCATTTTGTTTAAAATAGGATTTCCCCTCCTGTTAATTTTCAATGTAGCATTGTTTTCTAAAGCATCACTGTTACACAGATTGGGAAGAGCCAAGAAATTCTCTTAAGGGTTTGGGTAGACTCTTCTCTAGTGGAGATGCATGAGAGAGGACGAGGGGTGGGGGAAGAAGAATTAATAAGAGGGACAAATTCAAGTAAGTATCTGTGTGATTAGTGTGAATTCTGTAGCAGAAGGCACAAAGTTACAGTAAATGTGTCAAATGACGTATCAAAAGCCATGTGGAAATAAGTCACCTGAGAAACTAACCTGGTCTGTTTTCTGTACTTTCTCTTTTGCTTCCCTTGTCCAAATCTTAAAACACATGAGGATTACATGACCCCTTCTTTCAGTAGGGTGTAGATCATCTAAATGCCCTTATTTGTATTAAAGGCTGCATCCTCCTGCCTGCGCTATCTGATGGCAGTTCAGAACCACCTTCTCAGTAACACTATTTTGATTAAACCCGATGAGAATGATGACAGTGACAACTCCTTGCAGGGAGAGACATTGAAGGTACAGGTAAACACCAAGCTTTCTTCTAACGATGCTTTCTACCCAGTGTGTAAAGCACAGCTTAACTGGCTAAATCTCTGTGTATTACAATGTCAGATGTCACCATGTGGCTTATGTTTTTGTGAGAGGTGATATTAGGCCACTCATTTCATAGGTTTTTGTCATTGCACAGTGGTTACCGTATTTGTGACACTCTCATAGTGTGTCATCCATGTGCTCCTGTCAATCTTTTTGTGCCTCGTTTATTTTCATCTTTTTAAAAGAACTATAAAATATGGCACTTACAAGTGATCTACGCATCTGAAATTTATGTGTATTTATAGATAAAATAAATCTGGGTGCATAACATTTGAAATAATTTTGACATTGTGGCTGCTTTGTGATATTCCCTCCATTCAAATAACTTCCAAAAGGTGATAATTTTCTCACAACCTCTATATCGAATAATTTCTAAACCTACAGTTCATTTCATCCTCTGTAATTATTTTTAAGTTAGCTTCTGTGTAAACTCAATAATTTGTTCCCACATTGCAATTTATAGCAATCCAAAGATTTTTTTATAGCAGTGGATGTTATAATTTTGACAGATGCTGGAGGCTGTTATTTGCATTGTTCTTCAGAATTTCTTCTTTGTGAAAGAATGGGAGAAATCAATAAGAACTTGATTCTTCTTTAAAATGTTGACTAAAACACACTGAAAAATTAACAAGGACGCCAAAAAGCTAAAAGCCATTATAGTTGCCCTTTTCTTACTCCTTTACACATGCGTACTGTGAGACCCATACCCTTGCTAGTTCCTAGTTCCTGTTTATGAGGTGATCTTATTATAGAGTCAGTTTTTAAACATGCAAAAGTGCATGAATTAATCATTTCAGCTGCTGATACTACTGATTAACTTCTCTTGCCTTAGTTTCCTAATCCAGTGAGAAGGGGCAGTAGGTCTCCCTTGTGAGGCTCTGTGAGGGTCAGAGCAGGAAATGCCCCCGCTGTGCCGTAGTCGGTCAGCACGCGGCGGCTGATGGCATCCATGGGACTTAAACCATGGTTTAGCCCGTCAGTTCAGAATTCCTTTTCTCTTAAATGATAAAAACATCTTAATAATTCCAAGAAAGGCCCCAGGAAAGTCCAGTAATGAAAACCAGTGTTTTCTCTTTGAAAGGCTAAATTCCATAAGTTCTTCATTAGCCCATGGAGAGAAATACTCATGACAGAAGAGGCTGAGGTGTCCAGTATTTCTGGGAAAAATTAAAAACCCAGTTTTCACCTAAAGGGTTAGGTTGGTCGTATTTTTTTTTAATAGAAAATAATTGTAAACTAAATATTTCTGTGATTTTAACTAGTACTTCTTAACACATTATTTAGTATTTGTACGCCCATGAACTCTCTAATAGTTATTTTTAATGTTTGATAGCCTGTAACTGCCTGCTACTTTAACTGAATTTTTAACCTGCCTGCTTTCGAGTGTAATGGTTTAAAACATTAAGTAAAAAGGTCACTTGTACTGTTTCAGAATGTTGTGTTTTGTCTCATTTATTCACCGCCTATACATGCGCCTTTTACTGTTCTGTTTTTCTCTTTAGCTATCCTCATACCACCCAAGGCAATCTTCCACCTGGACAGTTTCTGGTCTGGCCACCGGGAGCTCTCTTGTGCTGGAGGGGATGGGAGAAATGCCTTTTCTCCCAGGGACTCGGTGTGCTCCCCGTGAAATACTGCGTATTTCTGTCAGCACTCCAGACCTTAGCCTCCCAGATCAAATTGCTACTTGCCATCCTAGCGGAACTTACTGCTTTGGGCTTATTCTGGCCACCTCATTGTTTAATTTGGAAATGCATCATTAAATACATCATTCCATGTTGTCGTTGTGAGTGTGCACTCATCACAAAGCTGAAAAATAATAATATGGTATTTTCTACCTAGGAGCTAAAGGTCAGTATTTTGGCTCTTGCCACCCAAATCCTGACTGGATGTGATGAAGTGTTGGAAATGCTACAGCAGGTCACAACTGCCCTCATAAATAGTGACCTAGCTGACCGTGAACAGAGGTGAGGAACTGGCGCGTGAGCTGTGACCTGCTGCCCTTCAGGAAGCAGAATTTGCTTATGAAAGCAAAATCTTTTAGAACATTGCATGTTCATATAACGTAGAGGGATTTTTGTGAGAATAGGTTGAAACGGCAAGTGTTTCAATGCCAAGTGTGATCGAACTCTTTAATGGTGCTTTTCGGTGAGACTGGGCCAACAGCCATGGTCTAAGGGGGCAGCGAGGTTGTGGTGCACAGCCTCATCGCTGACATTCGGGTCTGCCACCATCGTCGCCCCCAGACTGGCCTTTCCTTCAGTTATCTGGCTCAGCACCTTGTGCACTGGGTTCCCTTGTGATAAGGACTTTAGAGAGGCAGAGATGACTTAGTAATACGGAAAATTAACTGCCGTGCAAAAGAGGACGCTGACGGGATGTCTTAAGATTTTACTGTAATTTTACTGCAAATACAGGAGTGACCTACATAGAGGGTAATCTTCTCTTTCCCAGTAATAAAGCTTTCTTAGTCCTCCCCGTTACAATTTCGGCTATGGTTTGCTGTACATCTGTGCTTATTGATGATTTTAACGTTAGAGATACTGATCCCAAACAACCCTGCAGTGTAATTTTTCCTCCTGTAGGGCTGTCTGTCCCCGTGTCCCTGTTTCTTGCCCATTCCCAGAGAGTAGGTGGCCAGGTTGGAACTGGGGACAGTATAGCCCAGATAGGCATTGCACTGGGGCTTGATAAGACACCAGGTGGAGCCCACTGCTGGCACACAGTGCAGATTTGTCCTGGGGAGGAGGGACAGTCTGAGAGCCTGAGAGATGGGAGGTCTGTTTCTTGTTCCAATCCCAGTTTCCTAAGTAGCCTTGGAGAATTTACATAACCCACATCTTTCTTTGGGTGAGTCACATATCTTAATTCTTCTAGCAGAGGTTTGGGATATTAAGAATGTGATTTTGGGTAATCATTTTACGATGTATACATATGTCAAATAATTATACAACTTAAATTTATACAGCCTTGTATCTCAATTACATCTCAATAAAACGGGGAGGGGCGTCATGTGATTTTAAAAGCAAATTAAAAATCTGTGTTGTAGCCAGTTACTTTTTCCCTGTCAGAGACCCCACACCTGTGGCACCAGGCCCCAGGGAACTTTGCACATGGTAACTACCTAGAGTAGCCGTTTGTATTTCAGAAGCCATTTATAAAGTGCTTCAGAGGTGCTACGAAATGCACTGTGTAAACTTTTTTAGCAAAACCACGGGTTGAAGGTGAAGCCCATTACTAGATGTCTGTCCTCTCCCTCAGCGGTAGAAGGTGGGAAATTTGTGGACTGAATTGCTATCGCTGTAAGTGCTCAAGCAGTTCAAGGAAATGCAATTTAAGAGAATTTGTTGGAGAAAGATGATGGTTGCTTCTTCACGTGATTAGGAATTGCTTAAGCTGTGTGTTTTCTTGAACTTCTTATAGGTTGAAAGGCTTGGAACAAGTTACTAAGGCTACTATGCTTGGTCACCTTCTTCCAGTGTTACTGACCTCGCTGATGCATCCAAATTTACAGACTCTGACCATGGCCGACGCCCTGATGCCTCAGCTAGTGCAGCTGGTGCTCTACACCAGTCAGGTACGACCCTCGCTGTGCCAAAGTGAGCTGCTCTTCGGCCAACCCACTTCACGCTGCGGCCACGTGCATTCACTGAAGGCCGAGTAAACATAACCGTGTCTGTCGTAAGCCAAGGGAAATAACAATGGAATGAAGAAAAATATCGTGTCCTAAAAATAAGCTAAATTATTAAGGGAAAACACATCTGTTTGACTAAATTACTTAGTGCAGTCTTACAGCAGGTGTGGATTGCCGGGTGGCTGTAAAAATGCTAAGCTACAATGCTACTGGGATCCTACCATTATATTCAGTTTCCTGAGTCCTTGCCAGCTACTGGTGACTAACAGAAAGGATATGTGCCATTCCGGCATTAAATAAAATGGTGTTAAGTGGTCTAAGTAGCAAAGCATTTCTTCGTGCAGGAGGGCAGACGAGGATCGTAAAAAGATGACTTAAGTGAGAATTCTAAATTTGGCTCTAGTACCATCCAGATACCTGACAGTAAGCACTTTAAGACATGATGATGGTTTTGTGTTTCAGACGGCTTTGCTGCTTAAAACCCAGTGTCCAGTTTTTGCCGAGGTGGGCTGTTCCCCATGTGGTGCATCAGACCAGAAGGGCAGGCTGTTCCCCGATGAGAGGTGAAAGATGCTGCTTCCTTGCAGGAACCCCTGCCTTGTTTTCTTCTGGTGAAAGCCTAGTTCTCCTTTTACAACACTGATTTTTAGCAAGGATTATGTAACTGGAAAAAGAGTCTAGGGTCAGCATTTTACAGATAATTATAGAATTGCTTTGTAGACTTATAGGACCGGGTTAGAGTAAATTGCCCACACATCAAGAGATTAAAGATTGACAAATTCTCATATACCAGTGATGGAGATGTAAAATATTATGATTTTGGCAAATAGTGTGACGGCTTCTTGAAAAGTTAAACATACACCTACCACACGACCTAGCTATTCCACTTCTGGGTATTTACACAAGAGAGAAGAAGGCATAGGTTCTTACAAAGACTTGTATATGAAGGCTCATAACAGCCTTAGAGTAGCCCAAGACAAGAAACAACCCAAACGTCTATCATCAGGTGAATGGATAAACGAATTGCAGTATATTCGTATGATGGAGTCCTACTCCGCAATAAAAGGGAGTGAACAGTTGATATACGCAACAACATGGGTGAATCTCAGAATCCTTATGCTGAGTGAAAGAAGCCAGATCCCCCCCTCCAAAAGTACATACTGTATGATTCCATATATAGGAAACTCCAGGAGATACAAACTAATTTCTAGTGATAGAAAGCAAAAAGTGATTGCCTGGATTACAAGAAGGAGGAAACTTCCTGAGTATATACATATGTCCAAACTTACCAAGTTGTACACTTTAAATATGTGTAGTTTAGTACATGTCGATGAAACTTAAAGCTGTCTTTAAAAACACTGATCAGAAAGGAACGATTTTTTGCGTTTCTCTGGAACAGGGTGCTATGCAGCTGAGCTTTGTGCAGTGACGAAACTTTGCAACTTTGTTGTCCAGTACCATCCGCCATAGCCACATGCTGTTACTGATGACCATCAGTGTGGCTGATGTGATCTAGAAACTGAATTTTCAATTGTATTTATTTCAGATTGAATTTAAATGGCCGCATTTGACTAAGTGGCCACCATATGGGCTAGGGCAGAGCTGAAAAAAGAGTGTTGATTCCACAACAGCTAAGTGTTGGTTGTAGGAGTTTGTATGCCACAGCCTTGGGCTGTGAAGTCCTTGAGAGTTTAATTACAGTAGATAAGAGGACTTTGAAGGCACTTTTCTTTAGTAAAAATTACAGTAAAAACTAGTCACATAGATTCATGGAGTTTTCAACAATTGACGTTTAGATAAGAACAATAGGGACCTTGATAGGGCAGGATACTAATCCTGTGGGATTTGGAAAGTGACCAATCTTAAGGGTCCTTTGTAGCATCTTTTTTTTTTTTCCCTGAGTAACTTGAAATGAGAGTTGGTGAGGTCCTTTCCTGGATATGAATTGGGCTTTCCTTCTTGAAAAGAGAGGGGGAAAAAATGCAAATACATTGTCTAACAACAAAAAAGAAAGAAAGAGCCTTAAATATAGGAGTTTTTAAAATGTTTCTGATCGCCACTGATACCTAGCATTTAAAAGCCGCAAGGATAAAAAATAAAATCTGCAAGGATGTGGAAAAGTAAAGCAAAATTTCTGAACCTTTTATATTTTACTATGTGTACATCTCCTTTTTCCTCTCCTCGCTGCTAAGCTAAATCACTTTCTCTCTGTCTGGTTTTAGGATGCTGGAAGAGAAGGAAGAGCCAGGCTTTCTCACTGGTTTAAAGATTCCTGCTCCATGGGCTGCTGGGAAGACTGTGGAAACAGTCCACCCTGTCAGAGACAACTATAAATTTAAAGAAACTGTCCACATCCCAGGAGCTCGCTGCCTGTACCTTAGATTTGATAGCAGATGCTCTTCACAATATGACTATGACAAAGTAAGCAAGACTGGCTTTGTACTGGCTCCACCTCCAATAAGCTGATTTCTTAGATGCTTCTTATTTTTCTTTGCTCCTGGTCACCATTCTTGACTTACTTCTGTCTGCAGATGTCTCTTTGGAGAACTTTAAGATATGCCTTGAAGGATAGTGGTTGGGAAATTAAAGAACCAGCAGCTCTGTGTTCTAAGAACTGTATTTTCATGACATGCTGAAAGTGTACTTTTGTAAGCTTTCAAAAAGTTTAGATCTGAGTCAGAGGAAATTTTCCTTACTGCTTACCTATTGCCTTCCTTCTGTGCTTGGAGTTCCTGTAGACAGGCGATGTCCATTCATCTAGAAAGTTCTTACTGCCCAATTCTGGGGCTTCTCATGTATTCTTTGGGAGAAGGTGGCCTTTTAGAAGAGTTTCAGATGTGCTAGGATCTGTTTTATTTTTATTTAAGTTATTTTTTCTTTGTTGTCAGCACCTCCAGGCCCACGTAGATTTTGAAAAAGAGTAGTTTCCAACCTAGTGGCTTAACAGTTTTAAGTGAAAGGAAACATTTGAGGGGTTGTAGTATTTTTTTTCTGTTTATATTGTTGCATTGCAAACTGCCATGTTGAACTCAGGAGGAAAGGTGAATGAACTTGTGACACATAAGCTTATACAAGAACAGCTGAAGGATTATTGCATAGCTTTGTACATATACAGGACTACATTTATGTAGATTTTTAGCTATCCGTTGTCTCCTCTGTGAACTGTATAAGGGCAAAGATCTTAAATCCCTTCTGGGGAGATTCGTAAGTGAAAAATAAAGGACTTCTTAATGGTATATACTCTGAGATGGTGAGACACATCACTGAGCAAATTATAGAATCCTCTTTCCCATCATCTTTTAGGGTAGTGAAAACTCCCAGGTGTCCAGAGGGGTTTAAGGCTTGCCTCCAAAACTCACTTTAGCTTGAGGCAAGAGAATTTAGAAAATGGTCTTTGGTAGGCCTTTCAGAGAATAAATCTCCCGCCATCAGCCTCCCCCTCTTCATAGTTCCTGTCATCAGCTACCCCCATTTCCTACATTTAAGTGCTATGACTGTTTAAAATAGAAATGGAGAGATTGGCATATCAGTTGGTGTAATTTTGTTTCTCCTTTAAAACCAGTAATGTGCATCTTCTGACGTATGCTAGCCAGCACCTGCAGTGGGCATCATTGCTCAGTGTGGAGGCACAAGGAGATGTACTCCACAGATAAAAGTAACATTTACTTTTCCAGTGGTCCCGGTTGGTGTCAGCAAAAGGTCCAACAGGGTAAGAGAGCACACCATGATACACGTCAAGGGTTAGAAGCATAGCTTCTAGATCCACACTGAGCTCTCTTGGGTAGTCAGAGGTGGTCAGAGTGCATGTTCGAAGACAGGATTTGGTATTTACAGAACCCAGAGCCTCATTCTTCCAGTGGAAGTATTTGAATGCCAAATGACCTCTAAATGTTTCTCCTGCATATTAGAAAGTTGGTTAATTGGATTTAAATAAATAATCTTTATTGAAGAAAAGTATTGACACGTGAAAACTGACCCAAGAAGCTGCAGCCCCCTTTCTGGCCTAAATATGTGTCATTTTCTTTTTATACCATTAAGCAACATTCTAAAGATATATGGCTTATTTTCCATTTGTTGCATTTTTAAAAATCCTCATTCATTGACTTTTTGGTTTTTGTGTATGTGTGTGTGCTTTTTTTTTTTTTGCCTTTATTTCATTGTGTTAGATATAACCATCTTTCCATCTGTATTTGCTCACTTTAATTTGGGGGAGGACTGAAGGGGACAAACTGTACCTGTTATTAATGAGTTAGATGTCATTACTTGGCATTAAAATCACTACTTAAAACCTATATATGTGTACTAGCTGGGTAGAACTATGTTAACATGAGGTTCCCTAGGCAATTAAATCGTGGCAAGAGTCATTGTACCCAAATTAGTATCAGTTGTACCTTAAAAATCAGGGAATATTAGTTCTATAATAACGACACCAGTGCCTGGTTATAAATATGTTTTTAAACAAACTTTTTTTTGCAGCCTTTTTATTTGTAGATGTTGTTTTTGTTTTTCTTTTACAGTCTAACAGTGTATTTTCTGTTTTGAAGTTGGTGATATATGCGGGGCCTAACACAAACAGTAGGAAGGTTGCTGAGTATGGAGGCAACACACTGGGATATGGCAGCCGTAGTGTCTTAGGAACTGGCTGGCCCAAAGACTTGGTGAAGGTATGGTATCCAGTCAGATCCACTTCCTAGAAAAGAAAAATGAACTCCCATTCCCTCTGGGCCTGAGTATTAACTCCAATTCCAGACAGAAACATTGTCCGTGGGTGCTTTTGTTGAGCTGGGGCTGTCTTGCCAGGCCTGGAAACTCAACTACCTCGTTCAGAATGACCGTCCTTTAACTTGTAGGGCCTCAGACCCCTGTCCGCTCCAGAACTGGGATCCATTCTCCAGGGACTGAGTGCTCACAGCATTTCCTTCCCTGTCCATTAAAAGGCCTGCTAGTTCTTCCAGCTTGCTTCTTCTCTGCCCTCTCCTGTGATGGGTATCCTAGAACCACAGGGCCATTGCAGTTTAGAAATGTGGAGTCAGTGTTTTCAAAACGAATTGGGGCCTCTGGAGCAATACTAATGATCCATCCTCAAATTGATGAGATACCAGTCATGCTTTGTAATCGGGGCCCTGGAACTACAACATATCTACCTAGAATATGAGTATGAACTGAAACGCCCACTAAAACCTGTAAACCTCTCCAGAGTCTGTCTTGGAGCCTTGATCTCAAATGCATTACGTATCCTCTTTAATTCAGCCACAGACAGCAAGTTACATCTAGGCGTATAGTCTGGATGTATCCAAATCCCCGTCAGCACGACACTTTTAATTGTTCTTTCATTTCCTACATTTTGTTTCTTACTCGTGGTGTTGGTTCTGCAATACAGAGCAAGGTCTTCCAGCACTCTGTGTTCTTCAAGATATGGGCCGTTTGCCTGCCCTACCAGGACAAGTGAGGTGGTGAAGTGGACAGGGGGAGGGCAGAAAGAATAGAAGTCTGAGGAATTTATTGAAATTATGCTCAAGATTTAATCTTTACTGTGATCCTGCTATTGGGCAGTCGTGGCCCATTTCACAGATGCCTCGTCCCCAGACCTACCTGGTCAGGAGAGACACCTGAAAGGTTGGTGTCCAGATGAGGGGATGGAATTTGAGTCAAGCAAGTGATTGAGAAAAGGAGTGAAATATTGCTGTGGTCCTTTTGAAAGTAAATCTCTGAAATTCATTGCTCTCTTGAAAATCATGTGTCTTGTTTTTAAAGTGTATTTTCCCCCCCTTAAATTTTAAGGTGGAAGGAGATACAGTCACCTTCTCCTTTGAAATGAGAAGTGGCCGTGAACACAACACTCCCGATAAAGCTATGTGGGGCTTTGCTTGCACAGTTCGCGCTCAGGTACTTGAATCTAACCACTGCTGTGGGCATAATGTACTTTCTCCTGTGTGCCTCGGTTACATACATCATATTTGCCCTGGAAACAGGGCAGAATATGAGCTGCGGTTTCATCCATCTCTTCCATTTGGCATTCGTAGACTATCACAAGTAGTAGTTTTTTGGAATAAAACTAGCTGTGACCTAAAATCCATTCAACAGCACAGAAAGAATCCATTGCTAGGGGCTCCGTCTTCAAAGCCTGGAGAGGTGATCTGCCTCCAGCATCTTTCCATAGGGCGAAGAAGACTCGAACACCTAATAGAAGTAAGCACTGGGACTCTGGGTTTTTAGAGTAGTGGGATCAGATTTTCATTCTATTCTCAACGGCTCATCTTGCTAGTCTAGGTCTGTCTCTGCTTAATTACATGTGTTACACGCTGTATATGGGTTTAATCTACTCCTTTTAATGTTACCAAATAGTTACTTTCCCCCAGGATTCTAGGTAAATTCTTTTCCCACCTGGGGTTAAAAAACAAAAACAAAAACAAGTATTAGGAGTTCTTCTAACCCCTTCAGTTGCCTGATTTGTAAAACCTATTTTAGACTTGGAGATTGCTTGAGTTTAACCAAACTAACACACTCTAGAGTGAAAGTGTCTACTAGAATGAAAGCTCTGTGAGGGCGGGAATCTTTTTTCTCTGCTGTATCTCAAGCACCGAGAATGATACGCTCAGATATTTGTTGAATGAATTCAGTATAAGGGATTGACAATATCTTGGTTCGAGCACAGGATGGAGGTGACAAGGATAGGCACAGCAGAGAGGAATCCATCCAAAGAATCCTGCATGAGATTTGTGCTGTCTCTAATACGGAGTCTTATCAGCTCTTCTCTCTCCAGAATTGTGTTGAGACTTCACTCTGTGGTCATTGCCCCGTGCCACCATCTTTCTCCTCATGGTGTTGGGGACTGTCCTTGTGTCCGAGAGCAGTGACACATGATGCTGCTCCGTGAGCCCCTGTGGTCAGTGCGGTGCAGCCCAGGTGCAGGTGCTCGGCTGTGCACACTGACCAGTGTGGTTTGCCCCTCTCTGTGTTGTAGGAGTCGTCGGAGGATGTGTCGGGAGGCTTGCCCTTTCTGGTAGACCTGGCTTTAGGTCTGTCTGTGTTAGCTTGTTCCATGTTGAGAATCCTGTACAATGGACCAGAAATCACCAAAGAAGAAGAAGCCTGTCAGGAGCTATTGCGGTCCAAACTTTTACAAAGGTAAAAGGCTCAGATAGGACTAGTTTTGCTCACAGAGGAAAATGGACTTCGTGTGGAAAACTACTTTTAGTACATTTCCCAGCTCATTGTGCAGACTGCCTGACAATCCCATAGGTGTCATTGTCATTAAGAAAGAAGGTGAAAATTACAGCAAAGTGCCTTCTGGCCCTTACTTTACTAAATTTGAAATTACAGCCTTGAGTGCATAAGCTTTTCTCCAACCCACATATTGTATAATTAAATTAAAGGATCCCCAAAAGGAGGAGTAGATGAGTGATAAAGCAAACCTATCAAAATGTTTATTCTAGAATCTAGGCGGTGGGTATATGGGCATTATCCAATGGATGCTTTCAACTTTTCTGTAGATTTAAAACTTTTCATAATAAAATGTTGGGGAGGAGGTAGATTCCCAAAGATGTGGTTTCATTTAACGCTCATGTTCCTTTGGCCTCTGGAGAATGTTTGATGAATATTTAACACGTGATGTGATCCTTCGTATATTTGATGTATCTGCAAGCTTTCCATGGCTTTCCAGTTGGAAGAGGAAATGAAGGAGCCCCTTTTCTGTCTGTTCAGGTGCCAATGGCAGGTGGAGGCCAATGGCGTGATCTCTCCTGCCCTTACTCCAAGCCCATCTCCACTGCCACTGACCATCGAGGAAGACAGAGAATTCACCTACCCCTCTGACGTCCTCGTGCCTCCCGTTGGAAACTACTTTGACCTGCCCCGGATCAGGCTGCCTCCAGGAATCATGATAAAGCTCAGGGAAATTTCTGGGCGTGCTAGACCTCAATTCAGACCAAGTATAAAGTATGTTGCTAAGTAGTGCGCTATTTTTCCCATTGGGAAAAAAAAAGGTTTAAACAATGGGAGGGGGTAAATTTCTTCTCCTGGTCTAGCAAATGAACCTTTAATTTTACATTTACTTAATGAACGCTAACCACGTACTCTGGGGAGTCCCCTCAGGTGGTATTCCAGGCCATCGGGTGTCAAGGTGTGGGCCCCCAGTCAGCAACAATAGCAACACCTGAACCCTTGTTAGCTCTTGGGCCCCATCTCACACCTGCTGGATCCGAACCTCTGAGGATGGGGCCCAGGTTTTGACAAGTTTTCCATAGGATTCTGAAGCATGCTAAAGCTTGACAAGTTCTAGGTTTTTCTCAGGTGGTTTGACTGTCTACTCGAAGTCCTCAACTTTGGTTTTCTTAGTCCAGAGAGAGATGGTGAGGGGTCTTTCATCTGGAGTATGAGGTCAGGCACTTATAAATGTCTTTGTGGTCTTCTTGCTTAAAGTCTGTTTGGTGGCCTCTGCGCGGTCTTCTGAAGCATGATTGGCCTTCAGAGAGAAAAAATTTAAGGATAGTTGAAATTTAAAATGAAAAAATACAGAAACACAATTCGTTTTCAGCCCAACATCCATATGTATGAGATACCACAAGCCATGGTACTGCGTAAAATTAATTGGCACATAAATGGTGCCAAAGATCTTTTGTTAGTCTTAGACCTCTTCCAGCTTTAATATGACTCTAGCTCAAAATATAAAATTAAAGAAAATGGAGTCTCTTTAAATTTGATTTTCACTTTATCAGCTGATGTCAGTTTTGTCAGTTAAACATACTAAGTTATTGCCAACTTGATATGAAAGCCATCATAATGTTCATGCCTCTTTATTGTAATAAAGAAGGTATGGTGAATATTTAATGTATTTAAATCAAAGCCTACACTCCTCAACCTACTGAATACAGGATTGGTAACTTGAGAGCATGGCATCTACCTGACTAGTTTCTATTGTAATCACAGAGAAGTGATTCAGCCAGACGTGATGGAGGAAATGGTGGTATCATGTGTTATTAAGCACTTGAACTTGGTTGATGCACTGCAGTCCCTAATAAATTTCCAGTATCAAGAAGAACATGCTGAGGAATATGACTTACTGTGTAAAATTATGGGAGAGACCTTCAAGAAACTCAATGCCATGGAGAGACAGCTGCAGGTAAGTGAAGGCTAACGTGTTTAGATTTCTCAAGTGTCGGAAATAATTTCTTTCCTAGAAATTTAATCAAGTTTAAAAAGTGACCTGAAGGGGCGCCTGGGTGGCCCAGTTGTTAAGCGTCTGCCTTCGGCTCAGGTCATGATCCCAGGGTCCTGGGATCGAGCCTCTCATCGGGCTCCCTGCTCAATGGGGAGTCTGCTTCTCCCTCTCCCACTCCCCCTGCTTGTGTTTCCTCTCTCGCTGTGTCTCTGTCAAATAAATAAATAAAATGTTAAAAAAAAAAAAAAAAGGTGACCTGAAGTTTTAAAAAGTTACGACTAAAATTTCCAAGTTTGCAGAGTGCACTTGTTTTTATTTTACGTCTCTTCTCATATTGTTTTGTTTTATAATGTATCTATCAGAGTGTTGCAGAATTGGAGCAGAAATGGCAAAGCGAGGTTGATGATGCCATGCAAGGGAAGCTAGAGAACAACATGCCTTTCTTCTATGATTACCATTTCAATGAGGTGAGCAAGTTATGTGATTTATCATTGGTATTTACAGTGCAAAGGCACATATCGTGTGTGGGGGGGGGGCGGGGGGGTATGTGTGGAGAGACCAAGTAACATTACCTGTTAAAATGTTGCACATGCCAAAATGTACCCATTCTTTACAAAGGTTAAATAAAATTAGATCAGCATATCAATAACACAAATATAAATTATTAAGTTGTTTTTAACTGATTGATAGTTTTACCATCATTATCAAATTTTGCTTGCCAGCTTTAGGAAATGAAGGGTAGTTATTTATAAGCACTGAAGAAGTCCCCAGAAAGTAGTCGATGCCATTTGTAATCATTAAAATATCAAAGAATAACTTACAAATGTGCTCTGGCATAGAAATACGGACCAGAGGTGTTGGGGTTTTTTTTCTCCCCCTAAAATTCTCTGTTCCTTTTAACATGAACAGTAAACTCACTTTTTGCAGATCCTGCCTACCATCTTTTCTTGATTTTTCCTTCTTTAGAACAAAATCAAAGAACTAGAACTTTTGTGTTCAATGAGAGAAGTCTCCTTTGATGGAAATGATCTTGAAAACATGGTCCTATCGCTGAGGTTAGTGATGTTAAGAACTGTGTAAAGCTAATTTACTGCCTTGATGCTTAAGACAAAATGATGCTTAAGAAATCTAGTTTCTTAATAGATATTAAAAATCGTATGCATTCACTAAATATTTGAGTTTGAACTCATTTGTAAACTTGGAAATTTTGATTTTGGCCTTCAAAAGTTAGCAGATAGGCATCTGAAACTGGACAAAAGGAACTAAAAGTGGTCCATTTATAACCCTGCTCTCTCTGCTAGGGAAAGGGGAAGGGGAGTGATGTTTATCAGGTTTCTTTTGCTTAGTTTCCCTCTATCTTCTCGTATCCTTTGTAATTAAAAAACGCTGGTTTTGGTGAACCTGAGAACGACTAAATGCACATCAGCCTTTCTTTATAGGGAGAAGTTCCTGCAAGAAGTGAATTCTCTCATACAGAAACCCTCGCACCCACTGGCGAAAACGAAGACGTTGGTGAAGAGTTTAATGAACCGAGCCGAGCTGCTGTTGCATGTCACCATCTCGGCCCAGCCTGGCCTCACGAGAAGCATCTCGGGGACCCCCGCAGAGACACCGGGTACAAAGCCAGCCCCGAGCGGGCGCTCCATACTACTCTGGTCATAAAATACACGTCAGCTACTGAAAGAAAAATCACTCTTGTGTTCTCCTAGGAAGGAGAAAGAGAAGTGCCAACATTTTTTTAGTTTGCCTTTTACTTTTTCCAGCCAAGAGAGACTTTTCATTGAATTCATGTAGTGGTTTGTGAGTCAGCTGAGCATCAGGGGTGTGTCCCCACCTGCCTCATTCAGCTTTTCTTGGGAGCCCAGTGACGTCTATTTTTATAATCTAGTGCCCCTTACTTTGTGTATGGCTTGTCATTTTCATAGTAATGTGTACAATGAGATAGTCAACATTGTGAGTCTTGTAATGCATCATATTTTCCTCTTAAAGGTGAGTTTGCATTGCACCTTTAGTAATTATGTGGAACCTCCTAACATGAATTTTCACTGTTTTCCTGGTCACATTTTAATTGTTAGCCTGAAAGGACATTTCTCAAGGAAATAAATGAGTCTTCTTTCTTAAACTAGATCCCCAACACCTGGCATAGCCCATAATGACAATTGTTAAATCTTCCCTTGAGAGAGCAGGATGAGTAAACCTGAGACTCTGTGTTACCGAACCCCATAGCCTAATGGACATTGCCAAGCAAGCGAACTTGTTTTCATCCCAGCTTGAGTGCCCAGGGCACCCCTCACATGGGAGAGAAGTTTAGGGTGATTCAGGTTTCCGACCCTAATGAAAGGAGACCATTTGCTGAGAATATCAGGGGAAGCGTGCTGAGCGTACAGTATGATCATCTGCTGACCGCGTCCCTGGTCACAAGGCCTTGGTTAGTTAAAGGTCCCATATGGGGGCGCCTGGGTGGCTCAGTTGGTTAAGCGACTGCCTTCGGCTCAGGTCGTGATCCTGGAGTCCCACATCGGGCTCCCTGCTCAGCAGGGGGTCTGCTTCTCCCTCTGCCCTCTTCCCTCTCGTGCTCTCTGTCTCTCATTCTCTCTCTCAAATAAATAAATAAAATCTTAAAAAAAAAAAAAGTCCCATATGAAGACTTAACCACTCAGTAAGGCTGATGATGCTTTCCAAGAGGCTCTTGCCATCAGAGATCATGAACCAATAGTTTGCTGAGCAATAACATCTTCAAAAATTGTTTTTAGACCAAAGCTGCCTAACCATTCTTAAGACAGATTCAAAATAACCTCTTCTCTACTTTTTTTTTCCTTAGATGATCTTTATATGCAGTTTTGTCATCTTCTATTAAAGTGTTCTTTTATGATACAACCATTTCCCTGGATAGTGTAGGAAGGGCCAGATTCTAGCTCAAGCATGATAATTTACTCACACCAACTTGATCAAAACCAAGGTGCCACCAAATGTCAATAAGTCAGCTAAATAAATCTAGGATTGGGGGGGGGGCGGAAAAAGGCTATCTCTGGGGGGAAGAAAATGGATTTGGATTTATTTGAATTAAGAAATTTTTGATTCCAGAAATGACTTTTCTGTCCTCTCTGGCTTTTTAGAATGCTTAAATGAAGGTGAAGTTTGAGAGTTTAGGATATCAAATGAATCTTGCAGCCTTTTTTTTTTTTTTTAACCAAATTTAATAAAAAGATTATAGTTTTTCACACTAAAATAATTTTTAACCCTAATACCTAGGTTTTTAAAAATGGGCCTTAAAATTGTCAGTGTGGGGCGCCTGGGTGGCTCAGATGGTTAAGCGTTTACCTTCGGCTCAGGTCATGATCCCAGGGTCCTGGGATCGAGTCCCACATCGGGCTCCCGGCTCAGCGGGGAGCCTGCTTCTCCCTCTGACCCTCTCCCCTCTCATGCTGTTTCTCTCTCGCTCGCTCTCTAAAAAATAAATAAAATCTTAAAAAAAAAAAAAAATTGTCAGTGTGCTGTGCTAGCTGGTTTGGTGGATGAACTCTCCTAGAAAGCGAAGATACTCTTAGACTGGTAGCATAGCTGTTGTTGCTGTCCTTACAAATCAGACTGCAGGTATGCCAACCTTTTTATTCCTTTCTGTTGCAGCTTGTAAATCAGCTTCAGAAACAAAGGTGATATCTCACGCTGTGCGGCAGCCTGTTTTTCTTCGCAGCATGTCGGCTCCTTCTGACCTGGAAATGATTGGTAATGAAGATTTGGAATTTACTAGAGCAAATCAGAGGTAAATGGCTAATGGCCAAGATTGGATTCCCACATGCAGCTGAATACATTCATCAGAGCATGCTCCCTGAGTGAGTTTGTTTTGTGATCTAGCACCGTTTTGTTTTCCTGTAGGCGGCGCCACGTCACCAGCCACCGCAGCAGCTCCTTTACACTCCTGCAGTCATTGGCCATTGAGGACAGCAGGGACAAGCCCACCTACAGCGTCCTGCTGGGGCAGCTGTTTGCCTTCATCGGCACCAACCCTGACCAAGCCGTAGGTCGTGTTTTGCCGATTACAGAGGAATAGCACCTGACAGCACGAGGTGGGGGGGTTGGGCGCGCCTGTGACAGTCCCCAAGAGTCAGGTGGACTTCTTGTCATGCCTTTCAGGTGTCCAGCAGCAGCTTTCTTTTGGCTGCACAGACGAGGTGGCGGCGGGGGAATACTCGCAAGCAGGCGCTGGTGCACATGCGGGAATTGCTGACGGCCGCTGTGCGCGTCGGGGGCGTGACACACCTTGTGGGTCCAGTGACTATGGTCCTTCAGGGAGGACCCAGGTCAGTTGCTTCTAGTAGTTCATACCGTCCTGGCCAGAGTGGGTGAGAGGCGTTCATTCCAAAGATGACTCTTGAAGCCAGATCATCGATGGTGGTATTTACTAGTGTTTTCCCCTAAAATATTTTATTTTTATTTTGTAAGCGCTCCACAATTTTGTAACAATGTCAGCGTATGTAGCAGAAAGTAAAGTGTCTTTACTCCCCTTCCTCTCCTGAATTCCACCTTGTTCACTAAGAGCTGCTTTTATCAGCTACACACACAAATGGCTATTTAATTCTCTTTGTACACGGAAGTGTGTATGTGTATGATTTTTTTCTTAATTCAGATTATATTGTACTATAACACTGGAGTTTTGTTCAGCATATCTTGGATATATATATCTGTCTTTTCATGTCAATGCATGTAGTTCTCCTTTATAGTTTTGAAGAACTTCATGGACCTCCAGGTATGGATGGCTAGGTCTTATTTAACTCCTCCCCTCCTGGTGGACACATGGTTCATTTTCTCTTTCTCTCCATTTTTTCTGTTTTATTTTTGCATTAGTAGCAGTGATGTAGTTAACATCCTTATGCCTATATTTTTGTGTACTTTTGTGCTTATTTTTACTGGATCAATTTCTAAAAACCTAATTGTAGATATGAACTTTGAAGGTTTTATCACTTATTTGTGAGGAGTTTTTCTATGCTCTTCCCTACTGGGCTTCAAAGATCTTCAGGTAGAAGTAGAAAAGGCATTTGTCTACAGGTCCTGGACTAGAACTGCCTGGGGTTACTTGTGTCTCCTGACAGCTCTTTGAGGAATTCTGGCCAGCAAGCAGAGAGCAGAGGCTGGGGGAAAAGAGCTAGCGTGAATATCCTGAGAAATTTGTGTGTCAATCAGGAGAGACCAGGTTACTGTTTGGAAACAAAACCCTCCAAAATCTCTGGTGTACAAAACAGGACTTCAGTTCTTGCTCATGTCCAGCACAGGTGCGCCTCAGCCCGTGGTAATCCCGGAGAGCCTGGGTTAGAGGAGGGGACCGCCATCCCGAAAGCTGTCAGTCCCCTTGTCAGAGCTCAGGGTCATTGGCCAGGCTGGTCACATGCTCACCCAACCAGAGGGGTGCCCAGGAGGCCCAGTGAGTAGCACTGGCCACCACAGTTCACTTCCAGAATAATTTCTCCACAACCCTGGCAGCATTTTTCTTTTTTCCCCTCAGTAATGTCATGTCAAACATTTAAAAAAAAAAAAAAATGCAGAAAATCCCAAAGTATAAAGTAAAAATCACCTGTAAATCCAACACCTTAAGATAAAACCTGTTAACATTCTAGTGTATCTGTTCTGTCTTTATTCTAACCATAGATACCTCCTATAATGTTTTTAGTGGATGTATAGCACTGCATCATATTCCTGAACGTTTATTCAGATTCAATCCTGATTTTTCAACCTTAGATTTTATTTACTTATTTTTGCTATTATAAACAATATTCTGTAGCCTATCTTTGTAGATAAATCCGGAGAGTTCCAGTTTTCAACTAATATTAATTGCTGTAGAATCTACCCCAGGTTGTGTGTTTACACTGGGAAGGTCTTATATCAATTGGATTCTCATACTCTGCTAATAATCACAGCGTGGGCTTGAAAAGGACACTTAGTTCATCTATTTGGGCGTTGATTTTCTCATTAGTACAATTGCATTTACAGAACTCAGTGCTGCATAGGATATGGTAGACATGTTTCAGATGGTTTCCTTATTAAATGTGTTTGGTGATGTGGAGTACCATTCTCTTGCTCTTAGAGATATTGTGGACTTTAACCTTGTAAGGCTCCGAATAATCCTGGTAGGGAACCCTGCTTGATTTGACTTAGCCTCGGATTCCCCAGACTTTTCCAGAGTGTGGGTATTATCTCTGAGGCATCTTAAGAAATGCTGTCCAGTAGTCTTCTGTGGTCCTGCAGTCTGGGAAACACTGGTGAGCTCTAAGATCCCTTCAGTTCTCGATTCACCTAGACACTCTTGGATTTCTCAGAAGAACTCTCCGGCTCTAATGTTCACTGTCACTCTTCTTGCCATGGTTCAAGAAGCCTGCACTTTGGTTCTGTTTCATAGAATTGAAGAACTAACCTGTGGTGGGATGGTGGAGCAGGTCCAGGAAGCCTTTGGCGAGACCATGACCTCTGTCGTGTCTCTGTGTGCTCGTTACCCTATCGCGTGTGCAAATAGCATCGGACTTTTGTGTACCATACCTTATACCAGGTAAGGAAGGCAATGCTTTTTATTGTGGGTAAGTTACACTGCAGTGCAGTTGCTTAAATAAAAATATTTTTAAATTAAAAAATTGGTGGGGGCGGTGGGTGGTTCAGTTGGTAAAGCGTCTGCTTTCGGCTCAGGTCATGATCCTGGGGTCCTGGGATTGAGTCCTGCGTCAGGCTTTCTGCTGAGCTCATGCTCGCTCCTTCTCTGTCAAATAAAATCTTTAAAAAGTTTTTTTTTTAATTTTTAAAAATTGGTTTTTTTTTTTTTGCTTTGATTATCCAGTGACACTATCACTATGATTAAATGAGCTTCCTCCTGACAGACACCTAAAGTTACTATGTAAATTACATACTGTTGAATTCCTACATGATCAGAAGTGGCCAATAGGGATTATATTACATTGTCAAAATGGAGAGGTTTGAAGGAAAGTAAAAGATCTCTAGGAAATTTTTTAACATATTTGGCAAAAATTTTTTACAAATGCATTTATTTTCTCAGTGACCTTATGAATCCCCTTATAATAAAATACATACGTTTTTTGTATTATGGATGGGAAACTTGAGTTGATTCTATCAATTTTTACTTAGCTATTCTATATGAACAAACCAAAACTTGGAGTTCCTTATTTATGAAGGAAATCCTCATTGTAGAGAAATATTTCTGTGTTCAGTTATGTATGGTAGTATCCTAAGTAATAGACAAGGAACTATGCTGACTTGTTTTACACCCCTTTGATAACCTGGATCTTAAACCCGAGAGCTGGACAGTGACGTTTATTCTGTGTAACCCTTTCCACCTGGCCCAGGAGTGAAGAGAAGTGCCTGGTGCGCAGTGGCCTCGTTCAGCTCATGGATCGACTGTGTAGCTTGAGCAGTCAGACGGAATCCAGCTCCAGTGAGAAACAAACCAAGAAGCAGAAGGTGGCCACCATGGCCTGGGCAGCTTTCCAGGTGCTAGCCAACCGCTGTGTTGAATGGGAAAAAGAAGAAGGTAAGGAGCAGGATTCCATTCTAGAATTCATTGATTTCTTCCGTTGACATGTTTACTTAATTATTTGTGCTGGCTGGGGGAAAGAAAGGCTATATTAAATTACATAATCAGATGGGTTTAATTAATGATTTCATGAGAGCCTCTTCATCAGCATCCTTCTCTGAAAATTTATGGCTACACTATGACATTAAATAATATCCTAGCCCAGAGCACCTGGTGCTAAGTGAAATAAGCCAGACACAGAAAGACAAATACTGAGTGATTTCCCTTATATGTGGAATCTAAAAAAGCCAAACTCCTAGAAACCAAGATTAGAACGGTGGTTGCCAGGAATTTTAGGAGGAGAAGGAAGTAGGGAGATGTTGGTCAAAGAGTCAAACTTCCAATTATAAGATATTGAATAAGTTCTGGGGTCTAATGTACAGCATGGTGATTATAGTTAGTAATACTTTATCATATTCTTGAAAGTTGCTAAGAAAGTGAATCTTAAATGTGCTCAAACCATACACACATACACACACACACAGAAAGGTAACTAGTGAGGTGATGGATGTATTAACTAGATTGTGGTAATCATTTCACAATGTATATACATATCTCTATATATAATCACGTTGTACACCTTTTAAAAAAAATTACATTCTATAATCTAAATTGTATATAACTTGTATTTGTTAGTCATCCCTCAATAAAGCTGGGGGTGGGGGTGGGGAATGATAACCACCCTGAAAAAGAGTACAGTAAGCCAGGAAATTGAGAAGATACCTTTCATGTTCTTTTTGTCAACACTGCTATCAGTCTCCAAATAAATATTTCTATGAAATGGTTTAGTTGCATTTTCAAGTGCTACTTCCTAACTATATTTTTACCATCCCAGTTGAAAAAGTAAAGTTGAAGAATGATGTCTCCATGATATCCCAGGCCTGTTTATATAGCTTGGTTACTTATCTGTTTGTTCATTCACTGTGTGTTTTATTGTCTTGAGAGTCAGGCATAAGTTGAACAAGGCATTGCTCTTCCTCCAAAGAAATACGGTGCAGTGGGGGAGATAGACCAATGAGCAAATGACTGGTGTGGTTAGTGCCGTAATTGAGGTGCATGCAAAGTGCTGGGCCAGCACAGAGGTTCCTACAGACTAGCTGTGCTAGAGATCAGGCAAAGCTTCCCAAGAAGGTGACATGTGAGTTATTCTTACAGGTTAAAGAACATTTCCATGCAGAAAAAACTGTGTGTGTAGGCACAGGGATCCAAGAGAGCATGGGAAGTTCAGGAAATGACAACTAATTTGTGTGGCTTTTTACAAGAGTTGCTTGGGGTGGGGGGGGGGGGGACTTCTGGAACTACAGTGAAAATGAAAGATCCCAAAAGGTCTTTAATTGTGTTTGAAGAGAGAGAGGGTATGAATTAAAAATCAAGATGTTTTCATCACAGTAAAAAAAAAAAAGGGGGGGGGCAATTCTTCCCTGTTAATTGAAGTATATTCCTTGTTTTGTATGAATTCAGTTTTTGTTAAGAGTAGTGTCTTTCCCCAACATTGAATCGTTAACCTTTTTTATGTGCAGATGTTATCTAACGAGGAGACACTAATTGGATAGCTAATGGAATACTGAGCAGGTTAAAGAAAAATTGGGCAAGAGGAAGGCTTAATGTAGGGAGGCTGAGAGAGGGCTTGCCACACCTGCAGGCTTACCGTGGCTTCCTTGGGTTCTCACCTTGGTTTTTTGTTTTTGTTGTTTTTTTTTTTTTTTTATAACTCTGAAGGCGGCTCCACAGAGGCGGTGCACTCAGGTCTGGCCCGTCAGGTGTCCAGCCTTCTCACCAACCATCTTGCCCGAGCAACTGAGTGCTGTGGTAACCAGGCTGCTGGGAATGACGCCCTCCAGGACGTCCTGAGTCTTCTCAATGATCTCTCAAGGTATGGAAGGCCCAGCCAGAGCTGTGAGAAAAAGTGGCTTTCCTCCTGAGTGATTGGGGTTCCCTTGGGTGGTGACTGTCTTTTGGAACACCTAAATTACATGCTTCTGCTTCAAGAACAGTGGAGAATAAAATCATTGGGAAGATAGGAGTTCCAAAATGCGAGGATCATTCAGGTGAATCCCTACGTTATAAAACGATACCATGTGCTTTAATACTTTGCTGGTAACAGCTGCTGGCCTTTCAAGTCCATGCAGTTGCATCGAGTAACCCAAAATCCTTACCCTCATTATAGCAAGATAATCAGTCAGGACCTGTAGTTGACTCATGTTCTCATGCTGTGTCTTAAAAAAGAAGACCATCTGTGGAGGTTTGATACCATCCCGTGTAAGCCGTGAGGCCCACACCCGCTTGTACACATAAGGCTACTTGTTCTTTGGCTTCTACTGGACTTTTTCTTCTCAGTGAGATGCCACAGGGCCTGTACAACGCTGCGTAAGCCCTTTGGTCTTGAAGCTTAAAAAGGAATAAAAGACTGAAGGGAAAGTCTTCCTAGTTTGGGTCGTGAAGTTGTAGTGCTCTGTGAACCATGCTGAACTATAGCATCGCAGTTCAGTAAATTTCATCAGGGATCAGAAAATACTCAAAGATCTTTCTTTTTAAGTACTATTGACTGGGGGCGCCTGGGTGGCTCAGTGCGTTAAGCATCTGCCGTCAGCTCCGGTCATGATCCCAGTGTCCTGGGGTCAGCCCCGCATCGGGCTCCCTGCTCAGCGGGGAGTTTGCTTCTCCCTCTCCTGCTCCCCCTGCTTGTGCTCTGTCTCTCTGAAATATATAAACAAAAATCTTAAAAAAAAAAAAAAAGTTACTATACGGGCGCCTGGGTGGCTCAGTTGGTTAAGCGACTGCTTTCGGCTCAGGTCATGATCCTGGAGTCCCGGGATCGAGTCCCGCATCGGGCTCCCTGCTCGGCAGGGAGCCTGCTTCTCCCTCTGACCCTCACCCCTCTCATGTGCTCTCTCTCTCATTCTCTCTGTCTCAAATAAATAAATAAAAATCTTTAAAAAAAAAAAAGGTACTATTGACTGGTCAGTTGAGAGCTTTCATTAGATATTTACCAAAAACCTTAGTTCTCCTTCATAAAAACATAGTGCCAAATCCGTGTCTTCCTCACGAATCAGTTCATCTTCATTTAGGGAACTCTTGCTTCTGAATTTCTATAGTCCAATATGCCCAGCCTTGTGTACCTTTTCTTCCTTCTTTTTCAGAAGTCACATAGGTAAAGCCATCCTGAGCCAGCCAGCTTGTGTGTCCAAACTCCTCTCTCTGCTGCTTGACCAACGCCCGTCTCCAAAGCTAGTCCTTATCATTCTTCAGCTGTGCCGGGCGGCACTCCCACTGATGAGTGTAGAAGACTGTGGAAACGTGGAGCTCCCGCCATGGAGCTACTCCGTTCCCTCCCTAAACAGTGAGCAGGAGGATCCCAGCGACCCAGCATCCAAGATTGCCTCATTGCTCTTAGCAAAGCTGGCAGATTACGTGGTCCCAGGTGAGCAGCTGGTTGGAGAATGGCACTGAGGTGCCCACTTGCTGGGGACGGCCAGCCTGAGCTTTCCATTGTTGGTTAGGTGCTGCTGCCACGCCTCTTGCAACGGAAGAGAGGGAGATGGGAGCGGGAGGAAGAGAGACCAAAACTAGAGTCCTCCCTGCGCAGGGGATGCACAAATAACACTGCTGTCGTTCTGTTCGCTTTTAAAGGATGTCAGACAGTTCTTTCTCCAACTGCTTCTGAACCTGACACTACGTTGACAAAAACCAGTCCCAAGAATTCCTTAAAAGGAGATAAAGATCCTGGAGAAGAGAGTGAAGCAGTGGATGGCAAGCTGTCTATCTTTATCCACAAGCGGGAAGACCAGTCATCTCATGAGGTTCTCCAGCCGCTACTAAGGTGACTGATGATTGTAATAGCTACATGCCAACAGGCACTGACTGTGTCCCAGGCACTGTGCTCAGTAAGCCCCTTAACGTACATCAGCTGTCCCAGCCCTCTTGACAACCCTAAGAGGTAATCACTGTCATCCCTGTTGTTACAGTGGAGAAACTGAGGCAGAGCTGAACCACAGACGCAGGCCTCTGACCACAGAGCCCAAGCTTTTATCCACAACTCGGTACTGTTTCTTCAAACCCAACAGAGAGCGAAAGCCCTGTTGAGAATGTATTGTTTGTGCTCAATGGAGAGTCTACAGTGTGATTTGGGCTTCGAGAAGGAATAATGCAGTCTGGTTTTAGTCATTGGCATCCTTCAGCCATTGGTAAATTTAAGGGATACCATTGACTGTGAGGTGGAGAGATAAGAGAAACTTTTTTTTTTTTTTTAAAGATTTTATTTATTTATTTGAGAGAGAGAATGAGAGACAGAGAGCACGAGAGGGAAGAGGGTCAGAGGGAGAGGCAGACCCCCCGCTGAGCAGGGAGCCCGATGCGGGACTCGATCCCGGGACTCCAGGATCATGACCTGAGCCGAAGGCAGTCGCTTAACCAACTGAGCCACCCAGGCGCCCAAGAGAAACTTCTTTAAAGCTATAATTCATTGAAGTATGAATGGTATGATGAAAAATGGTATGAAGTAAAAATATACTTACTGTCCAAAGATTACAAACCCACGGGGGGCCCTGTTAGTGGGAGCGAGGACGACGGGAAGTCCTGCCACAGAACATGAGGGAATTTAGGACATGTGTGTATGTCTCAGGGGATGACTTCTTTCTTCAAATAAATGATGTGTGATGATGGTGTCATCCTCCTAATTGGTCCCTTGTCTGCCATCATGGCAACTGAAAGCACTAATGGACCACTAGCATGAACTAAGCGGGGTCAGGCAGGTCAGTGCTAGATGCAGAAATCGCCAAGAAGGATTCTTGGGCATTGAGAAACTTCACAGTACAAATTTGCTGAAGGAGTTTTTGGAGAGCCAGGTTTAAGAGGAAGAGGAAGCTGAATTATTAGAAAGATCCAGTCATTCACACCAAGGCATCCCACTTTAGCTGTTGCTAAAGTCCCCTCACTTTGGGATTTAGATCACTTACTGAGTGTCTCCCAGGTGCGCGGCCTTCCCTGCATTGTAGGCGCAGATTCTCGATTTTGTTCAGCTTTTTAGTTTGCACGTCATTGTGATGTAGGTTTTAATTATTACAACTGTAAAAACAGCTGGTGTTTTAATCCCTAAAAGTGCTGTAATTAAACAATAATAAATAATTTCCTTTTTGAAAAATTGCGTCTACTGTGGATGTTAAAATCCTGTTGTTGCATATAATGCTGGCCTGGCCAGTACAAGGTTGCCTCACAGCCTGCAGCCCCACCTTGACCTTGCCTGTAAGATCGTCACCTCTCTCTGCTTTCCCTTTTAGTAGCTCAGAAGGACGGCCCTTCAGACTTGGTACTGGTGCCAACATGGAGAAAGTCGTGAAAATGGATCGAGACATGACCAAGGTAACCCTAATATGGAGACACCTGGTCTGACAAGACCCATGATTGAGGGACGTTACCATACTTTAGGTTTGCAGAGACATTTAAGAAGAAAAAAAAAGTTCCCAGAAAGAGGCAGGGTGAGAAATTGAAGTCAGTGGTTTAACTGAAACCATTTTCAAGAGAACTAGTCAGAATCAATTTGTCATTAACGCTAAAAAAAAAAGTAAAAGAGAATTCTTGGTTTTGACCTAGAAGTTTTCCCTTAGCTCTATTAAAGTTTTGCAGCCTAATGATACTTTAAAAGTGAGGGGCGCCTGAGTGGCTCAGTCGGTTTAGCATCTCACTCTTGATTTGGGCTCAGGTCCTGTTTCAGGGTTGTGAGATCGAGCCCTGTGTTGGGCTCTGCGCTGGGCATGGAACATGCTTAAGATTCTGTCTCTCTTTCTCTCTCTGCCCCTCCCAGTACCAGCACGTGCACGCTCTCTCTCTTAAAAAAAAAAAAAAAAAAAGTACTTTAAAAGTGATAAGATGTGAAGATTAAAAGAATAATAGATAAAGGGGCCCCTGGGTGGCTCAGTTGTTAAGCATCTGCCTTCGACTCAGGTCATGATCCCCAGATCCTGGGATCGAGCCCCGCATCAGGCTCCCTGTTATGCGGGGAACCTGTTTCTCCCTCTCCAACTCCCCCTGCTTGTGTTCCTTCTCTCACTGTCTCTCTTTCTCTCTGTCAAATAAATAAATAAATAAAATCTTAAAAAAAAATACATAAAAAGAAAGACACACAGCCCATAAAAAATATAAAAATATGCCCATGTTTACAAATTACACAAATAAGGGAATAAAAATAGTTGTATGTCATTTTTCACCTGTCAAAGAAAACTGATAATACCCATTATTGTCAAGGTGAGGGTAAACAGGCATTCTCTAGTGTCCAGAGACAACCATACTTTTTATGGTTTTATTTGTAAAAAACAAAATAGAATCTGTATACCCATAAATAGGAAATTGATTAAAGAAATTGTTATATGTCAATTATACCTTAAATTTTTAAATTTAAAAATTATATGCATACCATGAAATACCATACAACCGTAAAAAGAGCCAGGTCGATCTGTATATGCCAATATCAAAACACATGATAGTTTGATAACTGATAAAAATTAAATAGAAAAACTGATCCATGATTATGTATGCCAGAATTTACATGGAGACAAATCCAGAGGACTAACAATTATATGACTGGGTAGAGTCATGGGATGTTTATGGGAAGTTAACTTTCTACATATAGTATTTTAACATGTGAGTTTTTGAGAAACGAGCCTGGATTGCTTTGGTAATGGGGAAGCAGGCTTTAAAAATTAAGGAAGCGCAGGAAGGTGACCGTCTCAAACCTCCCTCCAGGGCGGCTACTGTGAGGTGATCACAGAAGAGGCTGCAGCCGCTCTTCGGAAGGCAACCAAGTGGGCCCAGTCAGGCCTCATCGTCAGCGTCGGGCCACCTGTAGAGTCCGTCAGCCCAGAGACTGTGAGTGGACTGTCCACAGGCGACAAAAAGAAAACCGCCCAGACCTCCATTTGCCGAGAGAGGAACTCTGAGCTCGCCAGGTAGTCTTTCCCTGTCCACACTTTTCCCAGACCTACTTTGTGATGGACTTGTTCTTAGGGCTTTAATTGTATATCATCCCCTTGACCGGCTGGAAATGAGGACTGAGGGTTCAAAATACCCATCTGAGGTTGTGGTGGGCGAATAGGGTGGCGCTCCTGGCTGAGTGGGCATCTGTAGCCAGAGGGCTGTTTTTCCTGAGGAAGGCCACTACCAGGAACATCAGCTACAGTTTTTTGGAGTATTAGTAAACTCACGTCTTGCTGCCTTTACTTCTTCCAAACCAGCCCAGCTGTACACATGAACTCCTTTCTAGGAGTAGACAGGAGGAATGAGTGTTGCCTCCAGGAAGTTTGCGAGCTGTTCTGTGTTTGCTGGCCAGGAATAGGTGCGGCATAGTGTCTTCCCTCACTCCTGATGGTTTATGCAGCTCAAGTTTGAGGTCTGCTGTTTCAGAGGATTCTTTAGTTAACAGAAAGAGTATGAGAGAAGTGATTTAATTTAGCTTCTCTTATTCTCAATGAAATCCACTTTTTCTTATATCATTAGAAAATTTTTCCATCTTTTGATAACCTTAAAAGCCACTTCTCTGCATTCTTAAACCATCGCTGGGCACTGACACTTTCCCTCTTGACGCTCGCAGGACTGACCCCGTCCGACCCTTCATCAGTGGGCACGTGGCAAACAGCATGGCCGCAGAAGTGATCGCCTTGCTTCATAGCTTGCTAATGGCACCCGAGTCAAATGCTGCTCAAATATGGACCACAACAGCAGAAAAGGTTAGCACAGTGTCACTGCTTAGCTGAAGAAGCAAGGAGGAAGTTTGTGTTCTCTTTTAGCATTTGAATCCTGCCTAGCGAGGGTCATATTCTAGTAAAGAGAGAGTTCCCAAATTGGCCAGATTGGCTTGTTAGCGGTTTTCCCCCTCAAATTTGCTTTGGTTTAGTCGTTTCACCTGTTAACCTGTGTCTCCTGTCACTGTCATTTCTGATTTTACATAAGACGGGACCATATTCTCAGGGAAAGAATGGCACTCCTTGTTTCTCCTTCTTGCTTATGTTCAACTGGTACTGACAATAGGGAGTCGTGCAGCCTTGGTTTATTGGATTTGTAGTAAGTCCTTAGTAAGGATTTGTAGTAAGTCCTAAGGAGGCCTCTGTGATACATACCCCCCGGATGCTCTATCAGTAATTCATCATGACAGATGGTAGTCTAGTTTCCTGAAAACTAGGGAGCGCTATTCAATTCCCGTTTGCCCACAGTCATTTTTCAAGTGATTGCCTTAAGGAAATTGGGTCTTGAGTTGTAGGCAGTAAGCTGTGATGGTTTTCCCTCAGATAAGTTTTTCTTCTCCTTTAGGGTTTTGTTAACCGTGTTCGATTCTCCCACATTCTGAGGTTGTGTGTTTCCAGCCTTGTCTAATCACATGAGGCAAATATGGCAAGATGTCAGTGGTCAGTTGATAGTTACTTCATCCCTCCCCTAGCCAGAGTTCCTTCAGTACACGGGAGCCAGCCACTGTTATGGACACTTCATCACTCTTAATATCGATAATAGCCAAAGCTTTAACTCCTACTACACGGCTGCTGCTTACATTTAGGTTCTGTCTCGTGCGCTGATGTACATTCCACAGTTGGGGAAATATGCAGAGAGCATTCTGGAAAATGGCAGCAGTAGCGGCAGGAAACTCGCCAAACTTCAGAGAATCGCCCGCCAGGCCGTCGCCGCACTGTGTGCCCTCGGAGGCTTCAAAGAGACCATCAAGATAGGGTCTGAGGTTCAGGTAACCAGCCAGCATTTCCCAAGTCCCTGCTCTCCCCAAGCTGCTGCATTCATTGATTAACTGATCATCTGTAAAGGTGGCGGCATCCACCCAGTTGGACAGAAATCCTAGTTCTTCAAGCTAAATAAGGAAGCTGAGAAACTCATGAATTCTAATCCACACTGTGCTGCGCGTTATTCAGATATTAGTACAGTACTGTATGATGTTAATTACAATACTTGTGTCCCATGGTGTCACTAATATTTTAGTGTTGGAAGCTTGAGGTTCTATCCTATTGTGATCACCTTGACATAGGTTTTAGGACCTATTATTTTAACTCCCATTCAGTGCTTGGTATCTGCACTGTAACGAACTGTTCCTGTGATGCCACTAACCACAGCTGTGAATTTACTTCTCTGCACCTAGCCCATGACAGAGTTGCATACACCATCAGAGCTGGTCGGTGGTGCTAATCCATCTTTGTCTCTAGGTTTTAGGTAGAGGAATATCAGGAAGCATCGGAGTAGTGGCTTCTATCAATGAACAGGAAGGTATAGCTACAGTCAGATTCCCACCCATAGACTGTAGAAAGACTTCGCAAGCATCAGACACATTGACTATTCCATTGTCTAGACTTTGTGTTCCAAGATCAGAGGTAAGGTGATTTTTAAATGCATTATTAAATGTCACTACAAATGGTAACCATACTGTAATGAAAAATGAGTGTGCACACGGTACAAGGGCACAAATACTTTTTATCTTAAGTGTTACTTGGGATGTATATTTATATATTGGGCGTAATTACTTAATAGTAACATTTGTGTGAAGATTTTCACCTAGATGACAAAATTCATTTCTTTGGTTAGGAATATTCCACAGGGTATTGTATTTTTAATTGTTTTGGTCTAGTTTGCAATTTTATGTATGGTGATTTTATTTTTTTTAACTGAAATTTTGAGAATTAACTCCAGATAATAACACCCTCATTTCTTAGAAACTAACTACTTGAATTTAACTTTTTGCCATGCCCCCCCCGCACCACCATCAGGCACTGCCTCTTCATAAACTGTCCATTACTGAGAAGGTAGTACAGGCAGTCCAGTCCATGTTGCTTCCTCAGGAGGGAAGTCTCTCTATTCATACCTCACTTCCTGCAACAGGAGATGGGTCAGCTCCTGTGATGGCAGTCGTTCGGCTCCTGGCTGAAATAAGAACAAGGTGAGCGCCCTCCAGAGATCCCCTAATGTGCTGGCTGAGGTGGTGCAGGCCACAGAGGCGGGGGGCCTTGCTGGGCCCCTCCACTCCTGGCTTAGTGGGTCCACGGTGTGAAGTTCATGTCAAACTGAGAACGGAGACGTTCTCTTGCGCTTTGTTTACTACATTTTTGTTACATTCCCCAATTTCTGCAAGTTTTGTTGCATTGTGCAACTTCTGAAATTTAAAACAGTTTAGCTGTTCCCCTAAGAAAATAAGCAAGCAGTCAAAAGGTGACCTATGGAATATACACAAGGCTCCACTGCTTTACTTTGGGAAAAGCACTTCGTTCTATCCCAGTGAATCTCTCTGCCACTTTACCTTGTTTAAATGGCTCGTGCTATGTTAATATACATCTGGTCCATCACTTTCCAAACTGATAAGGAGAAGAACTAGGGAATGCCCTCAAGTGGGAAGAGAAGTTACTTATGTTTCCAGATCAATCCAGTTCAGAAAAAAAGCAAGAGGAAAGGGGAGTTTGAACCTTTTTGTAAATTAGGGGACAAAGTTGATTGAACTGCTTTTCATAGTTAACTCCTTAGAGAATGAATATTGATGACTTTGAAATATTATAAATCTTTTAACATTAAGAGCATGCCTGGTCATGGCCCAGCTTTTAGAAGACAGCTTATTCTGTGAAGAATTCATACAACAGTGTCCAGCAGCTGTTGAAGTGCTCAACCTAGTAGCCCAGGAATGCAGTGCTGGTAAGTACCTGTGGCTTTCCTGTTTTATTAAGTGTTATCAGCACATTTCCAGTTTGATGATGGAATGCTAACATGCACACGCACGTGCTTGCACCCCCCCAACACACACACACGTCAAGTAGCTGAGCTCTATAGACCGCACTTAGCACAACTTTTATCCCAGATCTAGAAATGTAAACAGCTTTTAGTACGTACAAAGGAAATTGTTTTTCAATTTAACTTGAGGACCATGCCATCATGTTTTCTTTCTTCCATTCACATTAATTCATTGCATTTGTTTCCTTGTTAGAATTTTATGAACCCTTAGGGCTACTGATACTTTCTGACTATTGTCATTGGCTACATTTGAGTTCATAGTCAGGAGTTTGCACTAACGTGTGTGTGTGTGTGTGTGTCTGTCTGTGTTCATGGAAAAGTTTAAACACAAAAATAGGGAGACTAGTAAAGGGAACCCTCAACAGTTATCAACTCATGGTCAGTCCTGATTCATCTGTGCTGTACCCCCCTCCTGGATTGTTTTTAAGCAGATTCTTAGATATTACTTTACCCATAAATATTTTAGTATGTGTCTCTAAAAAAAAGGACTCTTAAAAAAAATGCAATACCATTATCGCATCTGAAAAAAACAATTTTTTTTAAAGATTTTATTTATTTGAGACAGAGAATGAGAGAGAGCACATGAGAGGGGGGAGGGTCAGAGGGAGAAGCAGACTCCCTGCCGAGCAGGGAGCCCGATGCGGGACTCAATCCAGGGACTCCAGGATCATGACCTGAGCCGAAAGCAGTTGCTTAACCAACTGAGCCACCCAGGCGCCCCGCATCTGAAAAATTAATGGTAGTTCTTTAATACTAACTAGTCCGTGTGCATCTTTCTGATTTTCTCATATAGTCCATACTTGTTTTTGTATTTATTTGAATCGGGATCCAAATAAAATTCTTAGATTGTAATTTCATCCCCTCATTATGTTCTTTTTGCCTTGCAATTTATTTTTTGAAAGGTTTCCCATAGTCTGGATTTTGCTGATTATATCTCTGTGGTATCATTTATTGTGTCCCTCAGTCTTCAGATTTCCTATAAATTGGTAGTTGGCCTGGGTGTTTTTAAATGAAAATTTATGCTTTTTCCCCAAGGATATAACTGGACTCGAAAGGAAATTGTTCACAGTTAGATTAGCATCCTCCAGTGCTCTAGTTGCTAGCATTTTCATGAACTGTAAGGAATAGATGAATATCTTTAACTTCCTTAATGGTTTTAGTGGTATCCTTTGTCTGTGCGGGGTCATTTTTATTGTCCATGTTATTTACTGTTTCTCATGCCATTCGCTTTTTCAGTCACTCCCTAATCTCTTCTTTCTTTAAATTTTTCTTTTTCATGTGGTACCAATTTCTTTGGTCTTTGCTTTTGGTCTTCACTCTGTATGTGTCTTACTCTTCAAATCTCCCTCTTTTAGGGGTAGTGGCTCTGTGGAACCAGTGACTGTTAATAAACCTCAGGGAGATTCTGAGCATAGAGAATAAGAACAGAAGAAAAGGAATTTGCTAGGCTTCTGAGGGGAAGTTACTTGTGACTAAATGTTTGCCCATAATTCAGCTTTGTACTTGTGGTTGGGTCTTCATTCCTTGCCCTGCTTTTTCATGTTCTTGGCCTACGTTGCATTGTAAGACCTACGTGACTGATTTTTAGCAAGCATGTACTTGCTGAATTGATCTCTTGCTTCCCCCCCCCTTTTTTTTTTTAAAGATTTTATTTATTTGAGAGAGAGCACAAGCTGAGGGCAGAGGGAGAAGCAGGCCCCCCTGAGCCGGGAGCCACATGTGGGGCTCAATCCCAGGACCCTGGGATCATGACTTGAGCCGAAGGCAGACGCTTAACTGACTGAGCCACCAAGGCTCCCTGATCACTCGCTCTTTTATAGGACTCTGAACAGCCTTATATACGTTTTATTGAATAAGGGAGTCGTAAAGCTGTGAAATTAACTTGTGTACTTAATGTACAAGCTTGGAATCATAGTGATTTGGAGCAGTGACCTCAAGTGGTTTTAATAATAACCCACCTAACCCATTTTCCCTAATGGAAAAGAACTCTGTGGTCACGAAGAGTTGGATAGAAATGTGTGGGAAGTGTTTACTAATTGCCACAAAAGAGAAGACTATGAGCTTATACACATCAATTTATATCCTAAAATAGTGTCTTATGTCAAGTTTAACAGTCCTTAATAACTCACTTATTAGGTTACCGGAAAGAGCTTTGCAGTTTAAAGTACTTATCAAAGTTTGCTGGCTTCTCAGTCCTTTACTGAGAACAGCCAGCCAACAACCAACCAACCCTGCATCTGGGTTACTTTGTAACACAGCGGTGGATTCTTAGAGCCCACAAGAGAGTCCTAGACTGTGCTTAGAAGAAGTGCTGTTTAACAAATGTTTCAAGGTGATGGGTAGAAGAGAAAGAGTTCCTTGATTTTTATTTTTGAATGTATTAAGACTTTTTATTTCATGTATGAAAATGTGAAATTCACACACAAAAATACATTTGAGTCTCTAAAATGAAAAAAAATAATTCAATGGATTTCTTCCATTATTTTACTTCTGTGATGAATTAAGCAGAAACTGGGCCATTATATCGTTGACTTACTCCTAGCTCAATTTTATAGCTTCTCTAATCCAGGGAAAAGAATACCTAATTCCATTTGGTCTAAGAAGATAGCACTACACCAAAGAGTTTTTTCCCATGAAGAAGTATTTCTGCAAAATTCACTGGATCCCTTGGTTGAAGTAGCATAGGAAACAGATTTTTTTTTTAAAGATTTTATTAATTTATTCATGAGAGATAGAGAGGCAGAGGGAGAAGCAGGCTCCCCGTCGAGCAGGGAGCCCGATGCGGGACTCGATCCCAGGACTCTGGGATCATGACCTGAGCCGAAGGCAGACGCCCAACCATCTGAGCCACCCGGGTGCCCCAGGAAACAGATTTTAATACTGAAGAAAAGGCACATAAAAACCAAAAAAAAATTCCCAACTTGATGTTCTTACAGAAGTTAGAACCTCTCCGGTCCAAATGTTTCTTCGACTCCCTACTTTCTTTTTTTTAAGATTTTATTTATTTATTTGACAGAGAGAGACACAGCGAGAGAGGGAACACCAGCAGGGGGAGGGGGAGAAGGAGAAGCAGGCTCCCCGCAGAGCAGGGAGCCCGATGTGGGACTTGATCCCAGGACCCTGGGATCATGACCTGAGCCGAAGGCAGTCGCTTAACCGACTGAGCCACCCAGGCGCCCGACTCCCTACTTTCTAAATATACACATTCCCTGAGCCAGAGGTTCTTCTCAAACTTTGAAAGTTCATAAGACTCCTTCAGAAGCATGTTAAAAATGCTTTCTAGGGACACCTGGGTGGCTCAGTCGGTTAAGCGACTGCCTTCGGCTCGGGTCCTGATCTCAGGATCCTGGGATTGAGTCCCTCATTGGGCTCCCTGCTTGGCGGGGAGTCTGCTTCTCCCTCTCCCTCCGCTGCTCCCCCTGCTTGTGCTCTCTCTTTCTGTGTCAAATGAATAAATAAATAAAATCTTAAAAAAATAACAAAATGCTTTCCAAACTCCACCCAAAAGTCAGAATCATCACTTGAAGGTGAGCCTGGGCCGTTGTGCTAGGACGGGCCCAGACCTCACTTGGAGAAACTGCTCTAAGCTTTGCCAACCCACCTTCTTTGCTTATCTGCCCTCCCCTGTGCTTTCCATGGCTGCTTCTATGGGTAGTCCCTCACTGGCTAGCCAGGCCTCTCAGCCCTTTCTCTTAGGACCCCCAGCCTCATGAATACCCCACACTTAAAACTAAAGTCGTTCTTTCCTCTCAAGGCAGCTCTCCTTTCTGACTTCCTTGTTTTAGGTCGGACTCAGACTATTTTTGACTCTCCGATACTGAGTTAAATATGACAAACATCTCCTTCCTATTCTTCCACATCCAATCATTTGCCATGTTCTATTCTTCCTTTGAAATGCTCCTGAAGTTTATCCCTTTCCTGCCCATTTCTGCTACCAGCTTCATATGTCAGGTGCTTTTTCTTTTGTGTTTAGACATCTGCATTATTCTCCAAACCTTTCCTTTGTGCACCTTGTCTTTCCACGTTGTCGTCATAGTTAGCTTCCTGAAGCCCTGCTTTGAGTGGTTGTCAAGAGTGTGGTGCTGTCCCCGAGACGCTCGCTTCCCTAAGCATAGTTACTACTGTGGGGTTGTCCGTTGCAGACTGGAGTGAGTTCATAGCCGGTCCCGGCCACTACTTGGTGCTCTGGCCAGAGGACGGTCAGTTGGGAATGTATTCCTCTCACACCAGGCACTGTAAAATCCCCTCTTGTGTTAAGCCTACCTCACGGCAGATATGCTTCACCTCTGCCAGGTAGCCCCCATTCTAACCCCTAAGAATTGCTATTCCCTAATTCAGTATGATTCCAGCCAATCCCATGGAAATCTCTCCTGACCCTGGTTACTGCTTGATTGTAAGGACACTGTTGCACACATTACTCCCTGGATCATCCAGTATTCCGTGTATACGTTCTCTCGGAATAAGGTTTGGTTTTTTTAAAATAATTTTTTATTGTTATGTTAATCCCCATACATTACATCATTAGTTTTAGATGTAGTGTTCCATGATTCATTGTTTGCGCATAACACCCAGTGCTCTATTTAGTACGTGCCCTCTTTAATACCTATCACCAGGCTAACCCATTCTCCCACCCCCTGCCCCTCTAGAACCTTCAGTTTGTTTTTCAGAGTCCATCGTCTCTCATGGTTCGTCTCCCCCTCTGGAATAAGGTTTTAATTTAAAAATAATAATTGGAAAGTGTTTCTCCAAGCTAGCTAGGCTCTTTATGACTAGTTAGTTTACATTTATATACTGGATTCCATGAATCCTGTAACTGAATAGTTTCCTCTTTGATTTGTCCACTGGGCTTGGGCCCGACCCCAGGTGTAAAGAAAGGACAGGGGGCATATACCTCATGGCATGGCCTGGCCTGGCCTGGCTCCTGCCTTCACTTTGAGTCTGTTTTATCTTGGCGGCCTCTTCCCTGTTGCCTTCTAGTCCATGTCATTGGGTTGTATTAAGTGTTTAGGCGTCTCTAGACATGGTATAGGTCAATAAATTTCTCACTATCCAGGCAAGCTCTGTGCTTTACTTTTATTGGACTACATTTTATTTCTCCTAAGACCTTTTTTTTTTTAATTCAGGTATAATTCAAACACCATAAAATTCACCATTTTAAAGTGTATACTTCTTTGGGTTTTCGTATATTCACAGAATTATGCAGTCATCACCACTATATAGTTCCAGAATTTTTTCATCATCTCAAATAGAAACCCTCCGGTACTAGTTAAACAATAACTCCCCATTTTCCCTCCCCAGCTCCTGGGAATCTCCAATCTACTTTCTGTCTCTCTGGATTTACATATCCTGGGGATTTCCTATCAGTGGAATCCTACAGTAGTTGTCCTTTTTTTGTCTGGCTGCTTCCACTTAGCATAATGTTTTCAAGGTTCATCCGTGTTGTAGCCTGGCTCAGTACTTCATAACAGGTTATGGCTGAGTACTGTTCCATTGTGTGCATAGACCGCATTTTGTTGATGAATTTATGAATACTTGTTTGTGCTTTTTGGCAGTGATCAATAATGCTGCTGTAAATATGCATATACAAGTGCTTATGTGGACATATGTTTTCATGGGCATATGTAGGAGTGGCATGGCCGGGTCATATAGTAATCCTTGTTTAACTTTTGAGAAACTGCATGCTTTTTTGAGGAATTGTTTTCCACAGCAGTGGCACCATTTTATATTGCCACCAGCAGTGGACGGGGGTCCTCACCAGCACTGGTGGTGTCTTTTTGATTACAGTCATCCTAGTAGGTGTGAAGTAGTATCTCCTTGTGGTTTTGATTTGCGTTTTCCTAACGATTAATGATGTTGAGCATCTTTTCATGTACTTAATGACCATTTACCTTCTTCAGAGAAATGTCTATTTGAATCCCTTGCCCATTTTAGTCGGGTGGTCATTTTATTGTTAAATTATAAGAGTTCTGGGTGCCTTTGTGGCTCAGTCAGTTAAACGTCTGCCTTCAGCTCAGGTTGTGATCTCGGGGTTCTGGAATTGAGCTCAGCAGGAAGTCTGTTTCTCCCTCTCCTTCTGCCCCTGCCCCCGCTTGTGCGTGCACATGCTCTCTCTCTCAAATATTTTTTAAAAATTACAAGAGTTGGGCCACCTGGGTGGCTCAGGTCATGATCCCGGAGTCTCAGGATCAAGTCCCACATCTGTCTCCCTGCTCAGTGGGGAGTCTGCTTCTCCCTCTGACCCTCCCCCTTCTCGTGCTCACTCTCAAATAAATAAAACTTTAAAAAAATTATAGTTCTTTTTTTTTCCTAGGATTTTATTTATTTATTTAGAGAGTGTGTGCTTGTGAGCAGGGGGAGGGGCAAAGGGAGAGAGAGAGAATCTCAAGCAGACTCCGTGCTCAGTGTGGAGCCCGACATGGGGCCCAACCCCATGACCCTGAAATCATGACCTGAGCCAAAACCAAGAGTCGGACACTTAACTGACTGAGCCACTTAGACACTCTAATTATAAGAGTTCTTTATAATTTTAGCTGTACTAGTCCCTGATGAGGTAGCACATAAATCTTTTCTCCCATTGTGTGGGTTGTGTTTTCACTTCCTCAGTAGTATCCTTTGAAACACAAATGTTTTTCATTTTGGTGAAGTCCAGTTTCTCTTTTTTCTTTTGTTGCTTATGCTTTTGGTGTCATATCTAAGAGACCAAGGCCTAATTCAAAGTCATGAAAATTTACACCATTATTTTCTTCTAGGAGTTTTATAGTTTTAGCTGTATAGTTTTTTTCAGGTCTTTGATCCATTTTGAGTTGATTTTTGTGTGTTGATTGAGGCACTCCTAAGACCTCTGACTTTTGATTCCTAGACCATTTCTCATATTGCCAAACCACCTGGAATTCCCTTCATTCTCTGCTTATTGAAACGCCGTCTTTTCTAAGATCTAACTCAAGTCTGTCTTTCTGAAGCCTTTCTGGGTCCTAGAGTGAAGTCCTCACTCCCTCCTCTGTGCCAGTGTTTGTGCTTAGATCATATCGCATACCACAGCCTTGTACCACGTTTGTTCTTGGACGTGTAAATGCACATACACATCTCATCTGTCCTCCCAGGATGGGAGCTTCAGCTCATATATCTTTGTATTCTCCAGCATCTTGCACTGTGCCTTGCTCGTAGGAGTTGTTAAGTAGATAGTAGATGTTTTAAAAAAACAATTTCAGGCACCTGGGTGGCTCAGTTGGTTGGGTGACTGCCTTCGGCTCAGGTCATGATCCTGGAGTCCCGGGATCGAGTCCCGCATTGGGCTCCCTGCTTGGCAGGGAGTCTGCTTCTCCCTCTGACCCTCCCCCGTCTCATGCTCTATCTCATTCTCTCTCTCAAATAAATAAAATCTTTAAAAAAAAAAAATTTCAAGGTCTGCCTAGGTGGCTCAGTCAGTTAAGTGGCTGCCTTCAGCTCAGGTCATGATTCCAGGGTCCTGGGATCGAGCCCCACGTCAGGCTCCCTGCTCAGCGGAGAGCCTGCTTCTCCCTCTGCCTGCCTCTCTGCCTACTTGTGCGCTCTATCACTCTGTCAAATAAATAAAATCTTTTTAAAAAAAAATCAATTTCAGGGATGCCTGGGTGGCTCAGTCGGTTAAACAGCTGCCTTCGGCTCGGGTCATGATCCCAGGCTCCTGGGATCAAGTCCCGCATCTGGCTCCCTGCTCAGCGGGGAGCCTACTTCTCCCTCTCCCCCTCTGTACCCCAGCATGTGCTCTCTCTCTCTCTCTCTCTCTCTCACTCTCTCAAATAAATAAATAAAATCTTTAAAAAAAAAATCAATTTCAATGGTGAGAATAATAGCTTCCATTTATTGTTTGCCCTGTGCCAGGGACTTAGCTAAAAGCCCCACTTGTGTCACTTCATGTCCTCTTCATGACCTGGTGGGGCACAGGTGCTCTTGCTACTCCCATCTTGGAAGTGAGATGGTAAATATCGAGTAGGGAAGCCAGATTCTGGATCCGGGAAGCCCAGCTTCAGAGCTCATGCACTTGACCACATTGCTATGCTGCTATGTGTAGTAGACAAAGATATCTCAGGCTCTTTGCTTTTTTGTAAGAATTGGAATGATCTCTGAAACACATTTTATTGCTTTGACCCTACTCCAGAAGAGTTGGAGCGCTCTCGGGGGTGTGGGACTAACATTCTCGTGTCCGACGTGTTCCCCTCCAGGAGAGCGGCTGGCGGTTGTGGAGGGGCAGTGTGAGCGGCTGCGGATGCTCTACCGGGACTGTGCTCGGCCGCCGCCGCCGCCGCTGCAGGCCGACCGGAGACAGGTGAGCCCGTCCACAGCGCACTGGCACTGCGTTAAAGAATGCCGGGTGGCACCTGAGGGACCTCTAGAGGGAGCATTTGCAAAGCCGTTTGGAGGTGCATGCTCTGTGCTGACGTGCTCTCGTCTCTGAATGTCGGAGCCCATTGATTTGACAGTCTGAACAATGAAAGATCACAGCGGAGGAGCAGACTCACTAATTTGTGAATAATTTCTTATGTTATCAATAACCGAAAAAAACTTTGAAAATTTTAGATCTATAGTCCATCTTATAATGATAAGAGTATACATAGAGACTGAGAGGTGATTAAAAAGCAAAAGTGGTTGGGGCGCCACTTTTGGGTGGCTTAGTCGTTAAGCGTCTGCCTTCGGCTCAGGTCATGATCCCAGGGTCCTGGGATCGAGCCCTGCATCGGGCTCCCTGCTCGATGGGAAGCCTGCTTCTCCCTCTCCCACTCCCCCTGCTTGCGTTCCCTCTCTTGCTGTGTCTCTGTCAAATAAATAAAATCTTTAAAAAGAAAAGTGGCAAAGTGTTCAGAATTGGTACCTCTGTGAATGTTCTTAGCAACTTATTTGTAATGGCCAAGAAGTGGAAACAACCTAAATGTTTATCACCTGATGAATGGATGCATAAAATGAATGCATATCCCCATAAAATGGAATGTTATTCAGCCTTAAAAAATGAAGTAGAAAAAAAAGTGATGAAGTAGTGATCCATGCCACAATATGGATAAACCCTGAAAATACGCTAAGTGAAAGAAGCCAGTCACAAAAGACCATGTATTATGGGATGTCATCTATATGAAGTATCCAGAACAGGCAGATCTAGAGACAGAAAGCAGATGGGTGGTTACCAGAGGCTGCAGGGGTGCGGGGAGGAGTGACTGCTAACAGAGAGAGTCTTAAGGGGGACAGAAACACTCTAAAATTTGATGGTGGTGATGGTTGCACAATGCTGCATATACTAAAAACCGTTGGAATTATACACTTCAAACGGGTGAATTGTAAGTGTACAAAAATTGCCATTTTCTTAGTTTTTCTATAGGTTTGAAACTATTTCAAAATTAAAAATTAAAAATAAATAAAAGACAATGTGACCTGAAATCTCAACATCTCTGTTTTGCGTTGTCAGCATAACAGCGTGATGGATCCCTATACTTTTTCCATGACAACGGAACTCTGCTGTTCATACTGTTTTGCATCCAGCTTTTTTGCCTCCATGGATGATGAATGCCTTTCCATGTCAATCAGTAGAAACTTAATAGTCCAGCGTACACTTGTGCCTCAGTTTCCCCACTCAGGCTTTTCTTGGTGCCCATCTGCACCATCTCCAGTTTGTACCATAGCAGCGATGCACATCCTTGGAACTAATCATTACATTCATCTTTTAGTCCTTTGGATAAAAATGAAATTGATGGGTTAAAAAAAATATGCTTTTATTGACAGAGAAGCATGAACTTTATGATTAGATTTATTAAAAATTATGAAGGTGAGAAAATGAAGCAATTAATTTAAAAAAAGTGTAATATTACTCCTTCTTAGCTTTGAGCTGAATAGTACGTCACAGGAATTTAAATTCTGACCCCTGAACTGGGTCTGAAACTTGGTCTGTAATTACACAGCCAGGATGAGGGTGTGAGGGCCTGTGCTACATGTGTGTAAGGAGAAGGAGAGCTGTAGGAATTAAAGCCTCATTTGTCCTCACAGAAGTTAAGTGATGTCCTAAAGGGATATTAAAAACGGCATTATAAGCATAGAGGAATAGAGGTAACTATCAGAATGAACCGTTCTTTTTTTTTTTTTTTTTTTTTTTAAAGATTTTATTTATTTGACAGAGAGACACAGCGAGAGAGGGAACACAAGCAGGGGGAGTGGGAGAGGGAGAAGCAGGCCTCCCGTGGAGCAGGGAGCCCGACGTGGGGCTTGATCCCAGCACCCTGGGATCATGACCTGAACCACCCAGGCGCCCCCCCCCTTTTTTTTTTCCCTAAAGATTTTATTTATTCATTTGTCAGAGAGAGCACAAGCAGGGGAAGCAGCAGAGGGAGATGGAGAAGCAGGCTCCCTACTGAGCAAGGAGCCTGATGAGGGACTCGAACCTAGGACCCCAGGATCATGCTCTGAGCCGAAGGCAGATGCTCAGCAGACTGAGCCACCCAGGCTTCCCCAGAATGAACCATTCTAAGAGCTAAAAGAGTGATTGGATCTAGAGAGCAACACTGGGCATAGAGACTGCCTTTTTTTTTTTTTTTTTTTTTTATAGATTTTATCTATTTGAGAGAAAGCAAGAGACAGAGCATGAGCGGAGGGGCAGAGGCAGAGGGAGAAGCAGGCTCTCCGCTGAGCAGGGAGCCCAATGCGGGGCTCGAGCCCAGGACCCTGGGACCATGACCTGAGCCGAAGGCAGACGCTTAGCCAACTGAGCCACCCAGGCGCCCCTAGACTGCCTTTTTTTAAATACAGTTTCCTTTGTAAAAACAAGGTATATTCTTTTTTTTTTTTTTTTTTTAAAGATTTTATTTATTTATTTGAGACAGAGAGAATGAGAGAGACAGAGAGCACATGAGGGGGGGGAGGGTCAGAGGGAGAAGCAGGCTCCCCGCAGAGCGGGGAGCCCGACACGGAACTCGATCCCAGGACCACAGGATCATGACCTGAGCCAAAGGCAGACGCTTAGCCAACTGAGCCACCCAGGTGCCCCTAGACTGCCTTTTTTTAAATACAGTTTCCTTTGTAAAAACAAGGTATATTCTTAAATAAAAGATGTACCTATATTCTAATACCACTAGATAAAAATTTTTCTTCTTTGAGAGCGTAGAGGGAGCTGTGTTTGAGGTGTTGAATGAGGCACTTTTCCCCGTAGCCCAAAGAGGTCACTTGGAGCCCCTCGCGAGTGTTCCCGCCTGTCCGAGCCTGCATGTTCTCATCGCATCTTACGTCTGTCACCTTCCTGGCTGACCCCAGCGCTGGGGGCGGTCTGCCCCGGGGCACGTTTATCTATGCCACCTCACCACTACCCGTTCAGGTGAGAAATCACACGGCCTCTTGCCTCTTTCCTTCCTCTTTGAGAGAAAAAGCAAGTTCCAGGGGCCCAAGTGGAGTCCTCTGATCGCCTGCCCATTTCTGTTGTTTCCTCAGGCCCCATCTTTTTACTGGGAAATTGAAATTGTTTCCTATGGAGATACTGATGACGACACTGGACCAATCGTTTCCTTTGGCTTTGCTACAGAAGCAGAGAAACGAGATGGGGCTTGGACTAATCCAGTGGGCACTTGTCTTTTCCATAAGTAAGTAGCTACTATTGCTGTCACTAAAAAAAAAAAGAAAAAAAAGTAGTGGGTGTGGATGTTTGTGGGTGTTTTCATACTAAAATAATATAATCTCAATCTCCAAAAATATAAAATACCAGTCGGAAATATATTCAAGTTTAGGCAAAGAGAATAGCTCTTAGGGTTTCCCTTCTAAGTCCTCTTGTACTACTGAAGCCCCTGGGCCTGTTCACTATGTAACTGCCTCTGTGTTGGCCAGGCAGCCGTGGCTTTGACTTTGCTTTCTTTCCTAGCAACGGCCGAGCCGTGCACTACAATGGCTCCAGTTTATTACAGTGGAAGAGCGTGCGCTTGGATGTGACTCTCTCTCCTGGTGAGTGCGGCGGGAGCTTCTTTTTTAGCCTGTGTATTTCTTTTGTTCCCAGATTTTGTCTAAGTAGGTTAAAAGTAAAGAAACTTAGCAACTAGAAATGGGCAGTTTGCCTTTCAGTGAAAGCCAAGTACTTGTCATTGCTGTCTGCTAGTTTACACCAAACCGTTCCTTTTGTGAGGCCATTATCACTGAGACCCTCCATTTGGTAAGGTAGGAATCACATTCACTTTTGTTTCTGCATCATTAGAAAAACCTGAGATTTTTGCTTCTCTTTGAAGTTTAGTCTTTTGTCAGCTTTTCATTGATCTAGCAGATAAATAGGTTCAAAAAAAAAAAAAGGTCTACCACTAGCCCTGAGGCACTCACAAAATGCGTTAGGAGTAGCTAACGTGATGTAGACTTTGTTCTCAGGAGCCTAAACGTCTGGTCCTGCTTCAGCACATCTGCCCAGAAGTTTCAGTCACATAGACCGTCAATTCAGTTAAAACAATGACAATAAACACCCTTTCCCCTCTTTTTTTTAGCCTCCGTATAAGTGTCTTGCTCTGTATAGATGAATTGGGATCAGTCCTACCTGCTCCAGCAGAGTCGCAAAATGTAGGCATTGTCCTCTTGCCATTAGAAGCCCCCAGACGCGTTGGCTACTTAGTTTCAGACAGTACATCTTAGCATCATTTCTGAGGAAGCTGAAATTGTCCTACATGGTAGATGGTCTGGGCTGCTCAGATGGGGAAGAATAAGTCACTCCATCCATCCATCTAACTTCGCACAGCTGGCTGGGAGTAATTTTGCCATCACTTAACTTAGGGAGCTGCTTGTTTTTTTGGGTTTTTTTTTTAAAGATTTTTATTTTTATTTATTTGAGAGAGAGAGCATGAGCAGGGGAGAGGCAGAGGGAGAGAGAAAGGGAGAAACAGATTGTCTGCTGAGCAGGGAGCCTGATGTGCGGCTTGATCCCAGGACCCTGCGATCATGACCTGAGCCGAAGGCATACGCTTAACTGACTGAGCCACCCAGGCACCCCAGGGAGCTGCTTGTTAAACTGCACATTTCAGGGAGTGTAGTGTTTTCAGTTATGGTCAAATTATGATTTAGAGATAATTTCCTGGCAGTTACTTCTCATTTTCTGGAGCAGAACTTGGACATTTCAGCTGAGTACTTAAGTGTTTTCAGCACAGAGGAGGGTTTGGGGAGCATATGGGAACCATAGGCAGGGTTTTTATTCTCATTTGTTTTGTTTGGTCACATTTGCTGTTTGAGAAAGTTTTGTACTGGACCTCAGGCACACATGCTATGTGTCTGGGTAGGAATCAAGAACTCACTTTTTACAGCAGAATCTCAACCTCTGTACCAACACTTCTAGTGTCTACTCATCAGTAGATACTTGCTGGCCATTTCCTATGTGCCGGGTACTTTTCTGGGCCCTGGAGATGCCACGGTGAACAGTGATAAGTCCCCAGCCTTTGGGAAGCCCATCCTAGTGGTATCTGAAGCATTGGAAACTCTGTAATCAAAAGCAGAATCGTAGAACTTCATGCACTTCCTGAAGAGTTCACAGTGAGAGACTAATCACATGGCTCCGTATGTGAGCAGTGGGCCTGAAGCAGCCAGCATGTGAGCGCTGATGAGGTGGTCTCTGAGCTCTGTCCTATTCTCTTCCTCATTGTAAAGCAGCTTGGCTTGTCTTAGCTTCCCGAAAAAATGCCTTAAATACATGTAAGTAGCAGGCGGGACATAATGTGATTTAACTGTGTACCTCCAGCTTACATTATGGGTTGGGTTTTATATTACTAAGACCATTTCTAAATCTTCCACAAACGTACTGAGAAAATACTACCTTTTTACCTTTGTGCCATAAATAATTTTCCATGTGTCAAAAGAGAAAAACTTGTATCTATTAAAAAAAAAAAAAAAAGTACCCAATGTTTTCCCTTTGTCTTGGCTGCCAGGAAAATAAAGGCTAAATTTAATGTGTAATTGTGGTAACTAACTCGGCATTTTCTTCTGAATAGCTTGACTTCTCTTTTTAAAACGATTTCTGTTGTGTTACTTTATATTTACTCAAGTACAGTACGTAACTGCAGAGCTTTTTCAGGTGTAACTAGTGGCATAAAGATAGTCAATGATATGTGGCCTCATCACACTGGTTGCAGTTGGGAAGTTTATTTAATAATGAGTGAACGGGAAATCCAGATGTCTCCTTCCTCTTCTCTGCCGTAGGTGACGTGGCAGGAATTGGCTGGGAGAGAACCGAGGGGACCCCCCCTCCTCCGGGGCAGCCAGCCAAGGGCCGAGTATACTTCACATACTGCGGGCAGCGCCTGTGCCCGTATCTCGAAGACGTCTCTGGTGGGATGTGGCCTGTGGTTCACATTCAGAAGAAGGCAGGTTATCTCACTGGGAAGGAAAACAAATTCTCCTTAGTAATTTGGGTGTTGCCCAGCCACGCTGGGGAGGGCAATCTACTCGACTGAATCCACCATTCAAATGCTGATCTCATCCAGAGGCCCCCTCCCAGACACACCCCATAATAATGTTTAGTCTGGCATCCTGTGGCCAGCCAAACTGACGGTAAAATTAGCCATCACAGTACAATTGCATGGAAGCAAATCTGACCATGTCCCCACTGGGGAGTGAAGGGAGCAGCTTGTGCGGTGGCATCAGGCAGAAAGGAACAGTGTTGGAAACAGGAAAGGCCCTGTCTGAGTAGCATAGGGCTGGGAGAGTGAGGCGAGGCGGGGGGGGGGGGGGGGGGGGGGGGGGGGGGGGGGGGGGGGGTGCGGGGGCTGGCCTGTGCAGATCTCCGTCTCAGCGCCAGGGCACGCAGTTGCACGGGCCCCTCTGCCTCAATGTGCATGCTCTCGCAGAGCGGGGGCCCTTCTTCTGGTTTGACGTTGAGTGGCATTCACCTTGTAGTGTTAAATAAACGAACAAACGTAACCCCTTTCAAACCCTCTATTTGATTTCCTTCCCAGAACACCAAGACTCGAGCTAACTTCGGCTCCCGCCCATTCGCTTATGCTGAAGGGCAGGCCCACCGCAACGCCGCCGACCTGTGCACCGACCTGGCAGAGGAGATCAGCGCTAACTTTGAGGCCCTGCCCTTCGCCATGGCGTCTGATAGCGACAACGACGCGGGCGCTAGTATCGCGTCAGACCCGGGCACTCACGGGCCGCCGTGCCGCATCGCTGCTGTGGCCACTGCTCAGCAACGTAAGCCGCCGCCTCCCGGGGCCCCACTGCTTCCGGGGGATGCACATGCTGCTGTTCGTAAGCCCCTCCGGCCTGCGCATGCTCTCATGCCCACTGGTTGTGGGGGCGTGGGCCCGGTGAAGGAAAACGGGGAGCAGGACATGGGACACTGCACCTTCCCTGCCTAGAAAGTCCGCTCCCCACATCCAGGAAGCCTGCCACTCCTCAGTGCCGGAGACTGTCGCCACATGGAAATGCAAGCCTGAAAGACTGTCCACTTTTTTTTTTTTTTTTTAAAGATTTTATTTATTTATTTATTTGACAGAGAGAGACAGCGCGAGAGGGAACACAAGCAGGGGGAGTGGGAGAGGGAGAAGCAGGCTTCCCACGGAGCAGGGAGCCCGATGCGGGACTCGATCCCAGGACCCTGGGATCATGACCTGAGCCGAAGGCAGACGCTTAATGACTGAGCCACCCAGGCTCCCCAAGACTGTCCACTTTTTATAAGACTGCTAGAAACCCCACAATTTTATGTGAAATCCTGTATTTTAAAAATGTTAATTGTTATAAAACTGAGGTCATCAAAGAATACTAAAACACTAATTGTGGAATCTAGGTGGTGGGTATTTGGTGTGCACTGAAAAAACTTTCCCGGTTATTTGAAAAACTTCATAATCGAATAAAACCAAGCTTCCTGATCTGTAGGTGTGGGCAGACTGTAACTGGCCTGGTTTGCAAACTGTTTTAAGACTCTGCCTACTTCTCTCTCCTGATGAAGAACTTTCCAAATTCTTCTCTGAATTGAATGAATTCTATCCATAAAAACGATTTTAGGATTCAGGTTAATGATACAAAATCCCTCCAAGTGCTAGGAGTCTTTCACATGAAAGAAGAGATTCTGGTTTGTCTAAGGGGGAGGAGTTCGTGATTTTTCTGGCCTGCGCTTGCTTAGAATTCACTGTCACTGTGCTCTGTTACAGAATATGACAGTGACACCTCCTGTCATTATAAAGTAGAACTCAGCTATGAGAATTTCATCACCTCGGGCCCAGACCCCCACCCACCTCCTATCGCAGACGATGAAAGTGATGATGAGGATGATGACGACATCCCCCAGGTACGAGGCCCACAGCACTCGCGCGGCTCCCTGGTGACCAGGACAAGCCACCAGGAATGATTTTGCTTGGAGGGTGCAAGGCCGGAATGGTGACACTTAGAGTTATGTCACTGTGTTTGAACAGTAGCTCTGGAACATTCATCTTTGAAACCATATGTCAGTGACAATACGTGCTGGGCTCTTTGGCCCAGTACCAATCTGGCTGTGGGAGAAATGGAGCACCCTGCTAGTGATTCAGCAGTAAGTCAGGGACCATGTGGCGTGCTTACTTGGCTTCAGAGGGAAAGGAAGGGCTTGCCACAGTCTGGCTGTTGCCTGCCCTGGCATCTGAGGATGTGATTCTGCTACTGGCCTTGGAGTGGGTGAGAGCTGTAGGTCAGGGAAGGGCTGATGCCCACATGAGGCGCTCCTTCTCTGTTCATGCCTTTGCCTTCTCCTTCCAGGAGGACCACTACGCCCTGCTGGTGAAAGCCTGGGAGACCAAGGTGTTTCCTACTATCCGAAGACGCTTCCGCAATGAGGCAGAGCGAAAGTCGGGCCTGGACCAGATCAAGGGAGCTTTACAACTAGGTCTGGTGCTTTACCCTGTCCTCGGGAGCTACTTCATGACTTGAGCTGTGCTTAGATGAACTCAGATGTAAATCAGGAAAGAGGGGCTCATCTAACATCCGGACAGACCTAACCGTGTCCTCTGCCTGTCCTTTCCTGAGCTCTGTGCTCTCCGGCTTCCACTGTCAGCCTTTTCTTTGCTTATCAACTTAACTCCATGTTTGGGTTGATGGGCTGCTGAAATGGTTGCATTGGGAAGCTGGATGGCCTGGGGGTCAAATAATTTGGGCTCTCAAGTCACAGCTGTGCTATTTGTCTGTCTGACCTTGGGACAGTTCGTTAACCTTTTTGGGCTTTCCTCCCCTTTAAAATGGAATCAGTGATGGTGACCACCTTGCAAGTGCTTTAATACAGGTAAAGCTCCTAGGAATAGTGCCCAGCACAGAGTAAGTGTTCAGTTAATATAGTTCTAGGTGTCACTGTGGTAACAAGGAGGGTGGGATTTTTCTTCCGTGAGCGCAGGTTCTCTAGCAAAGAATAATGCAAAGTTTGACCCCAGACAGTGGACTGTTAGTGAGTCTTGAGTGCAGGTAGCTAATTTCAGTTTTGAGGATTTTCCTCATCTTGTGAAACACCTGCTTTTCCCCCACAAACATGGTGGCCTCAGGGATGGTGTAAGAAGTTTCATTTTTGTCCTATATCAGCAGCCTTGCTCCTCTTTGAGCCTTGTTCTGAGAGTAGAACCAAATAAAAAAACAACTGGTGGGGGCTTTTCTGTTTTTTGGCCAATTAATATGCTGAGTCCCAGATCTCCAGTGATTACTTTTCTCCGATGTTGGCACCAGGACTGAATGAGTATGTGTAAATCTGTGGTTTGATTTTTACTTATTTTCTTTCAAGCTTTCTATCCCCGAAGCTAAGGCCTACAACAGCGGAATGATCTTGTTTAAACATAACCTGTGGGCGTAGCCTCCTCCTGTGACGTAGTGGGATTGCTTCCTGCTTTTATCAGAGCCTGGGTTCGGCTGCCGACCCAATTCTGGGGCAGATAATTAGTAATTCTTCTCTACTCGAGTTTGGGGCAGAGGGAGCAACATTAGGAAGGCCCTTGGTGGGAGTGCACTCAGGTGGTTGGGCGACCAGCCAAAAGGCCAAGCAGGTATAGCTGAAGATGAGAGCTCGAGGGAAGGGTGGCAGGACACGAGGCTAGGGGCAGGGACAAGCACTGGGTGCGTGAGGACTTTGGATTTTATTCTCTGCAAGATGGGAAGCCACTGGGAGGTGGTAAGCGAAGGAGCCACATAATTCAATGTAGTAGATCCCAGAGAAAGAGAATTTGCTCTTCCCCATCTGTTTTCAGTATCTGAGAGGAAGTGCCTTCGTGTGCTTTGTCGAAGGGCAGAGCAGACCTTCTCTCAGGTTCGAACGACTCTCACTTAGCATAATGCCAGACGCACTGCTGCCCGCCTTGAGGCGCCCATGCGGCATTGGTTTCGGGGTTGGGAGGCCTTCGATCTGGTGGCACCTGTTGAGCCATCCATTCATCCACTAACCCGTCCCTGCAGGCAGCCAGTGCCGCCCAGGCGTCGGGCCCCCAGCCAGGGAAACATCCAGTGGGCCACGGCAGGGGACGTGGTCGGGGCTGTGCGGTAGATCAGGAGGCCAGTGTGTGTGTAGCTAGGTCGGGCCAGTCTCGCGGGGCTTCTCTGACAGCCTGCTATTTAAGTGGAGATCGGGAGCTGACTTGGTGACAGCTGGCTTCCACTGTGAAACATTAAGCGCTGTTTTCAGGGGGGCTGGTGCCTCTTACCGCTTTGGAGAGAGTAAGAAAGGGGGGAAGAATTTACAGTGTGCAGATGAAAAGCCCTTGTATATGATCATTGGTTGCTGTGTTAACATAGGTTCTGCTTAAATTAGGATTTCTTTTCTTTTATCCTTTGGTGCCTGAGCCATCCTGAGCGTCTCTGGCCAAGGGTGCCTCCTCCTCTGCTCCCAGTTTGGTTAGGGGAAGGAATAGACAGCACGCAGAAAATCTGATCATCCAGAAGTGGCCCTGGACCAGAGGCAGATCGATGACTCAGCCAGAAGTGCCTCCGGCTGCTGATGTGGCCTCTTGCCAAGGCATTCTCTCGGGATCCGTCCGTGTGCTGTGACAGTCGTATGAACCATATTAATTTAGGCCTAAAGCATTTACCTTTTGAATATAATCTTCTTCAGTGTAGCAGTGGCAGAGGGGAAAAGGAGGCTGGGGGATGGCTCGTGGTCCCCAAAGGACCATCCCTGTGAGGTGGACCAGCCTCCTGCTGTCCAGTCCCCGAGGAAGGTTACTGAACCCACCCCTGTGCTGAGCATGGTTGAACTGGGCATCCTCCCCATGTTCCCGGATTCCTGCTGCGTAGACAGCGGAGGATTTGTTCTCCTCTCCCCCATTCCTTTGGGAAATGTTGCAAAGATTATTTTTCCATAATCTTCCAATATCAGGCCACATTCCTGGTCTGTTCTGACAGTTCTTTCTCTAGGCATCCTTCTCTAACTGCAGTCTCCTCCTCCTCAAGTGCGCTCCGAAAATTGCTGTGCCTTTTCCCTCCAGCAAGGCCAGCAAATAAGAGTGGGAGGTGAGTGTGCGGGCGATTGGCCTCTGCACCTGTGCACCCCCATGTGTGAGAGCTTCGGCAGTGCCAGCAGGTGGAGACGTTGCACCCCGCCACCCTGCGCGCCCCACGGAGCCGTCCCTTCAGGGGCCTTTGTTGACTGCGTTAATTAATAGTGGTGGTTGCTGGTGAACTTAATGGTGTGTTCTCTCTCTGGGAAGGAAGAACACAGCCAATTCCAGTGCTGGGTAGGAGGAGTTGGTGGAGCTCTGTCTCTCTTAAGCAACATGCGTTTGCTGTAAAAATCACGTAGTGCAAAAATGTACAAAGTAAGAAGCAAGCTTTTCCTCACTTCTTACCCTCCGTTTGTCCTCTACTTGGTTCTTTTGACTCAACTGAAATAACTGCATAATAGCGCCCCATGATTTTTAACCACTATTGATGAGTACTTTCCTTATTTCCATTTTGGGATCTCCCAGCGGTGCTGCAGGGAGCGCTCTTGGATCTTCACACACGTGTGCTTGTGTTTCTGTGGGAGAAATTTGAGAGGTTCCTACAAGTAGGGTATTGAGTGTTTTAAACTTGCTAGATTCCCCATAATTACCTTCCCCAAAAGGCTATGTACTCCCATGGGCAGTGTTGGAAAGATTCTCTTACCTTCATTCTCCGTGTGAGTCAGATCCGAAGACCGTGTACTCTTCGGAGAGTTACCAGTGCAGTTATTTTTTTTTTAGGCATGGTGGACATTGCCCGACAGACGGTTGAATTCCTCTATGAGGAGAATGGCGGCATCCCAAGAGACCTGTATCTTCCCACCATTGAAGACATTAAAGACGAAGCAAACAAGTTCACAATCGATAAAGTTCGGAAAGGTTCTGTTTTCCCTCTTACTTCATCTGTGAAGCTTGCTGTGGAATGAGAGGTTGGGTGTTCACTTGAGTGTGAGCAGAGGATCTGTGAGCTTTCCTGAGGTGACTCCTTTCGCGGAGTGACAGGGCCTCTCGCAGCCTCTCTTCTGTGATGCCCTAAAGCCTCCTGCTCGTCTGGCCTCCAGTGGCCTCCCGAGCTCACTGGCACACGCAGAGTGAGACTGCGTACTTGTGCAGAGGGAGAAGTGGGGCATGGGTGGAGGGTTCCAGAGAGGCCTCCCAGCTTAGGTCGGGGCTGCTGAGCTAGAACCATGAATGTATGGTTGCACTCTGCTTTTTAAAATTTTAATAGAATGTGTTCTTTTGATTAAAGATCTATTGCATTTTTTAAGGAAATGAAAATACAGAAAAGCACAAAAAAGAAAAATGGAAACCACTCGTTATCAGACCTTCATAAAAATACGAGAACATCAGGGACAGAGGCAGAAATAGATATATTTTTGGGGTGCCTGGGTGGCTCAGTTGGTTAAGCATCTGCCTTCGGCTTAGGTCATGATCCCGGGGTCCTGGGATCGAGCCCTGCGTCGGGCTCCCTGCTCGGCGGGGAGCCTGCTTCTCCCTCTCCCTCTGCCTGCTGCTCCCCCTGCTTATGCTCTCCCTCTCTCTGTCAAATAAATAAATAAAATCTTAAAAAAAAAAAAAAAGATATATATATTTTTCTTTTTTAGATATAATTTGCATATCATAAAATCCACCCTTTTAAAGGATACAGTTCAGTTTTTAGTAGATTCACAAAGTTGTACAACCACCAAACCATTTCCTCTAATTCCAGAACATTTTCATCCTCCAAAAAGAACTCCTGTATCCCCACCATTCCCCATTTCTCCTTCCCTTGAGCCCCATTAATTTACTTTTTTGTCCCTATAGACTTCCTCTTCTGGACATTTCCTATAAATGGAATCCTACAACCTGGGGTCTTTGAGTCTGGCCTCTTTCATATGTCACAGCACAGTCTTTCAAGGTCCATCCATGTTGTAGCATGTGTTAGTACTTGGTTCCTTTTTATGGCAAAATAATACTCCATTGTATGGATGATACCCCATTTTTTAATCCATTTACCAAATGATGGACACTTGGGTTGTTTTTCACTTTTGGCTATTATGAGTAATGCTGCTGTGAACGTTTGTGTTCAGGTTTTTTGTGTAGATGTGTTTTCCTTTCTCTTGGGTAGATATGTAGGAGTGGGATTGCTGGGTCCTATGATAAGTTGAACTTTTTGGGGATCTGCCAGATAATTTTCCAAAGTGATTGCAGCATTTTACATTCCCACCAGAAACGTATATCGCTTCCCATTTCTCCACATCCCTGCCAACACTTAACTACTGTCTGGTTGGTTAGATTATAGCCATCCTAGTGGGTGTGAAGCGGGGTCTCGTTGTGGCTTGGGCTTGTCTACCTAATGACTGATGACAGGGAACGTCTTTTCATGTGTATCTTCATTTTTCTTTGGAGAAATGTTTATTCAAATCCTTTGTCAATTTTTTAGGTGGCTTATTTGTTTTTTTATTATGAGAGTTGTTAGAACATTTTGTATGATCTTCCAAGACTGAGCTTTGTACCTTTTTGGTTACAACTAAACTGAGGTATTGTTAGATGCTGTAGAGCTATTTTAGGCCCTAAAAATATAGGATCCCCAGATGATAATGGTACTTGCTTCTGAAAAAACTTCTCCCTTTGCCCTCCTCAGGTCTCACAGTAGTAACCCGCTCTCCAGACAGCAACAATGTGGCCAGCAGTACGGTGGGGACTGCCCTGCCAAAATTCGCCATCCGGGGGATGCTGAAAACCTTTGGGCTTCATGGAGTTGTCTTAGATGTTGATTCAGTGAGTAAACAGCCTTTTATATACATGGGGACTTTCATGCCCAGACTCCATGTGTCTTAAAAAGTGATCATCCAGGGTGCCTGGGTGGCTCAGTTGGTTAAGTGTCTGCCTTCGGCTCAGGTCACGATCTCAGGGTCATGGGATCAAGCCCCATGTTGGGCTCCCTGCTCAGTGTGAAGTCTGCTTCTCCCTCTGTCCCTTCCCCTCCCCACCCCCGCGCTCATGCTTGCTCTCTCTCAAATTAAAAAAATTAATATTTTTTTAAAAATGTGCAGTCATGCAGATGGATTACTCTTCATACTAGGGTTGGAGAAAGTGAGCTAAGTGCTCACAGCAGATGGCTTGCCTGAGGTTTTTTCGTGGGCCCAGATCAGGGCTGATGATAGATGGTGATAAGCTCTTAATCCTCAGGGCTGTCAGCCCTTCAGACCACGATGCCCCTGCCAGCATTTTGTCAGCCATGTTCAGACCATCCCTATATTCTTCCTACCCAAGTCCCGGGAACATTCTCCCCTGGTCCTTGGTAAATGGATGATCTGTCTTTGTCATGACTGTTACAGACACAAGTCGAAGAAATAGTTTTATGATTTTGATCACATCATCTTGCTGGTTCTCTCAGCCTGTTTTCCAATATGTAACACGAGTGTATTAAACCCATGGGGTTCTCAGCAGGGGTGGGGGGTATGGGCGGGGAAGAAGGAACAAAAGACGCATGCGGGCAAAGCCAAAGCTTTCTTTGGTCGCATGCATGTGCTGGTGTTTGAGAAGTTTCCCGTGCAAGAAAAACTGATGAACTAATATCTAGTTCAAGCCTAAGAGTCTCTGATGAGAAAGGGTCTATGGCCAAGTAGATAAGCTAGAATCTACCTAGATAGAGCTACAGAAACCGGTAATGTTAGGTACCATTAATGCTTTGAAATGGAAAGCTTTACATTTTTACTGACTCCATTTCACCCAAACTTAATTATGAATCATTAAATTTTTTTAAGATCTATTTATTTGAGAAAGAGAGTGCACACATAAGAGCAGCGGGGAGAGGCAGAGGGAGGAGGGAGAGAATCTCAAGGAAACTACTTGCTGAGCACGGAGCCTGACGTGGAGCTCGATCTAATGACCCTGAGATCATGACCTGAGCTGAAACTAAGAGTTGGACATTCAACCAACTGAGCCACCCAGGCACTCCCTGAATCATTAAATTTTTAAGAGAGGCTACTGACTGATGGTTTACTAAGGTGAACGTCCAAGTAGAAAATTCAATTAGTAATACTATTAATCTCCCGTTGCCTTCTGATACAAACTTCTGACCTGGTTATCAGAAAGTATATAACTGACAGTGTTTTTCAGCAGTGGAAATGTGTGCAAGTATAAATTAGAAAAACAGAAATTTTGTTAAAATAATTCTGTTACTATTGGGATGCCTGGGGGGCTCAATCAATTAAGCGTCTGCCTTCGGCTCAGGTCATGGTCCCGGGGTCCTGGGATCGAGCCCGCCATCAGGCTCCTTCCTCAGCGGGGAGCCTGCTTCTCCCTCTGCTTGCTGCTCTCCCCCTGCTTGTGCTCTCTCTCTCTGGGAAATAAATAAAATCTTTAAAAAAAATAATAATTCTGTTATTAAGTAGTTTGATTCTTTTATGTTTTAGTACTACTCCCTAAACAAAAATTACATTTGTATTTGAATCCAAAGCGTATATGCATGAGTTTACTTTTTATTTTCCTGTAATAAAATGGATCTATTAGATTTCCTGCTTTTCCAAAATTATTATTTTTTTAAAAATTTATTTATTTGAGAGAGCATGAGAGGGGGGTGGGGTGGGAGGAAAGGAGGAGAGAGAGAGAGAGATTCCGCACTAAGCACAGAGCCCGACGTGGAGCTCAATCCCTTGACCTTGAGATCATGACCCAAGCCAAAACCAAGAGTTGGACGCCCAAACTGACCAAACCACCCAGGCGCCCCATGCTTTTACAAAATTATCAACATAAAAACAATGAACATAGGGGCGCCTGGGTGGCTCAGTTGTTAAGCGTCTGCCTTCGGCTCAGGTCATGATCCCAGGGTCCTGGGATCGAGCCCCGCATTGGGCTCCTTGCTCTGCAGGAAACCTGCTTCTCCCTCTCCCACTCCCGCTGCTTGTGTTCCCTCTCTCGCTGTGTCTCTCGCTGTCAAATAAATAAATAAAATCTTTAAAAATAAAAATAATGAACATAAAACAAAATGCACTGAATTATAACTGAAATATAGCACTGTTCAATTTTTTTTTTTTTTTTTTTTTTAATTAGCGTTGCGGGGAGGGCCAGAGGGAGAGAGAGAATCTTAAGCAGGCTTCACGCCCATCGCGGAGCCCAACACAGGGCTCATTCCCACAACCCTGAGATCAGGGCCTGAGCCAAAACTAGAGTCGGATGCTTAACCGACTGAGCCACCCAGGTGCCCCTGTCTTTAAATTTCTAATTCATGATTACATAACGGTTAAAATTTGAAAACCAGCATGAAAAAACTAAACACACTATCATTACTAACCAGTTGTCTTTGACCTTTTAAAGACTCCGTGACATGAAACTAACATTTATTACCGTAGAACTTTTATATATACATACAGATGTATTTTAAAACTTGAAGGGGAGGGCGCCTGGGTGGCTCAGTTGCTTAAGCAACTGCCTTCGGCTCAGGTCATGATCCTGGAGTCCCGGGATCAAGTCCCGCATTGGGCTCCCTGCTTGCTTCTCCCTCTGACCCTTCCCCTCTCATGCTCTCTGTCTCCCATTCTCTCTCTCAGATAAATAAATAAAATCTTTAAAAAAAATAAAAATAAAAAAATAAAACTTGAAGGGGAAAAGTCAGTGCCCAAAAAGTCAAATAGACCTTTCCTTTAACTGCTGTAGGTGAATGAATTAGTGCAGGTAGAAACGTACCTCCGAAGTGAAGGCGTGCTAGTCCGATACTGGTATCCTATTGATATGCTGGAAAGGCCCCCGGCAGGCTACCGGAGGACGGCCACCAATGGGCTGGTCACGCTCGACAATACCAACCTTCAAATTCACAGGTAAGATTGAGCCCTTCTTCCTAGCGGATCACAGAAATTCACTTATTATGTCTTTATCACATGTACCATTTGTCATTGACAAGCTTTTCCTTCAAAGCTAAGAGTTAGAAGGAAGCTAGCAAAGTAACAGCAAAATTGCAGGAGTTGGGAAGAAATGTCGTGTGGGATCTGGTGTCACCCAGCCTATGCCACAGACACTGCTGTGAGCTGCAGGGAAGAGGGGGGATTGAGGGGTGGCTGGAGATCTGGAGGAGGGTGGAAAGTTGTAAAGAGTAAAGCCAGTCCAGGAGAGATGTCCAGGCCCGGTGTGGGCAGCCAGCTCATTTCTCCATTAAGCTAACAAGGTGTTCATTCCTGAATGCGTGTTTGTGCCTAGCACTGGGCGGGGGTCTCTAAGGAAGCACGTTCTGCCCTTGATGGATTGTCTTTCTCCTCTAATTCAATTGCCGTGGCTTTCCATTTCCCTTGGAGTAGAATTCAAATGAGTAACCTACCTCACGAAACCCCTGCCTGAGCCCCAGAGTCTCTGCTTCTCCATGGACTCTCCGTCAGCAGTGCTGGCTTTTCCACGTCTCTCTGACCCGACGCTCGTGTCCTCCGAGGTGTCTCTGCAGGTGCTCTTCCCTCGGCCTGGAGCGCTTTGCTCAGAACTTTGCATGGCGGTCTCATTCTTGTCATTCGGATCTCAGGTCACCTTTCCAAAGAGGCTTTGCCTCACCATCTAAAGTAAGCGCTAAGCCGCATGTTGTCATAGCACTGCATCTTACTTCCTTTCCAGGACCTGATGTTCTTGCCTGTGAGTTTGGTTTAATTTATTAATTGTGTTGTGTCTCCTCCTCCTAGACTGTAAGGTTTCTAAAAGCAGAGACTTTGATTCTTTGCTAGAGCCCCCCATTTCTAATCAGGAGCCTGGCTCATGTTGCAAGCTCAAAATATCTGTTGAAAAGATACATATATGGTTGAATAGCAATATGATAGTCTTGAAAGCTTTTAAAGCTTTATTTCATAAGTCAGTTGTATTTTTAGCCAATGTCTCTGATGGATGTAACTTAATGCCCTTTTGCTAGCAACCGAGCGAAAAGGCCAGAAAGTGCTTTGTAAGGTTACCATCAGGCTGTAGATGTAGGACATTTATTCTCAGGATTACGGCGGTGATCTCGGTATCAGGAGAACTAAGAAATATGCCACACGGGTTTGTTTGATCAATAAAGTGCCTGGATTTCTCGTCCCAGGACAGATTTTCCTCAGAGTTACGCTCTGCCTAACACGCTCATGTGGCTTTGGGAGAGGACTCAGAAAGAGCGGTAGACGGCTCAGCAGTAGCTTCAGAGGCACTGAGTCTGCAGAGACAGAGCAGGGACTGCTGGGCAGGCCCAAAATAATCTCACTCCAACTGCAGCCCCTGAAATCTGAGGAGGAAGCGGTGGGGAGTCAGAAAGGGCTTGTGTTCAGACCTCCTCTGTGTTGCTGCCCCGGCCGTTCTGAGCTGTGTCTGTGTAGTTAGCATATGGACTTCCATGGAGGGAGGAGACCGGTAGGGAGAGGTGGTTTGTTTTCAAGTCCAGCCTGAGGATATTACAGGCTGGTGGAGATGAGAAAGAAACCACCTACATGCAGCATCTTAGCTGTGTTTATCTTCATATCTGTACAAACTCATCAGGTTTTATGTGGCTTCTTTAATTACCGTTATGCCTAAATATGAGTTATGATAGATCAGCATTAAATTTAATTCAGATCAGGAGGCAATACAGAATGAGCCCTGATGGCTCCACATGGATTTGAAACCTAGACTTTTTAGAGACAATAGGGCTGCTTCTAACTTGCCTTTTTAGTTAAATGTTTAATACCAGGAGAATTTTTAATAATGATTAGCTAAAGAAATACAGGGAGCCTCCCCAATGCCTAGTATTAGATTATTTACCAAGAGATGCAATTCTAAATGAGACCTGCTTAGTCACTAATGAGCTGTTATTCAAGGCGAATGCCAGTTACTTCAGAAATTCATCACACACAAAGGGTTCACAGTGAATTTTTTTATAAGAGCTTTAGTGAGCTGTAGTTCGCATACCGTGTAGCTCACCTATTTAAAGCATACAAGTCAGTGGCGTTTAGTATATTTACAGAGGTGTACAAGCCTCACCACAATCGCTTTTAAAACCTTTTCATCACCCAAAAGAGAACGGCCGTACCCATTCTCTCCTCTCGCTCAACTTTGTTCCGTTTCTATGGATCTGCTTGGTTCTGGACAGTCTATGTGAATGGAATCACGGTGCTGTGGGGCCCTCCATGTCTAGCCTTCTTTTCTTGGCACAGGGTCTCCAAGGTTGATCCATGTAGCAGGTTTCGGTGCTTCGTCCCTTACTGCTGACTAGTATTCCACTGAGTGGATTTACCATTCCTCGCTGGGTGGACGTTTGCCTTGTTTCCAGTTTGGGGCTGCTCTGAGTAATGCCCGTGTGAACATCCATGTAGAAGTTTTGTGCGGCCCTCTATTTTCACTTCTTTCTCCACAGTGATTTTTGAGTAGAGAACATCCAAACATACTTAAACCTGGCTTTCTATTTAAGACCCAAGTGGCTAGCCTGGCGTGCGGAACCCGGGGCCGGAAGAGAGGCCTGCGGCCCGGCCCGAGCCCCGGCGCTGAGCGCGCCTCCCGCTTTCCCCGCAGAGAGCTGCTGCGGTGTGAAGCGGCACTGGCCAGGCTCTACTGCCGCGTGGCCCTGCTCAACATCTTCGCCCCGAAGCTGCCGCACCTGTTCACCCGCCTCTTCCACATCCCCGCCATCCGGGACATCACCCTGGAGCACCTGCAGCTGCTGTCCAGTCAGCTCCTGGCTCCTCCCCTCCCAGGTGAGCCTGGCTTCTGGCCGTCCCTGGCGACAACAGCCCAGGGTGGGGTGGCCCTGAGAGCGAGCCCGGACCCCAGGCGGGAGACTGGGGGCGACAGACTCGCCCTCCGGGTGGCACAGGCCTTCAGGCTCGTGTAGATAAACGGCCCTGAACAGTCACGATGATCTGGGCAGTGCTTGCTCACTTTGAAGAGTGAAGTATGCTACATGACCTATTGAGTCCTTGGCCTGTTAAGCACTCACTGAGCCTCCCTACCGAATTGTGGATCGAAGAAAATTAAGCATCACTTAGGAAATCCTGTCACCGTGCTGTTCCTACAGACATTCTCGCAGGCATTGTTCAGAAAGGAAAATGCTCCTTTTGCCAGGCTCCTCCACAGCAGACCTCACTGGTTCATTGATTTCTGGTGGAGCTGTTTAAGTGGGCCAGGTTGTGTGCATCTGCTCACATTGGGGCCCTTGGTGAGGCCCGATGCTGTGTGTTTGCTCCCCTGGCGAATGCTAAGCGATGAACCTGCTTAGCCCAGCCCAAGACCGAGGGGCCCCTCTGTGTCCCCCACCCCAGCACCTCAGCCTCCGCCTGCTCCCCTTGGCCTCCCAGCAACTAAAATGGGAGCAAGAGGTGAGAGGGCAGACGGCACTCAGGGCCTAGCGGGCATCTCCCAGCTGTGGGGTCCCATTCAGTGTGTGGGGTCCCCTGGCCCACCCCCAAGAACTTAGAGGCTCCGAAACATCTGGAAAGCTTTTAAAGTGTTTGTGAAGAAGCTTTGCCGTAATGACCTAACACTGGCTTTACACACTCCCTAGCGGTTCCTTGGGGCAGCTCGGGAGGGGCCAGGGCACACGAGTAGGTCAGGCTGCGGGAACCCCTGCATCCAAGCAGCTCCATTTCTGTTTAAAATAGATTTGGCCCACCACTTTAGGTTTTATTTTAGGAAACACTTTTGTTGCTTTAAAGAAAGGAAAGATTCAGACCACTGATGTGAACCCCCCTCTCCCAACCTGCCAGCTTGCAGGATCTGATCGGTAATGTCTTACCTGAGACTCTGTGTCCGAGCTCCCCCAGGCAGGCTGCTCACTGTTACCCAGGCTCTGCCCGCCGTTGGCATCTGCAATTCTGGTGAACTTAGATTTTCTTTCCTGGCCGCAGATGGCACCATCAGCTCCAGCTCCATCCTCCTGGCGCAGTCTCTGCAGCATTGCGTTCACTCCCAGAACTGCTCGGCCACTGACCTCTTCTACCAGGGCAGCTCCCAGACAGTGCGAGAGTGGCTCAATGTGGCCATCACCCGGACCCTGCACCAGGGTGAGGACAGCCTGCTGGAGTTGACGAAACAGATCTGCTCCTTCCTGCAGGTAGACGGCTGAAGCTCTAATGTCCCTGAACCAGGGTTATAACTTTTAATTAGAAGTCTTACTGGCTTGCTGAAAATGATGCTCTCTCTTCCCCAACCCCCCTAAGCCCCGCTGAACCAGTCTCCTTTACCTCATGGCTTTCCCGCCTTGTCCCATCCATGGTGGCCTTCCTCCCAGAGGGCTTTCTTATCCCCAGAGCCTGTGGCCGCGTATGCGTTGGCTCTGTCCTTTGCCTGGTAGTTGGGAGATGAAATGCTCTCCTGTCTGTGGCCTGTGGCTTCCCTTGTTAAATCTCTCTTTGCAGACAGCACCCGAGCAGTTCCCCTCCGAGGAGTTCCCGATTTCGGAGTCCAAAGTCAACATGGATGTTAATTTCCCTGGGGCGGCTTTTGTCGTCGTGTCTTGCAAAGAGAGTCAGTCTGGATTCCGCAAAGAGTAAGTTGCCTGTTCTCCAGGAGAGCTAACGGGAGAGAAAAGAAAACTGGAGGGGCACCTGGGTGGCTCAGTCGTTAAGCGTCTGCCTTCGGCTCAGGTCATGATCCCAGGGTCCTGGGATCGAGCCCCGCATTGGGCTCTCTGCTCCGCGGGAAGCCTGCTTCTCCCGCTCCCCCTCCCCCTGCTTGTGTTCCCTCTCTCGCTGTGTCTCTCTCTGTCAAATAAAACCTTTAAAAAAAGAGAAAACTGGAGTCTTAGTGAAACTGACAGAAGAAAAACTCAAATTGTTATTAGTCTTTAACACATACCGGTAGTATTTGAAAATAGTCTGTAGTTCCTCCCATATTTCCGTGTTTGGGAAATGTCCTTATAAAGGACGACCTTCTCCCATCCAAGTACTAACCAGGCCCGACCCTGCTTAGCTTCCGAGATCAGACGAGATCGGGCGCATTCAGGGTGGTATGGCCGTAGACAAAGGACGACCTTCTAAGATGTCATGGCAATGACTTACAAATGCCCACTTCTTACCGTCCATCTCCTCCCTGGCATGAGCGGCCAGACTCTGCTAAACCTCCTCCCCTCCTCCACAGCTCCTCCCTGTACAAGGCGCCATGGGCACGTGTGCTCGTGTATGGGCTTGGCCACAAAGTCAAGCGAAACGGCCAGCTGAACCTGATCGAGGCCGTCTGTTACCCACGGGATGCGTCTCCAGCCAACACTGGCCTCACGCCGCCGCCTACCGCTAACCAGTACCCCTCGGTGATCCTCTCCACAGACAAGGTCCACATCAAACTGGGTATGTCTCTGAGTTAGCGCTTGGTGAGAACAGTGTGAAGTCGTTTTTGGCTTTCCTTTTTGAAGATAGAAAGGATTTTGTACCTTGCTGTGTGTTGTCAGTAAAGAACAGAAGTGCTTGGGACAGTATATTTTTGGGGCAGGAGATGAAATGAGCACCTTTCCTGCCTGGGGCAGGCCTGGCAGATGCTGCCCACACGTCAGTGGGGATTTCCTTTCCTTTCCTTTTGCAAGTGTGCGCTCTTCAGAGTGAACTGAACAGAGTGGTCCTTTAGCGGCAATAATCCCCGCTGCCTTCCTCCAGCGCTCATTAAAACTGAATTCTCTCGGGTGCGAGTGGCTCCCTGGGGCGCAGGCCACAGTGAGCGTCTGTCCCTCGTCTCCGTGGTAAATGGCCCGGCGGCCGGGAGGGAGGGCTGGGAGGCCCCGTGGGTCTCGTCTCCTTGGCGTTATTTGCTAAGCCTGCGTGGGTTTAGGTTTAGGGGAGGGATCTGCAGATCCCGAAGCTGCCCCCTGCTTGTACACCCCGCACACCGGGGCCAGCTGACTCTTTCCAAAAAAACGTACAGAAGCAAGGAAAACCTGGTCACAGACTTCCACTGCACTTCCTGTCATGTTTGACAAGAAAGGACGGACCTGTGTTTGCTAGAGACGATTCTGAAATGTATTTGACCTTCCAGGCAAAAATTGGGCTTTGGCTTTTCCACAGCCCCTGTCCTAGAGACTTCGCAACTTTAGGGAATGAAACGAAATGAGACTTTTGCTAAACAACTAGATGATCTCTCTTCATTAGGGCCAATTTTTTTCAAAGTGCTTTGCCTATACTAACTGTTATTTAAACTTTATAATTAAATAAGCAGAAGATCTCTATCTTTTCGTTCCTCAGTTATCACCATATGAACGTTCACCCCAAAATGCAGGCCAATCAGCATGGTGCCTGCTGACTTGTCCAAAGACCCCCAGGTCCCTGATGGCCTGACTTACGTCTGGTCAGGGCCTGCAGCGGGCCTTGGGATATGGTGCAGGCTGTGAGAGGGGATCAGGCCTTGGGGCCGTTTTCCTCCTGCTGCAGCATCTCCGGCCAGATTCGGGCCTGGCAGAGACACAAGGTAATAAGAGAAAATCAAAGCCCAAGGTCCTGGTAGTGCTAGTCTGGGGTGCCCCTTGCTGGTCCACTCTGTAACCAAATACAAGCTTAATGGTCTCATGGGATTGCAGCCACACCAAATGGCTAATTCTTTCTTTCCCAAGCTGGGAATATTCCAGTGAAGCATCTTTTAAGGTCTGACTTAGTATTTCCGTGCTGGCTCATCAGGCTGGTTGGTATCTAACCAGCTGGGGAATATTTATCCTTTCCCATTCTCATTGCTGCCCTTTGTCCCCTTGTCACACCGACAAACGGACTCTTTGGAGGATGTCCTCAGGCCCCTCCTGCACCTGCAGCTGACTCGGTCTGGAGTGCGGGAAGAGTTGCGTTTCCTTTTGCCTCCAGCAGATGAGCAGGTGGGCTTTCCAGCCCTGTTCTTCCACACACACCTGGTGGGTCCTGCTCTGAGGCTTGTTTGGGTCACGTGCTGCCGATCACGAGCCTTTCTCCTCGGCCGCTCTTCTAGGGGTGTCGCCACCTCCTGGAGCCGTGCTGGTGCTGCACTCTCTGCCCCTGGAGTTCCCTCTGGCCATGGCCTTCGCAGAGCAGCTGCTGTCCTGGAGATCAGAGGATGGCGAAGGGAGATCCGAGGATGAGCCCGACACCATCCCAACATCTGTTCTCCTACAAGTTGTGGAGCTGCTGGGTAAGGCTGACCTTCCCTCAGGACAGGGCCCGCGAGAGCTAGGGGAGCTAGCTCAGTGCCTGCTGAAGGCGCTCGCCCGCTGGTGGCCTCTTGTTGGGTTGCTGTCCGTCCTTTGAAAACGGCTTGCGGAGCTGATCGTAGTGTAGAGCCCAGCCTTCTTGGTGGTGGTGCTGGTGTGGTGTGTTGTGTTTAAGATGGATTTATTTTGAGAGAGAGCATGGGCAGGAGGAGCAGGGGGCAGTGGGAGAGAGAATCCCAAGCCAACTCCGCACGGAGCCCGACATAGGGCTCGAGATCACAACCCTGAGATCACAACCGAGCCAAAACCAAAAGTCAGACACTTACCTGACTGAGCCACCCAGACGCCCCTAAAGCCTAGCTTTCTAACCGCATGACGTCCAGGGTGTTCTCTTTATTTTGAAGGTGGCAACTAACCATGGAAATAAGATTAATTTTATCACACCTTACTTTAAAACACAAATATATGCCATTTTTATAACTTTGGAGGTAAAAGGTAGTGTGGGAGAGAGTAAATAATGTTGCAAAATCAGACATTATGACTTCATAGTTCCTGAAAGGTTAAAAAGGGGTTGTATTTTGGTAAAACTCATAGAAAGGTAAACTTAAGAGTTGTACATTTTGCCATATGTAAAGTCACCTCACATTCTACATAAATAATGAACATCATTAATGATATATCTATTTAAGTGTTCAGGGATAAAACAGACTAATGTCTGCAACTTTTTTGAAATAATCAAATACTAAGCTGAGTTTTTGGGTGAATAGAGGGGTAGATAGGTAGGTACATAAGAGCAAATATGGCAGAGTGTTAATGGGAGAATGTAGGTGGTGAGCATACAAGTATTTACTGTCTAAGTAGTTCAACTTCCCTATATTTGTTTTAAAAGATTTTATTTATGTATTTGACAGAGAGCACAAGTAGGCAGAGCGGCAGGCAGAGGGAGAGGGAAAAGCAGACTCCCTGCTGAGCGGGGAGCCCGACACGGGACTCGATCCCAGGACCCTGGGATCATGACCTGAGCCAAAGGCAGACACCCAACCGAGCTACCCAGGCGCCCAACTTTCCTATATTTTTGAGATTTTTTTATGATGTTGGAGGGGAAAAGATGTTGCAAACTTAAATGCCCTCAGGGGTCAGACAGATGATGTAAATGGGGGAATAGGAGAGTGGTCCAGGCCACGTCATGCTCTGTCAGTCCCTGAGCCCTGTCCCTCCTTGCTACATGAGAAGGTGGCCCCAGTCCTGCCAGCTATTATTACTTTTTATTTCAAGAAAAGCTAGTAATGGGGGCGCCTGGGTGGCTCAGTCGTTAAGCGTCTGCCTTCAGCTCAGGTCATGATCCCAGGGTCCTGGGATCGAGCCCCACATCGGGCTCCCTGCTCCGTGGGAGGCCTGCTTCTCCCTCTCCCACTCCCCCTGCTTGTGTTCCCTCTCTCTCTGTGTCAAATAAATAAAATCTTAAAAAAAAAAAAAAAAGAAAGAAAAGCTAGTAATGTAGATATTGATGTGAATTTCCCAGGTTTTAAATGTTGGCAACTAAATGAAATTCTTTAAAATACATTGGGCGAGGGATCAGTGAAGGTGAGTGGCGGACCACCATGGGAGGGAGAGTTCCGTGGGCAGTCTTCGCTCACGGGCCACCATTCGCAGTCTGGGTGGAGGAGAATTCTGTCTAAGGCCGTCCTCATACATAAATGGCAAATGGCAGAGGAAGGACAACGGAGGGGAGGTCGCATGAGCATCAGAGGGCGGGGCTGCAGACCCGGAGGCACTTGTTCTCTGTGAATGGCTTTCTGAGCGCCTGCATGGCATGAGCAGCATGAGTTCATTTCCAGTTAAAGTCATGAAGCAACGTCACCCCTAAGAGATCAGGCATCTTAGTGTGAATTTAAGATGCGTGTCTGGCACAAAGGGGATCTTGGTACAAACCTGTGACCCATCTTGTTGTTCTAGACTCTCCTTCCTGAACTTCAGTCCTTCTCAGGCCATCTTTATGTAATTTCCGCCATGTCTACGAGTCATGCCTGTCAGCATTTATTAATTGGGTTTTTTGGCGATCAGCTCTTTTCTCCTTTTTTTAAACTTTGATTTTAGGGCACCTGGTTGTCTCAGTTAGTTAAGCATCTGCTTTTGGTTCAGGTTGTGATCTCAGGGTCCTGGGATCAAGCCCCCACATTGGGCTCCCTGCTCAGCAGAGAGTCTGCTTTTCCCTCTTCCTCTGCCTCTCCCCCTGCTTGCGCTTGTGTGCTCTCTCTCTCAAATAAATAAAACTCTTTAAAAAGGGGCGCCTGGGTGGCTCAGTCATTAAGCATCTGCCTTTGGCTCAGGTCATGATCCCAGGGTCCTGGGATCGAGCCCCGCATCGGGCTCCCAGCTCAGTGGGGAGCCTGCTTCTCCCTCTCCCACTCCCCCTGCTTGTGTTCCCTCTCTCGCTGTGTCTGTCTCTGTCAAATAAATAAAATCTTTAAAAAAAAAAAAAAAAAACTTAAAAAAAAAAACAACTTGAATTTTAAAGGAAACTTATGTTGCCACTTTAAATGGAAAAGTAGTGTCCCTTGCCATAACTAGAAGGTTAACTATAAAATAGTTTCTGTTAAGAAATTCTGACCATTGTTGCCTGTCAGAGGCTCTGTGTCTGTAGCCCACTCTCTGTCAAGGATACACCAGCCCTGCAGTAAGCCTTTCTTGTTGACGAAATCAGGACTGAAGAGGATTTAGGAATACCTTGGGGCATTTGGGCGGCTCGGTTGGTTAAGCATCTGCCTTCGGCTCAGGTCATGATCCCTGGGTCCTGGGATCGAGCCCCTCATTGGGCTCCCTGCTCAGTGGGGAGTCTGTTTCTGCCTCTGCCCCTCTCCTCCCCACTCGTTCTCGCTCCCTCTCTCTCAAATACATAAAATCTTAAAAAAAAAAAAAAAAAAAAGGAATAGCTTGTCAGTGTGTATTTCTGGGCTTTCTGATAAAATTGGATTGTGTGCCCCCAATAGTAAGCATCTCAAGGTTTGGGAAATACTGTTCTTGTGACTTGTCACCCCACTCACTTGATAACCTTATAAGAAAGAAAATGATTTTTTGGGGTGAGCCACAGAACCCGGCTCCATGCGATGATGTGGCCCAGGGGTTAAGGCCGTAGGCTCTGGGGGTAACCAGCCAGGCATGAGCTCTTTGAGCCTCTGTTTTTTCAGCTGTGGGCTGGGGATGAACAGCATAGCGCCAGGAACAGTCCCAGGTACGGGGCAGGTACGAGTGATCACCGCTCTTGCCGTTTTATATTTGCTTCAGGAAACTTCCTGTGGACCACAGACATGGCGGCCTGCGTGAAGGAGCTTGTTTTCCATCTCCTGGCAGAGCTGCTGCGCACCGTGCACTCCCTGGAACAGAGGAAGCACCCTGTCGGCCTGTCCTCCTCCATTGCCCTCCAGCTGAACCCCTGTCTGGCCATGCTGATGGCTCTGCAGTCGGAGCTCCATAAGCTGTACGACGAGGAGACCCAGAGCTGGGTCTCAGGCAGCGCATGCGGGGGCTCGGGGGCGGCGGCGGCCACGGACCAGGGCAGGTTCTCTACGTACTTTCATGCGCTCATGGAAGGCTGCCTGGCGGTGGCCGAGGTGACCCTGCCCACCAACATGAGTGTCACAGCCAGCGGGGTGACCTCAACGACCGCCCCGAATCTCAGCGACTCATCGTCCTCCTCATCCTCCTCCCCAGGACAGACACCTCAGAGCCCTAGCCTCCTGTCGAAGAGGAAAAAAGTCAAGATGAAGCGGGAAAAGGCCTCCTCCTCCGGGAAGCGCCAGTCGTCCCGCTCAGTGGAGTCAGACCCCGCCATGCTCAGCATTGGGGGCAGCAAGCCGGAGGACATGCTGTGGTTTCATCGAGCCCTCACCCTGCTCATCATTCTCCGACACCTCACCAGGAAGGACCCGCAGGGTCTGGGTGTGACCAGCGACGCCATCGCCGATGCTTGCCAGGCCCTGGTGGGCCCCACCGCCCACAGCCGCCTGCTGGTGATCTCTGGAATCCCCACCCACCTGGATGAGGGCATCGTCAGAGGGGCTATCCGCAAGGCCTGCAATGCCCATGGCGGGGTCTTCAAAGATGAGATCTACATCCCCCTGCAGGACGAAGACCCCAAGAAACCGAAGGACAAGGCCGAGGGTGGTGACGGCAAAGCCGAGCCAGAGAAGACCCTTGGCTTCCCCAGCGCAGACAGCTTGGAGGTCAGCACGTCCAGCAGCCTGACCCCTGCCATGAGCATCAGTGCATCCGCTTCCACCAGTCAGGCCTCCATCTGCAGCTCCCAGGGTATCTCACAGACAGCCAGTGACCTCTCTGTGGATCCGCTGCCCTCAGGCCTTGAGCCGCCCGTCCCTTCTGGGGTACTGGAGCCCCACGTGGTGTCCAGCCAGGAGAGTCTAGACATCTCCCTGTGCAGCACGGGCAGCCTGGGCAGCCTGGGGAGCCTGGGGGAGCCGCTGGACAATGCCGAGACGGCCTCCGTGTCGGACGTGGGCTCCATGTACACCGTCACGTCCCTGGACAACCAGCCCCTCGCAGCGCGCCCCATCAAAGGCTTTGCGGTCGTGGAGGTAACGGCACTCACACCTTGGCAATCACTAAAATCATGAGCGGCTTGAATCCTCCCTCCAAGGGGGAGCCTAAGAGAAGCCTCTCTAAACCTTCCAGTATTATTTCCAGGGGTTTAACTGATAGGTGACGTTGGGGCACGTAGGGAGCTCCCTGAGGCAGTTCTGGAAACCACGACGATTTATTATGTTGATTTTTGTGTGTCTGAGATCACATCTCAAAGAGTGATGTCAAGTCTGATGTCATGAAGTAAATGCAGTTTGTTGCTGAGTGTGGGAAGGAGGCAGAGGGGTTCGAGGGGCCTGACCTTTGCTGGTGGATGGGCTTTATCAAGTGCATTCCGGCTCAGGACCACCGCTATACATTTGAGTGGCCTTGGGTTGTTTTAGATGTTGACATCAGCAGGAGGGGTCTTCACTGATCCTTATGAGAATAGACTTGCAATTCTATTCCAGGTGATTCTGAGTTTCCAGGTCACATTTCCACTTCAAGATCCCCTCTGCTTCTTGGGCCTCCTTGTTTAGAAATCGTGCATCCTGTGTCTTCACCCTCGTGTAAGGGGAGTCAGGCTCAGAGTAAAACTGTCCTTCCGTTATTGGACATGGAGAGAAAGGCACTAGAGGGGAATGTGTGTGCATTGCTTCACTCTCCCAGGGAGCTCTGACAAGAGAGCTCCAGAACCCGATGATTGGTTTCTTCCCTGGAATCACTTCCATTACTCTATGCACCTTCTTCCTGGGGGCTTTCTCGGAGCTGAGCGTGGACTTTAGCTCCCTGGGCATTGAGGAAAAACCACAGACCAGGTCAGGGTTTAGCAACAGACATTTCCGGTTGAGATGTTCCCCTCCGAGTTACTGGTGTTGGCGGGTGGCAGAGATGTTCCCAGGGAGGCCAGCTCATGGGAATCAGGCAGCACGCACAACACTTAGGACAAGGAGAGGACTTTAGGGCAGGGCAGGAAGGAAAACAAGGTCATTCCTCTACTCCAGTCCTGACCCTTGTCTTTGTTCACACAGATAAGATCCCGAGCCAAAATTGAGAAAATTCGAGCAAGTTTATTTAACAACAACGACCTGATTGGTTTGTCAAGTTTGGATGGTGAAGATGAATTGATGGAGATGTCAACAGAAGAGATTCTCACTGTATCTGTAGTAAATCAGAGTCTGTTTGATACTCAGGGGAGCCCAGGGTTAGAAGATTACTTCAATGATAAGTCGATTAAAGGTGGGTTATGGATTTTTTTTTAATTAATAGACTTTTGGGGGAACAGTTTTAAATTTACAGAAAAAAATGAGCAAAAGTCTCCTCTTTCTGTATCCAATATGCCCTATTTTTAACATCTTACCTGAGAAAAGAACTTTGGGGGGCCCTCTTGGGGGTTAGAGATTTGGGAAATGATGCAGTGGGCCTTGGGGAGATGGGACAGACGTTCTTGGCTTGGCTTATGGAAGCTGTCAGAGCTCTGAGGGCCGTGAGGGCGCCCCTGCCTCTGGCCTGCCGTGCTCTAGCCTGCCCAGACCACTGGGAAGGGCTGTTCCTATGCAACTGACAAATCGCTAAATTCTACCCCTGAAACTAACACTACACTGTATGTTAACCAAATTGAATTTAAATAAAAAATTTTTTTTTAAAAAGTGGGCTTGCATTCAAGTCCCATTTTGCTTTTTGTCTAGCCAGACTTCCCTTTGTTCAAGTTCAATTGTATTTATTCTGTCCCGTGGAGCTAGAATATACCAAGTACATTGCTGGAAATCATTTGGTCACGTGCCTGTGCACAGTAAATGCCTCCACCTTCACACTAATTCTTGGGGAAGAAACCGTTCCATCTCCTCTTCACCGAGCCCCACTTTGTCATTCTGATGGCTCTTGTCTGGTGTCCCCACTTCTTTTGTACGATGTGGAGCGTTCATCCAGGTCGCAGCCCCGAGGCCCTGCTGAGCAGAATCTAGCAGCAGACTCCTGCCTGAAGCCAGCAGCTTGCCCCAAGCTCCGCTCCAGAAAGCAGTTTTTCTTCTTTTTTTATGATTGCAATACTTTGTGTGGTCATTTTTATTTTGTACTAGTGTTGCTCAAAATTTTTAATCCATGTATTTAGGATTTTTAAAATTTATTAGAGAACATGAGCAGTAGGGGGGCAGAGGGAGAGGGAGAAGCAGACTCCCACTGAGCAGGGAGCCCAATATGGGACTCGAACCCAGGACCCTGGGATCAGGACCTGGGCCAAAAGCAGACCCTTAACTGAGACACCCAGGCGTCCCTAGATAAATAGCACTCTAATTGAATATTTATAGAAGTCAAAATTAATGCAAAATGTTACAGTACACAATGAATAAAATAGTAAAATTTTAAATAAAGACAGGATCAATATTACTGATTATTTCTTTTGTGTCAGGCTTTAATGTGGCTTGGCACAATACTGTTGATATTTTGCTTGTGGGTGGGTGGGTTTTTTTTTTTTTTTGTATTTTTATTTCTCTTTTTTAACACTACATTGAAATATATATCTTGATCACTGAGTTTTTGGGGAATCTTGCCCCTGAGGGGGCCGCCTGGTGCTCCTCACCCTGGTCTTGGCCCCAGTCCCTTATTAGTATGCATTTGGCCCCTCAGCGCTCTGCGGCCCACGTGGGGAGGATCTGGTGTAAGATTGGAGGCCTTTTTCTGCCATAACTCATGGTCTGGCAGCCTTTTCATACTTTGAATCTGAATTTAGACCGAGCTCCTGATCCTGTTAATAGTCAGACCTTCCACATAAGGTACTCGGTCTCTCAGTAACATTAGTGGCCACATGCATTTTGCTAGAGACTAAGTTGTGGTTCTGCTGAGTCAGCTCTTAGGGCTTGGCCACCTCTTCTACACACCTGCCCCCCCCCCCCCCCCCCCACCGCCAGCCTGGGGCCTCTGGGCTCCAGTTCTCACAGGCGGGCCTGCCCTGGGGGCGGCTGTGGTGTGTCGGAGGGAGAGGTGGGGGAGGGAGGGTGGGAAGGAGAAGGGAGTGATGAGCAAGTACCTCTCGCCTGGGCCCCTGGGCACGAGAAGCATGAAGATGGGGTCCTGATGGGCCGCTGGGGCCCACGTTCTGGAGCACTTGTTTGGGCACAAAAAGAAATTGTTTTTCTTGTGTTCGGGGACAATTTTGTTACATCTGAGAGAACTTTCTTTTCCCACCTGTTCATTGTGCCAGTTTTGAACCATCCTCTGTAATAACGTGAAACTTGCTTGACAACTTGGGCTTTGTACCAACAGTACTTGCAGGCTCCGGATCCTTTTGTTCATTTGGACGTGCCCGTCACAAATGTGTTAAGGTAGATTAAACTGCCGTGATCAGTAGCCCTGAGAGTACACGGGGTCAGGCCCAGTGGAAGCATGTTTCTTGCGCATGGACGACTCAGGGCGAGGGCTAGGTCCGCCATCCCAGAGGCTTGTCATCTCCGTGCAGCCAGTGGAGGGGGTGAGCGCGGAGAGAGCAGACGGCCCACATCACAGGACCGTGCCCAACCGCAGAGAGAAGGCTGGGTGCGCGGCTGGGGGGGTGCGCCCAGAAGGCGGAAACCAGGTTTGGGTGCATAGCTCGTCATCCCCACTAAACATCTGTTATCTACCTGCCAAAATGAGTTGTTTATGAGACCCAGGCAGCTGTGAGGCGCATCCGGACGTGGCCCATTCACGGCAGAATTGTTTTGTCCTCTGCCGGCTTGGCAACAGGTGAGAAGCTGGTGCCCGGTGCCAGGGAGGTGCTCACGGAGATATTTAAGAGCTGTGCCCATTCCGAGCAGATGCTGAGCCTGACACCAGCAAAGCCCATCAAAGTATCGGACATTTATCTTAGCAAAGAGCAGATCAACTCCCAAACGCCAGGCAACCTCCTCCACCTCTTCTTCACCAACGTCCGGCCTCCAAAAAAGGTGCTGGAGGACCAGCTCACCCAGGTAGCTGCCCATCCCCGCCGTGCTGGTGCTGGGCCTCGGTGCGCCTTGGGGCGATCCTGAGGACCCCTTTCTCCCTCTGGTACCCCACAGATCCTGAGGAAATACGGCGTGCCAAAGCCCAAGTTCGACAAGAGCAAGTACAGCAAAGGCGGGAAGGAGCAGCACCCCGTGAAGGTGGTGAGCACCAAGCGGCCCATCACCAAGCCGCCTGCCAAGGACAAGGCTGTGCTCAACAGTGTCAGGTGGGCTTCCGAGGGGCTCAGCACATGGGCCGGGCAGGGCACCCAGGGCCGCTGCCTCTGAGGCTTCCTGCGAGGCTCTCTGTACCTCTGGGAGCAGACCCCTGGGCTCTGCTTTGTGGCTCGATCATGTGGGTCCCTGGCTTCATCCATTGAAAGAGAGCGTTTCATTTTACCCACAAGTATAGTAAGATCTGGACCACACAGGCAGGCAAAAGCAGACCGGTCTAAAGTCATAAACTACCCAAAATGTACAGAATTGTTTAAAAAAAAAAAATTCTGACTTCTTTAACCACACAAATAATGCATAATTATTATAGAAAAACTATAAAATGCATATTGAAAAAAATGTGATTACCCCACACACCACTTATAAGTGCATAACCTTTTATTGATGCATGTGTATTATTTTCTTAAATTTTAAATGGCTGAGGGGCGCCTGGGTGGCTGAGTTGGTTAAGCATCCAACTCTTGATCTCAATTCAGGTCTTGATCTCAGGGTTGTGAGATTAAGCCCTGAGTCGGGCTCCGTGCCTTGAGATTCTGTCCCGCCCCACCATCCCCCCACTCGCTCACTCACTGTCTCTCTCTAAAAAAGAAAGATATTTTAAATGGTTAAAAAAGTACAACATTTGGGGCGCCTGGGTGGCTCAGTCGTTAAGCGTCTGCCTTCGGCTCAGGTCATGATCCCAGGGTCCTGGGATCGAGCCCCGCATCGGGCTCCCTGCTCGGCGGGAAGCCTGCTTCTCCCTCTCCCACTCCCCCTGCTTGTGTTCCTTCTCTCGCTGTGTCTCTCTCTCTCTGTCAAATAAATAAATAAAATAGTAAAAAAAAAAAAAAAAAAAAAGTACAACATTCAAAAGCATGTGCAGCAAAAAGCCACTCCCCTTCTCCTTCATCCTCAAGCCTCCCTGTCCCCCCTTGGTGAGACCGTCAGTGTGACTTCGCTAGTCTTCTAGAACTATTCTGTGTACACACAAGCAGATGGGCCCATGCCCAAATGTCCCCATACCTCACACAGTGCCTGTACCTTGCTGTTCCCATTTACTGCTAGTCTGGTAGGTGATTCCACATCTGCACAAAAAGAACTTCCTCGTTCCTTTTTTTTAAGATTTTATTTATTTATTGGAGAGAGCGAGCATGAGTGGGGGTGAGGGAGCAGAGGGAGAAGGACAAGCAGACTCCCTGCTGAGCATGGAGCCAGACACGGGGCTTGATCCCAGGACCCCGACACCGTGACCCAAGCTGTAGTCAGACGCTTAACCAACTGAGCCACCCAGGTGATCCACCCTTTTTTTTTTTAATAGCTCCATAATATTTCATGTGTGGATATATATACGTATTTAGTAGAATTTTCTGTAGACATAGGCAGATGACTCGGGAACTCAAAATTGCAACTGGTAGAAAAGTGTTACCTGGCAGGAGCCTCTAGAGGAATTGTTTGAAGGATCAGAAAAATAGTGTCTTTCTATTAATTAATCATACGTAAATAGTGCAATAGAATTTCCTGTGATGGAAATCGGTGCTGTTGCCCTGTCTGGCTGTCGGATGCAGTCGCCACCAGCCACGTGTGGCTCCCAAGCCCCTGAAATGTGGCTCAGTACAGAACTGAACTTGTAATTTTAATTTAAACTCAAGTAGCTACATCTGGCTAGTGACTGCTGCTTAGTGCAACTCTGAAGGACGTAGAAGGGATGAAAAGCATCTCTTTGAGGTTTTCTGCAGTTAAAGTATCAGTTTGTCCTCCTGATTTGCTCAGTGAACTTCTTGGTGAGAACAGAGCTGACCTTGTTCCCCGTGGGAACCAGTGGCCGTGGTTGGGGGAGTCTGACCTAGTACGTGTGAGGCTTTGCTCATCCTCTGTCAGGATGAGGTGTGAACGCAGGAATTCTGATTGCAATGCTCTGGTCTACAGCAGGACTGCCTTAAGTGAGAAGAAGCCAACTGTGAAGCCCAAGTCCCCAGAAAAGAGCAAGCCAGATGAGAAGGACCCAGAGAAGTCACCCACCAAAAAACAAGAAGGTGAATGAGCAGCTTGGGCCTGAGACTGGTGGGCCCCCGGGACCAGCCTCCGAGCTTTTGCCTGAGTGACTGGGCTCCCTTGGGGTTTGGAACAGGCAGGGCCTCGATGCTATCTTTGACCATGAATTTATGGAGGTCAGAATAGCAGCTCCCAAAATACCATGCATCCGGGGCGAAGAGTAGGTGATGGCGATGGAAAATAAAGATCTGGAAATCTGCTTAGAAATTCGCTTCCAGAAGGCACTTATCTGGGCATTAGAACTTGAGCCTCATAAAGGCCCAAGCGGAGCTGAAGAAGTCAGGCTGTGGCTCGCTGACCCCAGGAGGTCAGGGGTTATGCTTGGTCTCAGGCAGTGGGTGGAGGTGGCCAGTGACAGACCCTGGCGGGCCGGGAGGTGGGGCGCAGGTGGATTGGGCCCTGCTGGAAATGCCACCAGGGCACGTCGTGAGGCCCCTGCTGTAGGAGGTTCTTCCAAACTCCTAACTGTCTCCATGCTTCTCCATCAGTCCCTGAGGAGAAGTATCTAACCTTGGAAGGATTTCACAAGTTTGTTATTGACCGAGCCAAACAAGACATCCGTAGTGTCTGGAGGGCAATTTTATCCTGTGGTTATGACCTTCACTTTGAGAGGTAAGAAGTTGTCCCCCAACCTTGTATAAAAATTGTTTTTGGCCACCAGAAGCATCCCCAAGAAAATCCTTCCTGGGAGCCATTCCATCTGCCATTCTAAATGCCTACTGAGTTTCTAATTTTTCATAATCCCCTCCGGCAGAGGGCATCCCCTTCTGGAGGAAGCTGTCTCTCAGCACTCCCCGGGTAGGACCCACGCGGCCTGTGTGGAGAGGCTCGGCCCCTGCCCCCAGATAGGCCCTCCTGGCAGGAGGCACCCTGTGTGGCATGCGGCCCAGGGAGGTGCCCAGGGCTCTGGAGCTAGAGGCGCCCATCCCCCTGGCAGCCTGCCCGCCTTTCTGGCGCCCCCAGCTTACGGGGCTGGGCAAGGCCGGGCACACTCACTGAACACCCTGGCGGCGTGTGCAGGCACAGAGGAGGTTGCCCGTGGGTCTGCGCCCAGGGTCATCGCTTTGTAAAGCTTCAGTAAATGGGTCTCCCGACATTTTAAGGGTGTAGGTTTTTTCAGTACTTAGAAGTGGGTGCACATGAAACATCTGCTTTTTTTCCTGTTTCCACCTCACTTGGGGTCACTGAGGCGGATGATGCAGCGATCCCGCCTTGCCGGGCACTCGGGTGGCGAGCAGTGTCCCATCGGCTAGAGCGATGCCCCCCCCGCCCCCGCGCCCAGAGCTCTGTGTGCCAGCCCTGCCTGCCGCCCGAGGGCCACGGCTTCAGTGAGGCCGGCGGCTGGCGCTCCTCGCGCCCTTGGCCATGAGCCTCCCAGGCGCCGCCAGCCTACTGCCGCTAGCTGCACTTCGTCTGGGACCAAACCGGCCCCAGGAAGCAGCCGTCTCTGTGGCCCAGGGACCCCAGAGCCCCGTCCTCAGCCGGCCGCCGTCTGCTCATGTGCAGGAGGGGGCCCCGGGGTCGGTGGCGCCGGTCCCACCCTGCAGCCTGTATGCTCGCTCCTCCTGGGGGCGCTCCCCACCTGGGTTGGGCGCCAGGACGCCAGCTGCGAGGCGAGGCTCTGTTCCGGGCATCCTCCGGGAGCTGGGACGTGGCCCCCGGCCCACCTCGCCCTTCTGGCCCGGCCCCAGGTGCGCCTGCATCGACGTCCGACACGCGCACAAGGCCTCAAGGAAGTGGACCCTGGAGATGGACGTGGCGCTCGTGCAGTACATCAACCGGCTATGCCGCCACCTTGCCATCACGCCCGCGCGGCTGCACCCCCACGAGGTCTATCTGGACCCCGCAGATGCCGCCGACCCCAGAGTGGCCTGTCTCTTGAGTATGTGGGCCCTGGGGGACTGGCCGTGGGGGACGGTCTCCCTGCGCGGCCTGGGGGCATCCCCTAGATAGTGCGGGCAGTGGGGTGGGGGGGACCTGCTGTGAGCCCTGGGGGCAGAGAGGAGCATGGGGGGGGGGGACACGAAGCTGTGATTGCAGGTGCATTAAGTGGGCGAGGCCCCGCTGCAGGTTCCTTGCAGGCAGGCAGCAGGTGCGGGAGTGCGTGCAGCAGCTGGGGGGCCCCGGCTACCACCGTTCCACCCAGGCCCTGCCCGGAGGCCACCCCAGATGCCAGGCGGGGGTCGGGAGGGAGCGGGGATCAGAGGCATTATCCCTCATCACGAGAGAGCAGCGCGGCTTCATTAAAAGCTGGGAATGTGCCTGCACACGCAAGAGCCGACGTTCTGCGTAAATCCATCCCTGGGAGGCGACCCTTGTCACAGCACACGGGCAGTGACCCCCAGGCTGGCTTCTGTGCCTGCGCACGTGTGCACCACGGGCGGCTTGGGAGTCTGCCCACCCTCTCTCGGCCACGTGTCCTGGGTCTTTGCTCTTTGCTCTTCCGGGTACTTTGAAGGCAAACACGGGCCAGAGATCGTCCTGCTGTCCGTCTCTCCAGCTGGAGGGGAGACGGATGTGAGGACACACGAGATAGTGTGGCAGTGTCTCAATGTCCTGGGCTTGACATAAGATGTCACTTTGGGGGAAGCTGAGGAAAGGTACACGGGACCGTGTACTATTTTTGCAACTTCCTAGAAGTCTAATTATTTCGAAATTGAAAGTTAAAAATAGCCTGGGCCGCAGCCCTGACGTGGCCCTACAGATAGGCCGAGGGGGCCCTTGGATTCCCTAAGAGCCGGGGCCTCACCCTTTGCTTCTGCTTGGCACGGGCTCAGGCAGCCCGGGGGCCACGCACGCACCGCATCCGTGGGCCCCAGGGATGAAGCCCCCTACGGGGGTCCCCCTGGTCCCCCTGAAGTGCCCCGCTCCTGGTGCCTCCCCCTCCCCCCGGTGACAGGGGCCGCTCGAGCTGGTTCACAGCCCGGGAGTCCCGGCCTGACCGCCCCTCATGCCCTGCAGACGTGCCCATCGAGAGCCTGCGCCTGCGCTTCGCCCTGCTCCAGTCCCTGAACACCACGCTGGAGACCTTCTTCCTGCCTCTGGTGGAGCTGCGCCGGACGCCCGTGTTCGCGCACAGCATCGCCGCCCTGCTGAAGGAGGCCAAAGGTCAGCGCGCTCGGGTCCGGGTCGAAGGGCGCTTCCAGCCCAGAGCGCTTCCTCCAGTGGCGCCCTGAGGAAGTAACCTCACTGAAGTTTTCGGGGGCACCTGGCTGGCTCAGGCAGAAGAGCGGGTGACTCTTGATCTCGGGGTCATGAGTTCGAACCCCACGCTGGGCTCCATTGTTTAAAAAAAAAAAAAAAAGGCGGCTCTGGCTCACTGTCCTTTATATTCCAGAGATGATCATCATTAACAGCTGAGTACCTGTCCTTCCAGACTCTTCTGTTCACACACAAATAGACACACGTGACTTTTTTTAAAAGTCAAAAACGGGTATCCTAGCATATGTTCTTTTCTGCACCTTCACTTTCTGGGTGTTTATTTTTTGCCGTTTCAGAAAATGCTGTAGCAAAGCTCCTCATACTTCATGTATTTCTGCCAGCGAGGTGGTTCCTGGGCATGACAAGGCCGGGGTTCCTGGGTTACCATTGGGGCAGATACAAATTGCCGCCCCCCGGAAAGTCCGGGCCGTGGTGTGCGTGCACCCCCTTCAGGGGCCTGGAGGGCGTGCCAGGAGAGAGAGGACCCAGAGGGGGCAGCGTGTCCTCCGCCAGGCCTCAGGGCGGACAGGGAAAGCAGGAAAGCAGCCCTGTCTGAGCCTCTCTTCCCACGTTCTTCCCTTCAGGGCTGATCTTTTATGACACGAAGGTGACCGTCATGAATCGGGTGCTGAACGCCACTGTGCAGAGGACAGCTGACCATGCAGCTCCCGAGATCACTTTGGACCCACTGGAAATTGTGGGAGGTAAGATTAGCTACACAGAGCAGAAAACGCAAAATAGCCGTGATCAAACAAACGATGCAGTTGATTTCGTGCACGTGAAAGAAGCCTCTAGAAGGTAGTACAGACATTCATCTGGCTGCTTCTGTCCTCCTCCCAACTGTCCCATCAGGTGGCTTCCACCTTCAGGGTCCCCTAGTGAGCCTGCATGCTGAGCAGCAAGAGAAAGGGGAGAGGTAGAAGGAGCTCTCTGCTTCCCGGAGCCTCGCCTCTCCTTCCCATCTCACTGGAGAACTGTCATGGGGGCCACACCTAACTGTGGGGGAGGGTGGAAAGGGGAGATGTTCTGGTTGGCCGTGGACTTGCTAGAGTTGGGGTTCTGGCACTGGGGGGGGCGTGGCCCCTGGGGAGGTGGCCACGGCCTGTGAACACACACACACTGCGTGGAGGAAATGAGAGAAGAGCGTGGACGGGGCGTGCCTCCCCTGGGGACAGAGGGGAGGCTGGGGGTCACGTGCCTGCGGCATAGAAGACGTTCCAAGAGCAGAGAGAAGGCAGGGTGGCTGAACCAGGGGTGGGGGAGGGCCGAGAAGCAGGCAGAGGCCTGGCAAGGCTTGTGTCCCAGGGTGGGAGAGCAGAAGACCGGCGCCTGGAGGCTTTTACTGCTTTCTGTCTTTTTCCAGGGGAGATCAGAGCCTCCGAAAACTCCTACTTCTGCCAGGCTGCCCGGCAGCTGGCCTCCGTCTCGTCCTCTCAGCTCTGTGTCAAGCTGGCCAGTGGTGGCGACCCCACCTACGCCTTCAACATCCGCTTCACAGGGGAGGAGGTCCACGGCACCAGTGAGTGCGCCCCCGGAGGCTCTGGGGTGCCCGTTCAGCGTGGGGGCTGTGCTGACGATGTGAACGGTCCTGGCGTTATTTTTAGCCTCATCTGCCCCAGATCCCCTCCCATCAGCGAGACTAAAAAGGCCGCATCCTTCTTAGCCTGTCCTGCAGAAGCCAGGACTGCCGCCGCCCCCAGGGACTCGCCCCCGGGCTGGGCAGGAACAGCGCTTGCCAGGGACTTGAGGGGACCAAGCCTGGGATCAGTGCTGAGTGGATACCGTGGAGCCGCCATCCGTGCAGATTGGCCTGGTCCCCCAGGAAGGGCCCCCAGCTGAGGGCTGGGCTCGGCTCAGAGCGTGCGTGTGTCCCATGAGAGGCAGGGTGCTAGGGGACAGCGATGAGGGACAGCAGCTCGGAAAATGCTCCCTCGTGACCCTTTAAGCCATGCCTAGTGAGCCGCAGACATTCAGGAAGCGTTTCCCACTCTGGATGAGAGAAGAGACCCCGTTCTTCAGCCAGATGCAGCGGGAAGGGCGGGCGGGCTCCCCTCTCCGGCGGGGCGTCTCCGAGCATGGCGGGAGAGGCAGGCCCACACTCCACGGCGGGCCCTCCGCATACAGGGCAAGTGCACGAGAGACCGGCGTTGCCCCACGGGACTGAGAGAGCCTCCCCCAGCTCAGGCAGCTGGCTATGGCTCAGACCCAGGTCCATCCGGCTCCACGGCCCAGCCCTTGGTGGCTTCCGCAGGCAGAAATCTCCTGCTTCCCCGGGGAAGCTGAGCGAGGACATCTGTCCCCAAGCAGGTCCTCTGCATGGCTCTGACCGAGCAGTGTGTGCGTGCAGTTGTCCTCAGAGCTTCCGACCTTAGGGCCCTGACGGGGTGCACAGGGGAGACGAGACCCAGCCACAGGGAGGTGTTGGCCGGAAAGCCAAAGGCACGTTTGGAAAGACAGCAGGGGACCCTTAGTGGCCCGTTGCCCCCTGCAAGCACTCGTGCATCGGTCCGTGCAGTTAGACACTCGCTGGACGGACCCTGAGGACCTGGGCCTCGGCGGTGGGCGGTGCTGAGTAGGACAGGTGGCCCCGCTCTCAGTACAACCTGGAGCGACAGACGTGGACCGAACAAGCCTGCAGATCAGCGTGAGCTTGCAGCCGTGGAGGCGGCCCGCGTGGGGCTCCGCACCGGGTCTCCGGACCTCGGAGGCAGCCCCCAACATCGGTTCGATGACTGTCCCCACTTGGTGGACTGGGTCACCGGGAAGTGATTCCCTGGGGGTCACCCAGATAGTAAGTGGCACAGTGGGACTTGACCCCAGGTCTACCCGCCCTCGGACGGGTCCTCTCTCCCCTGCACCGTAGCTGCACGCGGGCTGGCGAACAAGCTGAGGTCCAGGTGGGCACAGGGCCCGCGGGCAGGCGGGCTGATCGGTCTCCGTGTGTCCCACAGGCGGCTCTTTCCGGCACTTCCTGTGGCAGGTGTGTAAGGAGCTGCAGAGCTCGTCGCTGTCCCTCCTGCTGCTGTGCCCCAGCTCGGCCGTCAACAAGAACAAGGTAGGACGCGCGGGCAGCGGGGCGCCTGTGCCCCCGTCTGCCCCTCCTGGCCTGCCGCCCGACCCTGCGGCGGCTCCTTGCGCCCGCCAGCCGCCCATGCCTGCCTCCGTTTCCAGGGCAAGTACATCCTGACCCCGAGCCCCATCACCTGCGGGGAGGAGCAGCTGCTCCACTTCCTGGGCCAGCTGCTGGGAATTGCAATTCGGGCAGATGTCCCTCTTCCCCTGGACCTCCTGCCTTCCTTCTGGAAGACCCTGGTGGGGGAGCCCCTGGACCCTGACCAAGACCTACAGGAAGCAGACATACTCACCTACAATTACGTCAAGAAGTTCGAGAGCGTAAGTGAATAGTACATGCTGGGGACAGCAGAGCTCTGGGGCAGTGTCCCTAGTGCTCCTTGCTGCCTCCGTGGCCTGCTGTGGCCTGGGCCTCCGTGCCACGGGGGTCCGAGCGTCTACCTGAAGACCGATTGGGACCTCCCAGAGAACACGAGGGAATGTGAGCCGTCTCTGGCAGGCTTACTCCATGGGGACAGAAGCCCCTCTGGCTTCTCTTCCTGTTTGATAGAGCAGAGTGGGGGTGACTGACAGGCCCTGACGGGCCCCCCCAAAGACGCAGGGTTGCAGGGTGCCCAGCAGCTGAGTGAGCAGAGGCGCCGGGAGGGGAACTCCTACAGGCCAAGCCACTTTCGCTTTAAAGAGCTTGGTTCTAGGGCCTCAGAGTGCAGGAGATTGGCTCCTGGGGATCCCCCGAGATGGATCGGCCAGGGAAGGGCAAGGGGTGGGGAACGGAGCTGTCCTCCTGGCGCCTCGAGCCGCACAGAGCTAGCGAGAGCAGCGGCGTCCGACCATCCGTCTGCCCGCACAGCCCGGGCCCCCGCAGGCCGTGCGCTCAGTGCTCAGGCTGCCAGCCGCCGGTTCGCAGGCGCGGGGCCGGCCACGGGCCAGGCCCTGGGCTCCCACCCAGCCGCGGGCGCTCCCGGGTTGCTCTCCGCGTGTGGGAGGCCCTGTTCTGGAGGGCCGTGTGCCCACGTCCTCGCAACGAGGCCAGGAGGGAGGGAGGCTCAGAGAGGAGAGCTGGCGGGGAGCAGAGCCACCGGTGGAAGCTAGGTCTGGCCAGCTGCCGGTGCTCGCGGGGCGCGTCACCTGGCGGGGGCTCACAGCTCGGCTGTTGTCCCTCCCTGGGCTACCGCTTGGGGCCGCACAGGGCGCACCGAAGTCGGGATCTCGGGTTAGTGGCTGGCTTCCCAGCAGAAACGGCGAGGACGGTGAACTGCCTGAAGGGTCAAAGCAGGATGGCCCTCACGGGCTAGGGATTTAGGGGTCCCTGCCAGGCACTGCTCTGAGAAGTCCTCCCAGGGCTGTGGTAGCAGCAAGGGCCTGGGCAGGCAGGGGACCTAAGACAGCGTCCAGAAGGGCCGTCCGGGCAAGGCTTCTTTCTGCAGGGGTTGGGCAAAGCCTCAGAGGGTGCCGGGATACGACTACCCCAGGGTTGGGGCACGCGAACCAGGAAGAAATACTCTGACCTTCTGGCGGTTGTACCGGGACCCTCACCACCCAGAGTTACGATCTATTCCCCTCTGGGCCGGATCCGGTCGTCTCCGGAGCCCGGCGTCCACATCGGCGTCTTTGGGCACTACTTTTGGTTTCTCAAATGATTTGCCTTTAAAACTAAATACGGATACAGATTCGGCTTTGGGCGAGGCTGAATCCGGGTGTCCAAATGATGTCATCAATAGTTGGTTTCGAGAGGGTCCCCGGCAGTACGAGAGGTACCGTTTTAGAGTCGTGGCCACGCCAGGGACAGAGGACTGCTGCTTCCGAATGGTAACAGCAGAAGCCCTGCAATTCGGGTCTCGTTCGCCGGGCCTCAGCCACACGCCCAGCCCTGAACTCGCGGCACGTCTGGGCAGGCTGGTGCCGTGTGCACCTTCGTGACGGTCAAGGGCAGCCCCCACGCAAACGGTGCCCGCTGCTGGCCCGGCTGGAGATTGGGGTTCCGTCTCCGGGTCAGGCAGGCAGCCTTGGTCCGCCTCTGCCCCCAGATCAACGACGAGACCGAGCTGGAGGCGCTGTGCGCCGAGATCGCCTCCCAGCACCTGGCCACCGAGAGCCCCGAGGGCCCCAACAAGCCGAGCTGCAGGTTCACCTACCTGACCATGACGGGCGAGGAGGTGGAGCTGTGCAGCCGCGGCCGGCACATCCCTGTGGCGTGAGTGTTGTGCCTGCGCAAGGGACCGGCCAGTCGGCCTGACGGGCTGTCGCGGCAGCGCCGGGCTGGGCGGGTGACAGACGGGTTTCACCGGCGGGAGGACCGTGAGGCAGGACGTTGGGGGACGGCAAGGAGGGAATGTGTTCGGCGCGACTTCTTAAGCACGAGAGCCCCGGCTGCGAGGCGGGTGACGGCCGAGGCAGGAGAGGACGTCCCGGTACCTGGGCCCGAGGCCCCTCCTGCCTGCCTGGGCCCTCGGGGGGGCGGGGGGCGTGTGGCCCTGAGACTGGGTGCAGCCCCGCGGGCCGCCTCGGCGTTCTCCCTCACCTGGGCGGCCCCCGCGCCGGCAGGTGGGAGAACAAGGACATCTATGCGGCCGCCATCCGGAGCCTGCGGCTGCGGGAGCTGCAGAACGCCGAGTGCGTGACGGCCGTGAGGGCGGGCCTGGGCGCCATCATCCCCCTGCAGCTGCTCACCACGCTCAGCCCGCTGGAGATGGAGCTGCGCACGTGCGGCCTCCCTTACATCAACCTCGAGTTCCTCAAGGTCGGTGGCGTGGGGCCGGGCCGGCAGGCGGGGTCAGCGGGGGCCTGTCCTGGCGCTTCCTGTGTCCCAGCGCCCTGTCCTGGGGCGCGGCGGGGGGGACGCCGTGCTCACCCCGTCTCCCAGCTGAGCTGGCCGAAGCCTCCTCGTGGCGGCTTCATTCCCAGACCGCTGGCCTCCAGGCCCCCGTCCTAAGCCGCGTCCCGAGAGGCGACCGCTCGTGCTGAGCCCCCTCCGTTCCCCAGCCTGGCCAGCTTCCCTCGGGCTGGGCCCTGGCATCCCAGGCTTGCTTCTTGCGAGCTGCGCGACCTTGCCCGAGTGACTTCACATCCAGTGGGAACGGTGACAGGACCCGCCCGCTGCGTCCACGGGGTAACCTGGGTCGAGCCTCTGCTGCTGGGCCTGACGTGCGGGCTGCGGTCCCACACGCGGGTGCTGGGACAGTACCTCCCAGGCCTTCGTCATCGTCACGATCCCCGTGTCCCTGCTGCAGCCACCTGGCCTGGGGAGGTACTGGGCTAGCAGAGGCCTGGGTCTGCTCACGGCTCGGGGGCCTCTCTTCCCCAGGCCCACACCATGTACCAGGTGGGGCTGATGGAGACGGACCAGCACATCGAGTTCTTCTGGGGGGCGCTGGAGATGTTCGCCCAGGAGGAGCTGTGCAAGTTCATCAAGTTTGCCTGCAACCAGGAACGCATCCCATTCACCTGCCCCTGCAAGGACGGGGGCCCTGACACAGCCCATGTGCCCCCATACCCCATGAAGATTGCCCCCCCAGATGGCACAGCAGGTACCGCCCTCCCCTTGTCGTGTTCCAAGTCGGGACACACAAGCCCTTCTCTCCGTTGGGAGCTGGGGCTGCTGGGCCCTGCGGGAGGAAGATCAATGGACAGCTAAACCCCGATGTAAATGGGGGAGGGGCGCGCGCGGTCACTGGACTCCCAAACCTGACCTCAGCCGAGAGTCCTCCATAGCGGCCCGAGGTTGACACATTTTCTGATGTTTTATTTATTTTTTTCAAGATTTTATTTATTTGAGAGAGAAAGAATGAGAGAGCATGAGGGGGCAGAGGGTCAGAGGGAGAAGCAGACTCCCTGCGGGACTCGATGCCGGGACTCCAGGATTATGACCTGAGCCAAAGGCAGTCTCTTAACTAACTGAGCCACCCAGGCGCCCTTTCTCTGATGTTTTTAAGAAGCTAAAAATCCAGACAGGTTTTAATTTTCCAACTTTTAAATGTAGAAAAATAAAACCCTCTGCTGGCCCAACTTCTCTCTAACCAGATTCCCTCCCAGGTCGGCACTGTGATGCCCGCTTTGTGTCCGCCATTTTCTCCTCCGGAATCTTCTCTCCTTTTGCCCCTGCCCTGCCCCTCCTTTCCTCCTGATGAGCCTTGGGGTTGGCTCAGAGCTGCCAGGAGCAGCAACCCTGGAAGCAAAGAGGCCGATAGGCCTCCCTGGAATCGTAGCCCAGCCTCCTAACACTGGTCTGGTGGGGTTTTTTGCAGGTTCCCCAGACTCTCGCTACATCCGAGTGGAGACCTGCATGTTCATGATCAAACTTCCCCAGTACTCCTCTCTGGAAATCATGCTGGAGAAACTTCGTTGTGCCATTCACTACCGAGAAGACCCCCTGAGTGGCTGAGGGGAGGGAGCCCCAGAGTGAGTCCGTCACTGAGGCACCGCTCCGCCGGCTTGGGAAGCCTGCCACTGAGGGCACATCCCTCCAGGCCCTGCGTGAGGAGTTGGCGACATTTTGCTTTTCTGAACTTTTGTCCACATTCCAGGGCTTCCTGGAAGACTTAACCTTTTGTATTTGTATGTTTCGTGATGGGTTGGTTCTTTTACTACCTGTTTGTGGTATGTTTGTAGGATAGTTTAGTTCCCGGGCAGCCTGTGTCTCATTTGATCTTCCTGGGCATTGTCTTTCATGGCCACGGGATTCTGATGCCATAAGGCCCCAGTTAGTTCCACATCATGGAATCACCCAGCAGGAAGCTGGTGGTGAGATCCCAGTGGCCACACACAGCATCCTGTTCTCTCCGCAGAGCATCTTCACAAACAAGTCTGTGGCCCTGCCCCTCCTGCCTTGAGGGGGAATTGGTCCTGGACACAGCTCCCGCAGGCCTCCTTCCATCTTGAAATGGTTGGGCCAGTTACCCAAACGTGGGAGACACACACACGGAGCTTTCTGTGTTAATCTTCCGGCTTTAGAGCTTTGTTTATGGTCTGGGTTTTTCTGAGGAAAAGCGCCCCCCACCCCATGGTTCCCCCATCCCTTCCCACCCAGACAACCCTCTGCCCTGTCTCCTCTGGGCCCCTGGTCTGACAGTTTTCCACTGAGCGTTCCTCAGAAGACCAAAGGGTTCATCCCCAACCTTAGTTCACAGCCAGGCGTGTTGCAGCTCCAGGAGTTGAGAAGGACACCCAGAGGAGGAGGGACAGCGCTCGAGTGGGGGCCTTTTTCTGAGACTGATTGAACAGGAAAGCACAGGATTCAAGCCTACCCCCCCTTTTGTACTCAGAAACAGCCCTTCTTCACCGCAGTGTTGGTGAGTGGGCCACACACCCATTTTAAAAAGAGCTGACTGAGGTGCTCTGCTCAATTCAGGGTCTACTTCAGTGACCAAGACCTTCCAAGGACCACTGTGGGGTCCTCTGCCCCCTCTGGCCAGGCCCACCCCCTACTCCCTTGCCACCCCATGTGAGCGTGTGTGCCAGGGCTGAGCTGCTCCAGGCTCACCCGCTGCCCCAGTGCATTGGTGCCCCAAACAGGTCTTTGTCCGATGGTACTTTGTTCCAGAGTAGCATATGCCATCTTATTGGACACTGTCATTTTGGGCCTTGCCAGTTCTCATGGAATCGCATCACTGTATTTATTGTATAATATTGTGAATACTGAAAGTTCTGAGTGAGTGAGTGCTGACTAGAAGGCTCTGGAGTGTGAATGCTCGGGAAAGAAAGCTGTGCTTTTCCTTTCTCTGCTGTGGCCCTGGCCTGGTGGAAAGTTGTATGGCTTTAGACTTAGAGCCATTAGCATCCATCTCCTCCCTCTTATTCTTAGGAAATGCATTAAGAACCATTATAGAAATGATTCCCCAACCTAAGGAAAAGCTAAAACCGGATTCATCGTTCCGGCTGCATCGGTTACATTTGATGCAGGAGCAGTCCTGTCTGGAGGTGAGCACCTGCAAGCAGTTTCCCTGCTTGAAAGGAAGAGGGTTGGCCTCTGCCTCCTAGCAGCGAGAGCCCCGTTGACTGGGGGTCACACCAGGATGTAGTCCTGACAAAGGATCCTCTTATTTCTGCATAACGAAAGAGCCTCTGGATTATTAGAAGGGGTTCTTCCTCTCTGTATTTTTACATTCTTGGTCCCTTCCAATCCTTCCCATCCCTTGAATGGGCTCAGAATTGTCAGCTACCTCCCCCAGGGGGGTTTGGGAAGCTTCTTTTGGCCCATCACTTGAACGGATGACAGCTGTGAGTGGGATGTTTGCTGCTAACACGACTGCGTCTCCCAGAGAGCACACTGAGAGCTCCAGACCGATTCAAACCTTGGCCCTAAAAAAAAAAAACCGTGTGCTGTAAAGTTACTTGATGTATATTTATTATAATTATTTATGGTTGCATTTAACAAAGTTTTCATTCAATTTGATGCTATTTACACCACTGCTGTGTAAAGGAAGCTCACTACAGGAAAAAAGTCGCACCAATAAATAACCTTCATCTAATTTTGATTTACCTGAAGAGTTGTGTGATCATCGACTCACTGGAAAGAATCAAAGGCTGACAGGCTTGGACGGCTCTGATACCGAAGTGCTTGTCCAGTAGTTAGGAATTAATTAGGTCTCTGCACTTGATGTGATTCTTACTCCACCATGCTTATAAGCTATCCTTTTCTCCCATTCAACTCCTTGAGGCTGGTTTTCGTATAGAAAGTATGATTCTTCAAAGGGATGGAAATCCAAGGTCAAAGCTAAACCTAACGCTGCATGTTCTGCCCCCTACTCATAGTGGAGCTTGTCTATACTCTTCTGCCAGTGTGAGGATTCTCCTCCAGGAGCTCATTGCACTGGAAGAGTCTAGGCCATTCTTAGACCACATATCCTCCTCCCTTGGGAGCCGGCAGTGGACTTAGAACTGTACAGAAGGGAAGTGCACAGAAGATAGACTTAGTGCTGCTTTCTTAAGATCGATGGTTCTGCCCTCTTCTTGCACAGCTCTCCCTTGCCACCCCAAAAGGGAACCCTGTGGTCTGCATTCAGGAGAATCCAACCAGTCTCCTTGACCTGCTTATCACGTCCTCCTGCTCCACGGGAGGCCTCACACAGACCCACTTAATTCTTCTTTTGACCCTACCTTTATACTTAATTTTAGTGGAAGTTATCCCACCTATGTCTTTATTACAGGAAGAGCAAGAGTCCTCTTGGATGAGGAATAAGCAACTTTCCTCCTCCTGTCTGTTGCCTCACGGCACTAGAAACAGCAAAAGCAACCACTCTCAGCTAAGAGAAGACTTCTGTTGGACGGGAGAAGCTGGGGAGTGCGGTGCCTCAGCTGAAGATATCTCAATGAGCACAGCAAGGATTCTCCTGCTCTCCAGAATGGCTGAGGCCATTTTAAAGAGTTGCTTCTTAAAAAACATAGTGTATTCAAAATTACACTATCCAATAATAGACAACATTTATCCTCATTAGTCATCAGGGAAATGCCTATTGAAATCATGACAAAAATCTATACAACTACCACCACCCCCCCACGGTTGGGGGCAGATGTGGAACCAAGCACATACTGATGGGAGTGTAACCTACAACTACTTTGGAAAACTGGTACTCTCCACTACACATGCCCTAAGATCAGCAATCCCAGGCCAACAACAGAGGACATACACACGCGCACCAAAAGCCGTGTAAGAGAATGCTCACAGTAGCAGTCACGGCGCTCGCCACAGTGGCACACGATGGAATGCTGGGCAGGAAGGAAGCACACTACTGCTCCGTACGACCACGCAGAGGAGCCACACACACAGTGAGCAGCAAAGGAAATCAAGCATTAAAAAGTACTTAATGGTGTAAGTTCATTTAAATAATACTGAAAAGTGAAAAATAACTGATGTCAAGATAGTGGTGGTTTTGGGTCCCAGAGGATAGTGACTGAGAGTAGGAGGGGTGTTCTGGGGTCTTGGTGATGTTTTTGATATGGGTGGTGGTGGTAGATAACGTGTTCACAGTGGGCTGTATACTACCAGGCACTTTTCTGTGGAGATGTTCTCCTGGAGGGATAGTTTCTTAATAACAAGTACTGAATCTGGCTGGCTCAGAGTATGTAACTCTTCATTTCGGGGTCGAGTTTAAGCCCCGTGCTGGGCATGTTGCCTACTTATAAAAATAAATCCCAATGCCTCAGTGCCCCTCCACCAAATACAAGTACACCAAAACGAGGACCTGCTTGTGTTCCCTCTCGCTGTGTCTCTGTCAAGTAAGTAAAATCTTTAAAAAAAAAAAAAATTCCATCTTCATGAAACTAAAATCTTTTTAATCCACAATTTCTGAAAGGATAACTATTGGAAGAATTTATGAACACAGCATGGGAAGCAAGCTTATTTGTACCTCCCTCTAAAAAACAAACATTGTAAAGGGAAGAAGGAATTAGAAGCCCCATGTGCCAGGAGGAAAACAAGGATTAGAAATTCATGTAAGAAGCAGAAGTTCAAGCCCACCACCCTGGAGAAAGAAGTCCTATTCAGGAGAAACCACCTGAGCAGCTGAGATTCCAGCCCCACCCTAGGTTTACACAGCAGGCTGGAAGACCCTTTTCTGGACTAAACTGGAGACAAGACCTACAGATTCTGACAGCAGGAGCTCTCCAGTGAAAATGCCAGCCGGTTGCCCCACAGTGAACATGAACAGTTAAAGAAGCTTCTCATTTTTAGTGCCCCAGTCTTTTTTTTTTTTTCTCTATTCTAGATTTTATTTGACAGAGACACAGCGAGAGAAGGAACACAAGCAGGAGGAGTGGGAGAGGGAGAAGGAGGCTTCCCGCAGAGCAGGGAGCCCGATGTGGGGGCTCAATCCCAGGACCCTGGGATCATGACCCGAGCCGAAGGCAAACGCTTAACGACTGAGCCACCCAGGCACCCCACCCCAGTCTTAAATATAGACAGCCAAGACACAGACTTGAGGAAAAGTCTGTAACATAAAATACCAAAACAAAAAGTACAGAGCAGAAAAAGATACCTAAGAAACAGCTATGGCACAGAGTATGAGAACAAGTACTGCATCGGGGTGCCTGGCTGGCTCAGTTGGTAGAGGGTAGGACTCCTGATCGTGGGGTTGTGAGTTTGAGCCCCACGTGAGTGCAGAGATTACTTAAAACTTTAAAAAGTACTGCATCCATTGAGTGAGGGGGAAAAAGGCTGTCGGAAAGGATAAAAGACAGGTTTTGGAAATACCAGAAATATATTTAATATAAGAATGAAAGGATAAGGTTGAACTTTCCCATAAAGTTGGGCAAAAAGAATATGAAAGAAAAAATGGATCAGTCTAAGAGTGTCAATATCCAACTATCACTGGAATTCTGCAAAGACAGAAAACAGGAGAGAAATTACAAAAAAAAACCCAAAAAAAACCCCTGAAAAATAAGAGGTCACAAGTTTCCAAAATGCTTATTAAGTGTCCAGCTCTTTGAATGGAAAAAGAATCCACACCAACATACACATGGGGAAGTTTAAAAATAGATATCCTAAAAAGCTTCAAGGGGGAAAAATGACATGCAAATCAGAATGGCATCAGGCTTTAAAACAATCCAGAAAGAATGCTTTCAGGACACTTCTAATTCTAACCACGATAGATGAACAGAAACCAGACTTACCCTCCCCCATCTCAACAACTAAAATAAAAAACCTGACATGTAGGGCACCTGGGTGGCTCAGTCAGTTAAGCATCTGTCCTTGGCTCAGGCCATGATCTCAGGGTCCTGGGATCGAGCCCTGCATCAGGCTCCCTGCTCAGTGGAAGTCTGCTTAACCCTCTCGTGCTCGCTTTCTCTCAATCTCTCTCTCGCTCGCTCGCTATCTCAAATAAAATCTTTAAAAAACAAAAAAAACCCTGACATGTATGGTTCTCAAAACATCAGGCAATGAAGGACAGAGCTCTGAGAAATATGGTGGTGGTATCATGGCCTCAGCGTATGGTATGGATAGTTTTCAGACAGCAGCAAAAGCAGGGGAAACGCAAGGTGGAACCCTACAGTCTCCCAGAGTTAAGAAAACAAAGCATCCAAGGCACCTAGTTTGTGGGGCAGAGTACCAGACAGGAAGAGTTGTAATAGAACTGTGTAGATCTGTTGGTGATCCTTCGCAAGTATTCAGTCGAGTAATGATAAGCTCCTGCATATAAGGAAACTGCCAGAGGCTGGGAAAAGAACCAGCCAAAAGGATTAGAACTGGCAAAGAACAGGAAATAGTTCCTGTTCCCACTAGCCAATATAGAAAACTTTATCATTTATGGAACTTTTATTTTTGCCTTAGTAGTGCAGCAAAATTCCTAATTTTGTAATTAGAAAAAACTAATTCCTGTTCAGGTCCCACCTAATAAAGCTTAAAAGTTTGACACAGAAGGATCGAGCTGTTTCACAGTGATCAAGTATAAAAACAAAGCTCGAAAATAAAGGAATACAAAAATAGCCAGCACATAAGCGGGTAAAATTCAGAATGCCTGGCATCCAATCAAAAACCACTGGACACACAAAGAAGCAAAATAGGACCCAGAAAAATCAACCAAAACTGACCCAGAAATTACACAAATGATAGAATTCGTAGGCAAGACCATTTAAACAGTTATTATTGCATACAATATACTGACAAAACTAGAAAAAAACCCACAACTTGTTCCGTAGAGACATGGAAAATACAAACAATCCAACCTAAACATCTAGAGATAAAAACTACACTGGCCAAGATGGAAACCGGATAGATTAGCAACAGATTAGACACAGAAGATTTTAGTGACCTCAGGGGTATGCAAAGGATCCATCTGAAAACAAAAGAATCCAAAAGAGTGAAAAGAATATCAATAAGATACGGCACTTCATTTGGCCTAACATAGGAGTGAGAATAATCCCCCAAAGGGAAGAAAAATGGGGGGAAAATCTTAAGAAATAATGGCTGGAAAAAAAATGGCTGAAATTTTTTCCAAATTTACCTGAAAACTATAAAGATTCAGGAAGCTTAATGAACCTAAAGCACAAGAAACAGAGTGGTGGTGACGGTTGCAGAACGATGTGAATGTACTTAATGCCACAAAACCATACAAAGGTACATCACAATCAAATTGCTTAAAATCAGTGCTAGAGAGTATCTTAAAAATACCCCCCCACAAAGACACATTATATACAAATGAACAAAGATAAAGATGATAGATTTCTCATTGAAACCAACGCAAGCAAGGAGACAGTAGTGCAACATATTTAAAGTCCTGGGGCAGGGCAGGGGAGGGATATCAAGAATTCTGTATCTGCCGAAGGCAGATGCTTAACGAATGAGCCGCCGAGGCGCCCTGAGAAACCCACTTTAAATATATAAATACAAATAGAATAAAAGTAAAAGGATGGAAAGAGATTACTATGCTAAAAATAGAAGAAAGCTGAGGGGGCACCTGGGTGGCTCAGTCAGTTAAGTGTCTGCCTTTGGCTCAGGTCATGATCCCAGAGACCTGGGATCAAGCCCCGCATCGGGCTCCATGCTCTGAGGGAAGCCTGCTTCTCCCTCCCCCTCTCCCTGCTGCTCCCCCTGCTTGTGCTCTCTGTCCAATAAATAAAATCTTTTTAAAAAAGAATAAAATTGGGGGGTACCTGGGTGGCTCAGATGGTTAAGCGTCTGCCTTCAGCTCAGGTCATGATCTCAGGGTCCTGGGATCGAGTCCCGCATCGGGTTCCCTGCTCAGTGCAGAGCCTGCTTCTCCCTCTCCCTCTGCCACTCCCTCTGCTTGTGCTCTTCTGTCTATCTCTCTGTCAAATAAATAAAATCTTAAAAAAAATAAAATAAAATAAAATTGGGGGCGCCTGGGTGGCTCAGTCGTTGGGCGTCTGCCTTCGGCCCGGGTCATGGTCCCGGGGTCCTGGGATTGAGCCCCGCGTCCGGCTCCCTGCTCAGCGGGAAGCCTGCTTCTCCCTCTCCCACTCCCCCTGCTTGTGTTCCCTCTCTCGCTGTGTCTCTATCAAATAAAAAATTTAAAAAAAAGAAAACTGGGCGCCTGGGTGGCTCAGTCGTTAAGTGTCTGCCTTCGGTTCAGGTCATGATCCCGGGATCCTGGGATCGAGTCCTGCATCGGGCTTCCTGCTGAGCAGGAAGCCTGCTTCTCACTCTGCCTGCTACTCCCTCTGCTTGTACTCTCTCTGACAAATAAATAAAATCTTTAAAAAAATAAAATTTGGGGCACCTGGGTGGCTCAGTCATTAAGCATCTGCCTTCAGCTCAGGTCATGATCCCAGAGTGCTGGGATCGAGCCCCGCATCAGGCTCCCTTCTCCGTGGGAGGCCTGCTTCTCCCTCTCCCACTCCCCCTGCTTGTGTTCCCTCTCTCGGTGTGTCTCTCTCTGTCAAATAATAAATAAAATCCTTAAAAAAAAAAAAAAAAGGAAAAACAAATCTTTAATTACAATAAGGATTTCAAACAAACCCCTCCCCCCAATAATTAAGAGAGTAAGTAAACAGAACATCAGTAAGGACATAAAGGCTTGAACAACACTATCAACAAATTTGACCTATCTGCCAATTTTTTAAAAAGATTTATTTTTAGGGGCGCCTGAGTGGCTCAGTTGGTTAAATGTCTGCCTTCAGCTCAGGTCATGATTCCAGGGTCCTGAGATTGAGCCCTGAGTAAGGCTCCCTGCTCAGTGGGGAGCCTGCTTTGCTTCTCCCTCTCCCTCTGCCCCTCCCCACCACTCCTGCTCTCTCGCTCGCTCTCAAATAAATATATAAAATCTTAAAAAAAAAAAGATTAATTTTTAGAAAAAGCGAGTGAGCATGAACTGGGGGAAGGACAAAGGGAGAGAGAGAATCTCAAGCAGACTCCCCACTGAATGTGGAGCCTGATGTGGGGATCAATCTCAAGACCTTGAGATCATGGGGCACCTGGGTGGCTCAGTCGGTTAAGCGACTGCCTTCGGCTCAGGTCATGATTCTGAAGTCCCGGGATCGAGTCCCGCATCGGGCTCCCTGCTCAGCGGGGAGTCTGCTTCTCCCTCTGACCCTCCTCCCTCTCGTGCTGTCTCTCATTCTCTCTCGCAAATAAATAAATAAAATCTTTAAAAAAAAAAAAAAAGACCTTGAGATCATGACCTGAGCCAAAATCAAGAGTCGGATGCTTAACTGACTGAGCCACCCAGGCTCCCCTATCTGCCATTTATATAACACTCTATCCAATCAAAATAGAAATGCATATTCTTTTCAAGTACATACAGAACATTTATGGCCTCGAGAACATTCTAAGGATAAAACAAGTCTCAATAAATTTGAAGAGATTCAGGTCATACAAATTATGTTCTTGGACCACAAGGAAATTAAATTAGCAACCAATAACAAATCTGGGGGCACCTGGGTGGCTCACTTGGTTAGGTGTCCAACTCTCGATCTCAGCTCAGGTCTTTTTTTCCCCAGCTCAGATCTTGATCTCAGGGTTGTGTGTTCAAGCCCTGCGTTGGGCTCCACGCTGGGTGTAGCACCTACTTAAAAAATCTGGGGGCGCCTGGCTGGCTCAGTCCTAAGAGCATGTGATTCTTGAACTCAGGGTCATGAGTTCAAGCCCCATTACTCAAACTTTAGAAAAAATAAATCTGGAAAATACCCAATTAGGAACTAATTACATACTAATAGCCCACAAGACAAACCAAGAAATCAGAGTATTCTGAATTGAATGAAAATTAAAAAAAACAAAATTTGTGAGATGCAGGTAAAGCAGTTCTTAGGGAAATTTATAGCACTAAACACTTATATTAGAAAAGAAGAAAAGTCTCAAACGAGTGATCTCAGCTTTGACCTTAAATTAGAACAAGAAAAAAAGCTCAAAGTAAGCAAAAGGCAAATTAAGATCAGAATGGAAGGGGAAAAAAAAGATCAGAATGCAAACCAATGAAATGGAAGCAGAAAAACAGTAATCAATGGGACCAAAGCTGATTTTTTTGAGATCAATAAAATTGATAAATCTCTAACCCGTGGTTGCCATGCTATGGGTCATAATCTAGCTACCTGTTTTTGTAAATAAAGTTCATTGGAAGTCTCACCCATGGGTATTATCCATGGCTGCCTTCACTAACAGCATTGTTGAGTAGTTGCAATATAGACTGGAATGGCCTGCAAAGCCTTAAATATTTACTATTTGGCCTTTAAGAAAGAAAAAGTTTGGGGATTACTGCTCTAGCCAAACGTATCGGGAAAAGAGAAAAGAAATTACCAGCATCAGGAATGACAGAGGTGACATCACTACAGATTTTACAGAGATGTTTTAAATAAGGTAATATTATGAACACCTTTATGCCAATAAATTATTAAAATGGACAAATTCTTTGAAAGACAACACCAAAGTTCACTCAAGAAAAATAGAAAACCACAGGGCACCTGGGTGGCTGTTGTTGAGCGTCTGCCTTCAGCTCAGGTCATGATCCCAGGGTCCTGGGATAGAGCCCTGCATCAGGCTCCCTGCTCAGCAGGAGGCCTGCTTCTCCCTCTCCCCCCACTTGTGTTCCCTCTCTCGCTGTCTTTCTCTGTGTCAAATAAATAAAATCTTTTAAAAAAATGAAGAAAAACAGAAAACCTCAGTAGCTATATCTGTTAAAACTGATTATCATACTTGGGGCACCTGGGTGGCTCAGTCAGTTAAGCGTCTGCCTTCAGCTCAGGTCACGATCCCAGGATCAAGCCCTGTACTGGGGTCCCTGTTCAGCAGGGAGTCTGCTTGTCCCTCTGCCCCTCCCCCCACTGCTCATGCTGACTCTAACAAATAAATAAAATCTTTTTTTAAAAAGGTGGGGTATCATACTTATTTATGGTTGAGTTTTGGTGGTTGGTCTATTTCTCCCAGTCCCTTTTAAGGGCTCATCTGATTAGGTCAGGCCTACTCAGAATAATCTTATTAACTCACAGGCAACTGATTTGAGACTTTACACCCCCAAAATCTCTTCACAGCTTTGTCATAATACATAAAACAATCATATTCACAATCCTGCCCACACTCAAGGGGAAGGAAATACATGTACACCATGTACATTATATGTATGCCATGTACACCAGGAGTCAGGAATCTTCATGGCCAACTTAAAATTCTGCTGATCATAAATACAGAAACAAATTTATTCACTGAAGGGGAACCTGGGTGGCTCAGCCGGTTAAGCGGCCCACTCTTGAGATCATGACCTGAGCCGTGTGAGATCAAGCCCCACATGGGGCTTCACACTGGGTGTGGAGTTTGCTTAGGATTCTCACCCTCCCTCTCTCTGTCCCTCCCCCCACTCTCTCGCGCCAAAAAACTAAAAAGTTCATCCACTGCAACGTTATTTTTAATCATAAGATATTGGAAACAACCTAAACATACACAGGAGAATGGGTGAATAAACCACAGTACATTCACACAATGAAGTGATTTTGTTTTAAAGATTTTATTTATTTATGTGACACAAAAAGAGAGCACAAGCAAGGGGAGTGGCAGGCAGAGGGAGAGAGAAAAGCAGGCTCCCCACTGAGCAGGGAACCGATGTGGGGCTCAATCCCAGGACCCCAAGCCAAAGGCAGATGCCTAACTGAGCCACCCATGTCCCCCGATGGAGTGATTTTTTAAAATGAGGTATAATGGGAGTTATCTTGAGAATATGCTATTAAGTGAAAAAAGCAAAGTTCAAGAGTATTTGTAATATGCTACCTCTAGTGTAAGAAAAGAGGAAATAAGAAAATACACATATTTAGTTATTTTGACAAAAAGAAACAAGAAAGTTTAGGGGGACAAAAAACGACAAAACAGAAACGAGATTGGGCTGCCCACAGATGGTGGAAACTGGTGAAAAGATTGATGTTGAATGGGAGTGGAAGGTATAGGGCCAGTGACACTTCTGAGTAAACCTTTTGTAGTTTAAAGTTGGAATCATACTAATACTTAACATACTATAAAATCCAATAAACAAACCTAGGGGAAAAAATCCCTAAGACAGAACATAAACAAAAACAAATCAAGACAAGTGTATTTCGAATGAATGATGTATCACATCAAAGGATGGAGGCAAAAAAAAAAAAAAGAACCTAAAATTTTGAACACATTTTGACTATATACCCTCATAATAAGTCAAAAAGAGTTATAAACAAATATTTAGCTTGTTAGTAGGTTAAATTTTCTGTAGTGGTAAACGTTTAGCAATACTGAAACTACTTTCTCTGGGTCGCCTGGGTGGCTCAGATGGTTAAGCATCTGCCTTCGGCTCAGGTCATGATCCCAGAGTCCTGGGATCGAGTCCCGCATCGGGCTCCCTGCTCCTTGGGAGCCTGCTTCTCCCTCTGCCTCTCTCTCTCTGTCTCTTACGAATAAATAAATAAAATCTTAAAAAAAAAAAAAAAACTTTCTCTGTATTTGAGAACTGAGCAAATAAGTAAATATATTGAGAATAACAGGAGCCAGATTTCTCATTGCTGGAGAAGGCAAAGGATAGACAGAATCAACCCTGTGGTGACAAGACTGAAATCGGATGTCTTGTTATGAACTCATGGTGGTATACACAGTTATAAAATCAAGTATATGCATGTCTATAACACACATACATAATACATATATAAACATACACATATTTCGTAGCAATGCCCCCCGCCACAGTAACATTGTGTACATGCCAAGCACCCAGATGATGGTTTCTAACTACTGCTCACCCCCAAAAGAATCCAGGGTTTCTGGGCAAAAAAATTAATTCTAGCCCGAGGCAGGGAAAATACAAGATGAACCTGGAATATCTTGTGTCAAAAAGTAAGAATGTACTCAAGAAATAGTTGGTCATGCCAAAAAAGACACAGGAACCAGCTGGCCAAATCTGGCCATCAAAATTACTATATCTGAGCATCAGAATAAATGACAGAGATGGATAATAAAAAATTGAATAAAATAACCTATTTTTATATATGAATGAATGGGGGAGAAAGAAGAGTTCTTCCTTAAAGTAGAATACCAACAACTAAAATGTAGAAGGAAACAGAGTTAGAAAATCATCATTTCAATAGTAATAGACGCTTAACGACTGAGCCACCCAGGGGCCCCAAAAAGTATATCCATTATAAAACACTGAAAAACTACAGATTACTAAAGAAAGTAAAACAAACCAAAAAAACTACTATTTTACTGAATGTCTAATCCAACCAAAGGGAAGGAAAACAAGTTTATCTATGTCCATCCCCAAAAACTAAAGTTATGGGTGAGACAAGCCCCAAAGCCCTCTCTGCCCCAGAGAATTCTTCCTCATGCCTCCTTTAAGTCCCAAGGGGATTTTCAATCATGCCAGAAGTGACCCAATTCTCTCAGTCTTTTTGGGCTTCTTTCACCAAAGACAAGGTCTTTCTGAGCTGACTGATAATAACTGACATAAACTATACAAAAACCCCCCTATAGTTATATACTCTTTTCTCTGGTCTTGCTTCTTTTTCTCAGTATAGCTCAGACCTGGATATGAGTCCCTGGCTCTGCCATGAATTATCTGCATAGCCTTCTGCAGATCACTCCTTTCCACTGATGAAATGAGACAATTCTTCCCTCTTTTCCCAGCCCCACTAGGTTGTTAGGAGAAAAAATAAGCTCAAAATGACCTAAGGTCCTGTGCAAACTGTGAGGTGCTGAGGGGTAATGAATAATTCTGCTAAGGCTCAACCACACTCAGGACCGAGGCTTTTAAGATATCTGCCTTTCTCTATTTAGTTGGAGGCAGTCCCACCTCCACCCCAAATCATCACCAGAGCTGCAACAACCATCCATTTTCTCAAAATCCAATAGAAAACTGTATCTTGAATGTCTGGCACTGAAAAGAAGCTCATGCTGCAACTACTAGAGTTCCAGGAAGCACAAAAAGAAAAAAAAAAAAAAAAAGCCCAGTCCTGCTCACCTTCCCCCATATTTCAGGGCCAACTCCAGCCCACTCTGTCTTCCCTGAGGTCTCCAGAGTGCAAAGGAGAAGGAACCACAAGACTCAGCTGAACTCCAAGTACAAACTTTATTTCTATTACAAGTATGTTAATAGTAGTAGTAGTAGTAGTAGTAGTAGTAGTAGTAGTAGTAGTAGTAGTAAAATAAAAAGAGGGGATGGGGGCTCTGATACTTGGTTTTCAGGGCAAGCCATGGAGCTCAGGCCTCCGTCCTGATCCAGGCAGAGCCCAGCATGGCTCTGGTGGCAACAGGGAGCCCCCAGCCTTCTCCATCAGAAGACAGTAAAGACAAAGGAGCCGTGCTCCCCACCAGAAACAGTTACGCCAAATGCCAAAGAAGCAGATTTAAACAAAGCCTCTAGTGCACTCACCTCTAGCTCAACTCATCTCCAAAGCCTTGTTCCTAACATATATTGCAACTGGCCTGAACACTTTACCAGAGTGCCTCCATACACACCACAGGCCCAAATTCTACAGTGGGGAGGGACAGTACACAGGAGAGGGTACCTAAAAGTTCCCAAAGTGAGGCCAGAGCAGAGAAGAGAATCACTTCACTGGTGAGTACCAGGTTTCCAGAACCCTCTCTCCTCTTTCCACCAGGACTACACAGCACCAAGAAGCAGTGGCAACAGTATGTCAAAAGATGGAGCCCTGGTGGGCTAAGAGGCCATAATTTGTATTTCTGCGCAGCCAAAAGGCAGTAGCTAAAGATGAAACATTTCTCAACAGCCTCCCTGCTAACCCTCCCCCAAACCCTCAAACTCCCACAGCACAATCTCAAAAGACACAAAATGGCCATAACCTACAAAAAGTTAAAATCTGTAAAATCTCCCCTGCCCACAGAGCCCAAGAGGTGGAGCCTGAACCGCAGCAAGTGCTGCTGTGCAGAAAAGATGGAACAACTGCGCAGGTTCTCTGTGACACCATTACTCCTCCTCCTCTTCCTCCTCTGCATCCCCAGCTCCCTGTTGCTTGGGGGGTTTTGCCTGTTGAACAAGAGAACACAAACGAAGTAGAAAGGAGGAAGTGAAAAAGCAGTCGTCCTCCTTTAGAGCCCTAAAAATAAATGTCAAACTTCGACGGAAACCTCATCCACTGCCTGATGCCCACCTCTTCGGACTCCAAGAACCATACCAGTCCCACCCAATTATGAGTCCTCACTGAGCCATCATTGGCTGGATCCCCAATTACCTTTGCAGTTCTGTTTCGGTAGCTGGCGGCTGTGGAGGTGACCCGTGAGTTCCTGCCACCTTCACTCCTACCACTGAAAGAGAAGGATTGGAAACTAGTTCCTGAGATATTTCTGAACAAAGGTCAGAAACTCAGAACAGAAACTGCTGGAACCAGACAAAAGCAACTTTCCACCAGCAGACAAAACAAATGAACAATGAAAAATCCAAAGAAAGCAAAAGAATGTTTTGGGATCAGGTCGCAATACACGCAAAGTCCATACTCCCACCATGTTCTCCTGAGCTACTCCCAAGCTCCACTCCTGGCTACTGATTCTTACCTTACACCATACCTCCCTGAAGGCCCACGGGGGAAGGTGGGTACAAGGTTTTCTGGGTAGAGATTTCGCACTGGGTGAATCACTGGAACGTGTCCAGTGGCCATGGCTGCGTTATGGCTGTTTCGATTGCGTGCCCGGCCATCCTGGCTGTCTAAGTTGTTGAGCTTCAATATGCGAGGAGGGCTAGGCTGGCACCCAGTTCTGGGGCCTGATGTGGATGTTGACAGTCGGTTACAAGTTGCTGTCATATTGTTAATGGGTCTGCTGGGGGGAAGAGGGTAGGTGGTCCCTTTAGCCATTTCCTGCTTGATATCATCCATATAACCAGAAGACAAGTCTCCTGAGAAGAGAAAAAAGCACCAGCTTTAGGGAAAAGCCTGCTCTTGCTATTAGTGCTGGATCTGGGGCAGGAATAATAGGATTCTGGGTAAAAGACTGCCTTGCTGTTGAAACCCACATCTCTAGAACAAGGTTGGTTGGGAACACCTTGTCCACACTTACTACCTGAGTCCTCAAATACAGTCTCCTGAGTATTCTACAATGGTGTACCAGCAAATCTCGAAAAACAGTTTCTAATTGGCTTTGTAGTGGTTAGGTTTCAAAAACAGCTTACCTGCCTACTCATGAGGCTTCTAAATAATATTACTAATAAATAGGAGTACCCTTAACACAGTTCAACTAGAAGCAGGGACTCAGGGCAGACATAGTAAGGTCTGAAAATTATCTCCAAATTATCCACTAACTGCACAGATAGGAGACCTGCAGCTGAATAAGCACTGACAAGTAGGTCTCACGGCTGTCCCCAAAGCCATTACCCTATAATACACTCCAGACAGCTTAGTCTAACATGGGACCACAACTAGCCACATAAGAGTCCCCAGTGAGATCCTACTGTGCTTGGTAATTCAGAATTCAGGTAACCCCCATGTTAGAGTAGCAGATGAGAAGTGGTAAGCAGGCCTGAGCCAGCAGCAGACCTGTGGCCTTGGCTCAGCCCTGGCTAATACCCTGGTGTCTGACACGCCTCTTGGGCAGCTCTGGTGAGGTCTCTGGAGGCTGGAAATCCTGTCTAGGAATCCCCTCTGTCACATGGTTGTTTGCTGTGGCTGGGCGTTGGTCACACTGGTCCTAACAAGAAAAACCAGAATTAGTTCCTCAGGATTGAGTTATTCCTATGAATAACTATGAAAGAAAGGAATAGCAGGCTGGGTAAACAGACCTAATGGGGGGAGGGAGGAGACAGACATGACTTTGACAACTACTGTCAGGAAGGGCCTGGGACTAAGAGGAAAAACATATGGAATGGCACAATCATTCCCATTAGCACCTAAAGCACTGAAAGAAGCACTCTGATTGTGCCAGGATAAAGGAAGGGCTGGTCTTAAGAACCCAGAAAAGCATGTCAATACTTTGATCACAGAACATTTGCATGGTTGCTTATTTCACAGTCTCCCCTGAGACAACAAGCAGTTACTTGTCTACTGCTTGATCCAAAAGCAGAAGTCTTTCTTACAGAAATGAAATGTGTGATGCTCTAGCAAGAGCTATATGGGATCAACTACAGAAAAGACCCTGAACATACCCTCAGCATTAGCTCCTAATAACAAATAAGACTAGGCAGAAAATGTATTTTTTTACCAACAGGTTGGAATCCTAGACTGCAAACCTAAAAAAGAGCTTCAGACTGCCTAGTCTTAACTCCTTCATTTATAGATATCCCCAGTGAGGGGACAGAACCTATCTACAAAGGTAAAGCCAGGGGCGCCTGGGTGGCTCAGTTGGTTGAGTGACTGCCTTCGGCTCAGGTCGTGATCCCAGGGTCCTGGGATCAAGTCCCGCGTCGGGCTCCCTGCTCAGCAGGGAGTCTGCTTCTCCCTCTGACCCTCCCCCTTCTCATGCTCTCTATCTCATTCTCTCTCAAATAAATAAATAAAATCTTTAAAAAAAAAAAAAAAAAAGGTAAAGCCAGGAATCCAAGACTCAGTGCCTCCACAACAGGAAGAACCTACCTGGTCAAAAATAAAACGTTTGTCAGTGACCTCAGGGAAATTCTCATCAAAATCCTTTTGGCAAGGAGGTGTCTGGGTGGTTCAGTCAGTTAAGTGTCTAACTCTTGGTTTCGGCTCAGGTCATGATCTCAGGGTTGTGAGATCGAGCCCTATTTGGGGCTCTAAGCTGAGGGTGGAGCCTGCTTAAGATTCTCTTTCTGCTCCTCCTCCCCTCCCCTTCTACATGTGTTCTCCCACCCTCTAAAATGATAAAAATAAAAACAAGTCCTTCTGACAGGTCCTGGATGCCTGCTTAAATGGAGTCCTGGGTCCCCAGCTAATGACATTATGGTTTTAGTTGACAGAGGCAGAGAAAGTCTAAAAGCCTGAGGCAGTGTATACCTCAGATAGTTCACAGAACAGGGCACAGCCAGTAGCCAGGTCAGGTATGCATGCAACTTAAAAGCTAAAGAAGCATTCTCAGTTCTGAAAGCCTAGGTTCATTCAGAGTGAAGTAGACAGGTCCTCTGGGGACTTTTACCTGGTGATGGAACAGCACCTCCTCCTCCAGCTGTACCCCACAGAATTCACATGGGATGATGATGCTATCCTCCACAGGGGGTGAATTACTCAGGCCCATCAAAGAGTCTAACTGGTTACTCGCAGCCTGCTGCAAAAACTTTTGGAAGATGACATCAGGATCCTCCACCCCTTTGGGGGAAGTACTGCCCATACTGAGTGAAGGTAAGGCACAGGAAGGATTACAGCTTGTCTGTCTCAAAAAACACAGGTTAAAAAAAAAAGAGGCGTTAAGGAAAACACTACATTCCTAAAACATTGTCTGAAAGTCACAAATGTTAATTCTTAATAATGGGGAGAGAGACTAAAAAGGGTTAGGGCAAACACAGATGGAACACTCTTAAATATTTCTGTACCATTCTACATTGTTTTTACTGTGTTCATGTGGTTATTATTTTTTCTTTTTTAAAGATTTTATTTTTTAAGTAATCTCACCCAATGTGGGGATAGAACTTATAACCCTGAGATCAAGAGTCACATGCTCTACCAACTAAGCCAGACAGGAGCCCCTGTGATTATTCTTTTTAAATTGAGAAGATTCAAGGGGCGCCTGGGTGGCTCAGATGGTTAAGCGTCTGCCTTCGGCTCGGGTCATGATCCCAGGGTCCTGGGATCGAGTCCCGCATCGGGCTCCCTGCTAGGTGGGGAGGCTGCTTCTCCCTCTGCCTCTGCCTCTCTCTCTCTGACTCTCATGAATAAATAAATAAAACATTTTTGAAAAAATAAATAAATAAATAAAATAAATTGAGAAGATTCAAGATTCTTCCCACAGCCATTAAGTAAAAGAGGCTGTTGTCCCTATTAATAGGTTTTCTTATGCTCTTCCCAAACCAAAAAGTAGATGTATTCAAACACTATATTATTCCACTTATGGGGGGAATATATGTTCCACCCAGAGCACAGGGATTACTTAATAGTTATAGAAATGCCAGATGAGGCCAAACCAAGGGGAAAAAGTGGTTCCCTCCACCACGTAATCCTCAAACACAAAGGCTATTCTCTCTTATCATTTCTAAATAGCTCATGAACTTTCAATCATTCAAAAAGCATAGGACACCTTTC